AATGAGCAAGCATGGTGACTTTGCAAAAATAGGAGAGATAGATAAACAAACTAGAGATGGGGAGGGAGAGCTGGGACGGAGGAGTGGAGTGAGGAAGGAACAGGGGAAGAGAGATGGAGAGAGATGTGGAGAGAAACAAGGAAGAGAAAAGATGGGATGTATGTGTGTGCGTGTCTGAGAGAGAGAGAGAGAGAGAGAGAGAAAAAAGAAAGAAAGAGAAGGAGACAAGAACACATCCATTGAAGGTTAATCAATTTGTGAAGGAGAGGAAAGGAGGTGAAGAGTGGGGGGGGGAGAGTGGGGGAGGGAGGGAGGGAGGGAGAGAGTGTATGTGCATGTGTGTGTGTGTTTTTATGTGTGTGGGGCGTAAAAAGAGGAATAGAGAGAGAGAGAGAGAGAAAGAGAAGGATTTGGTTACAGTGAAACAGACAGCTATAAAGAAAGAGAGAATGAAATGTTAGAGCATGGAATATTGGCAAACGAAGGATTTACTGACGAAAAGTTACGACGATATCAGGTTTACCCAATCATATTAATTCCATCAGCATTTCATGCAGCTTCGCGAGTCATATTGGATTGTGACGTCTAATAATGACCGAGTGCTATGTTTGCTGTCAGACGGCGCACTATATGGAGTGTCATGTCTATAAATAACTCACTGCTTTGTCTTTGAACAAGTTGAACAAACCGAAATAATACAAAGTGGATAAGCAAACGGCGCACCTATATGTAAAAATGATTTGTGAGGGAAATGGAGGGGTGGAAGAAAGGGGAGGAGATAAAGGAGAGAGTGGAAGAGAGAGAGAGAGAGAGAGAGAGAGAGAGAGAGAGAGAGAGAGAGGGGGGAGAGGAGGGAGAGAGAGAGAGAGAGAGAGAGAGGGGAGAGAGGAGGAGAGATATAGAGGGGAGAGAGAGAGAAGAGAGTAGGGCGAGAGAGAAAGTGTGGGAGAGAGAGAGAGAGATGAAGGGAAGAGAGAGAGAGAGAGATGAAGGGAAGAGAGAGAGAGATGAAGGGAAGGGAGAGAGAGAGAGAGAGAGAGAGAGAGAGAGAGAGAGAGAGAGAAAGTAGAGGAGGGAGAAAGAGAGAGTAGGGCGAGAGAGAAAGTGTGGGAGAGAGAGAGAGAGAGAGAGAAGAGAGTAGGGCGAGAGAGAAAGTGTGGGAGAGAGAGAGAGATGAAGGGAAGAGAGAGAGAGAGAGATGAAGGGAAGAGAGAGAGAGATGAAGGGAAGGGAGAGAGAGAGAGAGAGAGAGAGAGAGAGAGAGAAAGTAGAGGAGGGAGAAAGAGAGAGTAGGGCGAGAGAGAAAGTGTGGGAGAGAGAGAGAGAGAGAGAGAGAGAGAGTAGGGCGAGAGAGAAAGTGTGGGAGAGAGAGAGAGATGAAGGGAAGAGAGAGAGAGAGAGGGGGGGGAGGAGGGAGAGAGAGAAAGAGAGAGAGAGGGGGAGAGAGGAGGAGAGATATAGAGGGGAGAGAGAGAGAAGAGAGTAGGGCGAGAGAGAAAGTGTGGGAGAGAGAGAGAGATGAAGGGAAGAGAGAGAGAGAGAGATGAAGGGAAGAGAGAGAGAGATGAAGGGAAGGGAGAGAGAGAGAGAGAGAGAGAGAGAGAGAAAGTAGAGGAGGGAGAAAGAGAGAGTAGGGCGAGAGAGAAAGTGTGGGAGAGAGAGCGAGAGAGAGAGAGAGAGAGAGAAGAGAGTAGGGCGAGAGAGAAAGTGTGGGAGAGAGAGAGAGATGAAGGGAAGAGAGAGAGAGAGAGAGATGAAGGGAAGAGAGAGAGAGATGAAGGGAAGGGAGAGAGAGAGAGAGAGAGAGAGAGGGAGAGAGAGAAAGTAGAGGAGGGAGAAAGAGAGAGTAGGGCGAGAGAGAAAGTGTGGGAGAGAGAGAGAGAAAGAGTGAGAGAGAAAATGTGAGAGGGAGAGACCACGAATACGACCTCTAAGAGATAACAGAGGGTAATAGAGAGACTTAGAGAGACAAAGGAAGACATAAGGAAAAGGGATTATTGAAAATTGATTAAGAGATAGAGTAATGTATGTGTAACAAAATAAAGAAAGATAGAAACGGGATACAACTTGAAGAAAAAAAGTAGAAACAGAGAGATATATCACAAGGAACAGGATGAATTTACTTAGAAAACGAAAATTGCGTTTCTTCAGGCAGATTTTGTTCTCTTCTTCAGATGGAAATCTAAAAGCATAGCAAAAAGAAAGTAACATTCCTGCAAAACTGATATTTGCCTGAAAACCAAGAAAGTCGGGGTAAAAGTCCGCGATGTATAAGGGCGATAAAAATGTGTCGACAAACTTCCATTTCTTTTCATTTGTATTTACTCAGTATGGTCTGATCGGTGTAGTGTAGCTTTGGCTGTGTTTACTTGAAATTGGCGCCTCGACATTAGTTGTCTACGTCCTGTATGCCAGCTGCTAAAAGGAGTCAGAAGTGACGACTGGTCGTTGTACAGCGCGTCCCAGATAAAACGAAACCTAGAATTATTGATGTTTTATGCATGAAGTCTTTCGTCTATGGCTGATAGTCAACTAAATTCGTTTAATAACATTATGGAAATTCAAGCATTACCTTAAATAAACAGAACTTTGTTATTCCTTGCTCATTTTTCCTGATTGAGGTGTTATAATTGTGAAAGGGCAGAAACTGGACTTTCTAGAAATGTTATTTTCTCTCTGAAATTCAGATACCATCCGCCAAATGACTTTTTAGTTACCTCTCTTCAAATTGATTTTAATTACTTATGCGTGAAATGTGCATCATATGAGTTACATCAAATGAAAGAAGAGGATCTAAGCTTTACAAAATGTGTGTCATTTATTAATTATAATTGTGATTAAATTATGATAAAACATCGATAATTCTCGGTTTCGTTTTTTTTTATGGGACGCACTGTATAGTGTGGTCAGTCAAGAGAGTTAGTAACGGATCTCTTTAGTATTGAACTCTCTAGCGAAGAGTGACACAAGTAAATGATAAATTCTTGCTTTGTATTCTAAGAATCTGTGGATATATAGAATGAAGAATTTATCTCTTAACATGATTTTTGTCTAATGTACATGTATAATAATATGTTTAGCAATATCCTTTTTCTTAAATTTTAATACCGCTTGCTTTAACAAACCTAACAGGCCAAGCTAGATTTTTTTAAAAGATATATTTTTAAGTGTCATACTGGTTGATATACTTCAGTGTAATATCTGTAGTACAGCCATGCTTGCGGAGGGGCGGGACCGGGGGGGGGGGGTGATGAACGCTATAGTGTTTTGGAATAGACAATTTAGACAGACACCTCGCTGACACGTCATACAATTTTAGCCTTACAAAAGAATTACGGTACGGATATATTTTTTGTATAGATATAAGAAAATATGAGATGTATAATTTGATCAGGGTACCGCGGAGTCGATAGTGGCTAATGCTGAAACAGAAAGTTAGAGTAAACGGAGGGAGGGAAGGAGAGATTAATAGATAGAGAAAACAGATAGGAGGAGAAAGAAGAAGAGAGAGAGACGGGGAGAGGTAGAGACAGACAGACAGAGACAAAGACAGAGAGGGGACAGACAGACAGACATACATAGACAGAAAGACAGAGACAAAGAGAAAGACAGACAGGAAGAGAGAGAGAGAGAGAGAGGTATAGATGTAAAATGAGATAAATAAGCTGGTCTACGAGAGAATTGGTAGTAAACAGGATTGTCACTATACTATAATGTATATTTAAAAGTCCTGATTTTCCTTTTCGTTGAAAATTTAGTAAATTTGAACGGTTTAACAAAAATCGTGGACAGTTCTTTTTTTGTCTTCATTTTCGGCAAACTTGTAACCAATATTTGTTTGTTTCTTTGTGTGTTTGGTTAATCGGTTGTTAACTTGTTGCTTGTTCGAATATAAATATCAAATATTTTGATTTTTAGACAATGACTATGCAATGGAGTTTCATTCAGATTATGAAGATATAAATCACAGCTATCGAGAAATGTTTTTCTGCTCGGAAAGTTCATATAAAAAACAAGGAAATCCTTGATTATATCACGATTTTCAAAGGTTAGGGGAATAGGTTGAAACTTTACCACGGGTACTTAAAAATCCAAGTGAAGGGACTATAAAAATAAGATGTTAAGAAATCAGTTGATTTGTGCTATGCAGAAATCTAAGAAGGAACATTATTCTATGATCATCACTAGATTTCAAAGAGTAAAAGAAACAGAGTCTGCAATATCATATACAAGGACATTGATCAGTGACATATTGCACTGACATTACAATTATTAAATCAACGTGGACCTTATTAAAATCGTAATGTTAATTAAGAGGGTTCTAACCGTTATTTTGCTGAAAGTGCATCTAGATAAATAGACCAGTACATGAGTAAATAAATGAATCCATTAATGGATATGTAATCAAATAGACAACTGACACCAAACAAATGAATAAATAACATAGATTACTAAATGCATGAATACATATTTTTTTTAAAAATAATTGATTGATAGATAGATAAATAAATTAGTTCATTTTTCATTAAAAATAAATAAGTCAATAATTTATTGAATAAAGGAATAAGTAAATTATCTATCTAATAAATAAATAAGTTAATGATTCATTTCATTAATAAATAGATAAATGAATAAAACATAAATTCACATTCCAAGTGAGCCTGAAGACGCCCATATGATCATGGCTGCCCTAAGGCGCTGGAATTGTTCAAGGGATTTACTTCCTACCAAGTACCCATTCACTACACCTGGGTTGAGACGGGCCAATATAGATTAATGTCCGGCGGCAGGTAGTCGAACCCTAAACCATTTATCCACTAAACTACAACACATCTAAACTGAAAATCAAGTAACAATGGGTTATGATAATTTGGACTAAAAAACACACAATTAACGCCCATCTTGTACAGTCATTGTTTTTGTTTTTTGTTGTTTTCATACGTCTCCTTACACAATTATCAGTTTTCAGCTGCGATAAGTTTAAAACAAATACTTCGAATAAAATGTATATTGGCATTAGAATCTTCCGACGCGAGCGAAGATCGCTATACCGGGGTAAAGTCCAAGTTTAATAAGTCACCAATAAATGATGTATTCAATGTAGCTCGGTATACACCTAAACATCGTCATTCCGTATCACTCATACGTAATTCGTACATGACATTCTAAATAGACGTATTATAAGCTGTGATTAAGACAAGGCGTGCAATCGTGTGTGACTGCAGTATATATTGTGAGCCTCTTGCACATTGTGTTCTTTTAGAGGTGAATCAGCTAAAAAATTGTAAGTAAAACTAATCCGTGATTTTCTTTTTGTGTTACGAAATATGTGTTCGTATATATCAAATCATTGTATACACTTGCTTGGCATCAACATTTTATTGAACGCGTGTTCAACAGTGTCATAAAGACTGATTCTTATACCAATATTAACTGTTTGAACTCCATTCAAAGCAATACACAATGGAAGACTGAACATGTGTCTATATTATTGTAAAGTTGTAAGCATAGATTTTTTGTCCGCTTGAACCAAAATTAGAATAATAATTGTATTATATTCAATGTAACATTCGAAGAGATTTGAGGCCGTATGTTTTCGCATTAAGATAAACAAATATCTCTTTGAATGAGAAAATAGCTCAGTACAGGCTTGTAAAGGCAGTCTTTTCTTAAAATGTTACAAATTGTCGAAAAATTAAAAGTAGAACCTAACAAACTTCAACTGATTTGCGACAAGAACGTGTTTCTCGTAAAATATGACATCATAATGATTGAATCAATTGCATGCAATCAATATACAAATCTATTCCTGCATAAAAAATAAAAACGGCACCATGCACCTTCGTAAGTTCATTCACTACAATTACAGTTTTATTTAAGCAGGGTTGCCTCTACAGTTGATAAACTGCTATCCCTGCGGGCCTTGCACAATAATACAAAGTATATAAAATATTGATAGACTTAATAAGTACAGTTTGAACAGATGAATAACATAATAAATAGAGGTTATGGAAAAAGATAAATAACTAGGAAGAAATGATATGTAAACGATATTGCGAAGTGTAACTAATTATAAACAAATGGTATGAACATTCAATGGATAAATTATTATATTGTCTAAGTACTGATTATTGCCGTTGAAAGGAAAATGAGGTAGTAAATAGGAGAATGTTGAGTGGGGATATTACGAACATGTAATTATTAAAAAGAAAACTACCATGGCTCATTTTACATAAATTCCAAAGTTTCACAAAAAAAAACATATAAGAAGCAAGACGAACCCGACTCAATACATATGTTAGTTTTAGTCATGACCCCTCCCCCCCCCCCCAAAAAAAATGTCATTGATAGCTGATATAATTATTCCTTCCATCTTTCGTAAATCGCGCATTTCAGTACTTACTGTGATTGCTAAAACCCTTCCCCCTCCCCCATAAAAAATGTACTGGGTTTGTGATGGTCATTTTTTTAAAGTTTGTTTACGAAACAGGTAGATGGGAGCTGAAGCCCCCCCCCCCCCTCCCGGTAATGTTGGTATGATTATTCGGGTAGTCATTACTAGATATTTGTGGAGTGAGGTAGTCTAATCATAAATTTCATACCATCCTATAGCAGGCCTATATGTTGATGGCGGAATCATATTTTTATTCTGATAAAAATTGCAAATATTTGCTAACTCACTGTCCTCGCCGGAAATTTCGATATTCCAAAATATGTGATATTCGGACATACGGCGGCAGCCCCCAGGCGAAAATGTGCCAGTACGCTCATTAAAAATTGTTCTCAACCTATAAAGCTTATTGATAGGTTAGAATCGACTACACATTTATCTGAAACGTCGGCGTTTTCAAGAAATAAAAAGTAAATTAAATGCAGTAAGTTATCCGAAACCATCTAAGTACATGTATAATAATCACTGTATCCTTGTCAATGCACTCGTTTGATTTCATGAATTAAATTCTATTTCTCAGCAATCAAGGCTTATAAACTGATGGAAATAATAGGATCATAATAAAGAGAAGAAATAATTTCGCCAACCAACGTATTCTAAGGAATGGAAAGGCACTCGCAGACAACATAAATCTGCCCACTTTTAAATAGGCTAGCCATAAATTCATATTAGAATATAGAAATATACAAGGAGAGTTAAAAGATTTTTAGTTAATCAATTAAAGGTGAGATAAGTACATGTTTGTTCTTGAGTAATTATTACTGTGACCTTTATACCGTAATATGGGCTCACCCATCATATCTCAATTATGAATATCGCTCTATGGAAATTATGAATATTCATTCAATGATCGAGTTCCCATCATTTACCCCCCATTCCGATGACCCGAAATTTCCTCCGTGAGATAGAATGAGAGGAGATGGAGAGATTAAGAAAGATTGGGAGGAGAGATAGGAGAGGAAATGAAAGATGGAGAGGAGAAGAAAAGGAGAGAGACATGTAGGTTGAAGGGGGGTGAAAAGGGGAAGAACGGAGAGGAGCATATGAAGAAAGAAAGTGGAGAAGTGAGAATCAGAGTGAGTGAAGAAGAGAGAAAGGGGGGTATAGAGCGAGGTAGATGGAGAGGGAGATTGAAATAGAGAGAGACAGGGACAGAGCGATGAAGATAAATATATAGACAGGTACAAACCTGGTATTATAATTGTTTTACACATATTATTACATATAATAAAGTATCAGATTATTAAAGAGGTATTATTTTACCCGAAGCAAATTTTCGAAACAGTCAACAGACTGTATTCTCTTTTGGCAAAAGGTGATTTGTAGAATGATTGTGAACGCTATTCATGGTCATGAATTAATAACATAACACACTCTAAAACAAGAAGAACATTTTCAGAAAGTGAATAGGATTTCCCCCCCCCCCGTAGGTTCGTGCATAATCAGACAGTCAGGTAAAAGTGTTTAATGACTTGGCAAATATCCCTGAGGTATTATGCCTGAACAAGAGCAAAATCAATATAAAAATGTCTACGTGCATATAGCGCTAATGATTGAAAAGCGTAAATATTCAAGTCGGGTCTGTAAGAAGCCATGCTTCCTTTCATTCAAGCTATGGTCACAAAGGTTCGTACGAACGATGCTTTCGTACGAATCTCCCTGTTTTTCCATTGTCTTTCCGAATTTCCATTGTCTGAAAATCGTTCGTACGGCGTTCGTAGCAGTTCGTAATGGCATTTGTGACCGAGGCTTTATATCCAAAAAATAGAATTTATGAAAAGAAATTTAAAAAAACATATATATTACACTCTTTATATGTTAAAATCTGTATATTATTGTAAACAGGATTTCATAGAAGTCCAATTTAAATAATCATGTGTTAAAGATGAAATGAGCCACCCTTTACACTTATCAGAATTTAATCAAATAACTATCAATGAAAATAGATATATGCCAAATAAAAATGAAAAACATATAATAGGGCGGTTGTTATAATACCCATTCCTGATAATATCTTCTCATGTCAACGATATCATTTCAGAATATTACCAACCAACCACAGTTTTTCTGATTGAATTGGAAATATTCACCTTTTCTGAAAAACGTAATCAATATAGAATTATAAAAAACTTTGTTTGATTCGCTATGATAAATCTTAACCAGGTCAACAAATTGGTCCGTTTTATTTGTCAGGAAAAAAGTACATTTTGTGTGTGCCTATCGTTAGGCTGAGAGAAAATGATAATTGAAAATTTAGAAGCGTTCTCTAAATCAGAAGTGCTGTCTCATTTTCTTAATGGTTTGCTGATGAATTATTCAGAATATTATGAATTGATTATTTTGTATGACAATTTTTTTTTAGTGATGTAAGATCAGTACCTTTCATGAAAGAGGAAAAAATATTTGATTAATGATGACAATAATAATAATAATAATAATACAAATAACTATGATCGTAATGATAATAAAAATAACCATAAAAAGAATAATGATGATAATGATTATGAATGTGTGGGATGAGAAAAAAGGAGATTGAGGAGAAAAGGAATGAGAAAGATATATAGATAGAGAGATAGAGAAAGAAAGAGAGAGAGAAAATCTCAGAATATGCATTTCTGACATATAATTTCCAAACGGAATTAACAAATAGGTCGATTGTAGTCAAGAAACATTGTTTTAAAGCTTAAGTAATATCAGTCTTGAGAGGGAGTTATACAACATAAAGAGTTTATCATTCACAATTTCATCACTTTAAACATGTAGACTCGATGTCAACCGTGACAACAATCATTGAATATTGTAAAATCGCTTATGCTTCCAACATGTTCATTTGAACCAAATTCATGACCTCATACCAAAACTTTGTATTACCTTTAAGGCAAAGATAGGAATCACATAAGGCGAAGTTAGGAATGCAAATCGTGTGTTATACGCCTTTTATATACCTTGGTCACACCGCCGAACCGACTCAAGACCGACTTCAGACCGACTGATTCTTGGTCATTCGGTGTATTTCAATCTTGTGTTCGGTCTCTTTTCAGTCCGGTGTCGGTGTCGTTGATGAGACTGGAGAATCAAAGCAGATCTCACAAAAAGAAGGGGACTCTGCAGTTCTTAAAGCCCCTCTAAAGTGTTGGGAGCACCAAATTCGCCAAAAATTTGATGGCAAAATTTCACTTTAATTGTATCATAATATGAAAGAATATTTCATTTAAGACACACTTCTGCAAAGAAAAAAACCCCACAATTTTATATTCTTTCATCAATATTCGACTTCAAACACATTTGCAGAAATGTGTCTTAAATGACATCCTCTTTCACATAATGATACAATTTAAATGAAATTTTGCCATCAACTTGTTGGGGCTCCTAACACTTTAGAGGGGCTTTAACTGGGCTCCAAGGCTTTAAGGTTCCAAAGAAGAGATCATTCCTCCGAGATAGGAATGGTTGGCAGTGATTCCACTACTGTGTATTTTACCTTTAATCTCAGCAATGTTTAGCAAAGGGGTTGATTTCTTCACCCTTGATTTGGTTAGTCATTGAGACCAGATATTAAGGAGGAGTAAAGGTTTACTCAGAGATAGGATCAAGATAGAAATCATGATAAAAAGGCCAGTTTGCGTTATATGCAAATCACGGCCACCTCTTGTTGTGTTTACAGATTTAGATTGCGGACATCGCCATTGTTTCATAACATACGACCTGGTTATTGTGGTGTCAACTCATGGTAATCTTCTGACAGATAGCCGGACCACAATCCCGCAACAGACCTAGTCCAGAATCTGGCCTATTTATTTTTGTTTTCCACCACACCGACGCAATATGCGACATCCCCCTACTTACTTGCTTCCAGCCTAAGATGGGTGATCATTACGGCATAGGCAGAGCAATCTATACACAGAGTTTGGCCAATTTGGTTCGAGTTGGACACAAAATATGGCGACTACTGCTTTGTTGGGCAAGCACAAAACAAAAGAATATACGCCATGTTGTGACCCAGTGAAACCAAGTTGGCCAAACTCTATGTAGGCTTAGGCTGGGCCGGTGGCTGATCTTCGGCGGCTTGAATCAATTGTAGGGAATATACTATGCAGAACCGGCCAGATTCTGGACTTCAACAGACCATGCATAGTCAGAAATCAATGAAATACTAGATTAGAATAACAAATCACTACCAAAGCCATTGCTGATCTACTGGCGCATCTAAAAGTTATTTAGATCAAATCTGTACTTCGCATGTTTAGTTACCTTTGTGTCAATTGTATTGAGAAATACAACACAACAGACGGTCTGTTACATTTGATGACATTTAACCTGATTGTGTGTGCACTCAACATCTATTTGATAATCATCATCGCTCATTTTGATAAATGATAAAAACAACTTCCGCAAGATAATGTGAAAGTGTTATGATTTTGTGTTGGTTCTAGGAACACTATATTATAGCTAATTAAAGTTGTAAATTTCTTTTGTCTCCTGCAGAACGAGAGCGTCATTTTGAGCAACATGGACAGACGGAGGACTGGTATTCTCGTATAAGGACTCAATCCAGTGATTTATTCTTTGAAGTGCCTTCCAGGGTATTGTAGATCTTGGTGACCTCATCCCTCCCCTAAGTACCAGACAAAACATTACTTTAGACAAGCAGTACTATTAGTCAACCCCAAGAACTATGGAGGGGTCATACAAAACACAAGAGGATGACAGAATACTGTTAAGACCGCCCTCTGCGGTTGGAACTCAAACCAACTTCAACGATCCTCAGAGAGCAGCTGAACTCGAACTCGGAATCGACAACCCACTCGCCGTCGAGACTGAGACCTCGCTACAGAACGGCGACGCCCACGAACAGAATGGAGGAGCGTCGAACGGAAAAACGAGAACGATGTCGAATGGCAATGGTCACGCTGCTGAGCCAGATTCACTCCCGCCGAAGCCAAACGAAGTCGACGATGATGACGATAACCCGGAATGCGGATGGTTTAGGTGGAGGCCTAATTGCTTACAGGTAAGTAATACAATTTGTTGAAGTGTCATAACATTAGGCACTTTTCGTGATCTTTCATTACAATAATTATTCCTGAGCTATGCCAAAAACTAGAAGTTTCCAACATTCTCAGTTTAAATTTATTCGTGACAAAAAATGATATTCATGACTCGATTCTTAAAGATTACTGTCGAACAGTTTTTCATTTCTCAGAGCTGCTCTTCCAAACTTTTCAACCAAGATTCATCTCAATCTCATGATATAACGTTTTTCTCTCATTCGACGAGGCTAGAGAGTAGGGCTGCAATGAAAAATATAACTAAAGGAAAAGCAGACCAAAGCGAAAGCTGATCAGAAGAACCTTTCAAAATAAAAATGGATTCGAAACGGGAAATTATAGATCTTCGACAATTTGAAAGCAAGTATTAATTAAATAAAATTATTACTACATCTGCCCTGGCTTGGTTTTCAACCACAGTTTAAAGCACATCTGCACTAGTTTGGCCAGCAGGGATTAGACCTTCCTGCAAGGTCACTGACAGGTGGTTATCTCATCAACTCAGCTCTCAATTAACATAACAAAAAGAGGATCATGAGGGACCAATGGTCACCGCTTAGGCATTGTTTGCTATATAGAGGGCGCAATTAGCTATAAGTAGTGCAGTGGAGCTTTAAAGGGACTTTGTAACATTGTTCAGATGAGAGATAGTGGTGCTAAGGTAGTGACTTCAATGCTAGATGTACAATTAAAGATAATCTGAAAATTTGACTGAAAACGGATCATTATTCATGGTACAAATTGGGAAAAACTGATCTGATCGATTCCTTAATTCTCCCAACTATATTATTCTACTTCTATTCTGCTACTTGTCGAAGCCTGTTCTGCATCAAGACAAGGACAATTTAATTACATTTTAGGTGAATGTAAATCGTCACAAAGCAATAAAATGGCTCTACATTCCATTCCAGACAGTTAAGTGTTGACAGATTTTTATAGCCTGTTTTATGTATTTTTGTCATTGAAAAACGGTTGGCAAAATTCAAAAATGGTTTGGAGAATTTACTGTTAATCACTGTTAGAGGGTGCCTCACACCGACGCCTTCAAAGAAAACCATAGATATCTTTGTGGTTTGAGAATTTGTTCAGGATTTTTTGCATGTCAGAGGGTTAGTATAGTAGAAGGAATATAGTAAGTAACATTTTATACAAAAATTAAGCAATTTTTTTCATCAACCTTCAACAATGTTACCGAGTCACTTTAAAGGGCATGGTCCTGTTAAGACTCATCACTAACACATTTAACTAAAACATCTATGTTTTCATCTCTTCACAGTGCTGCAATAACATCGTCGGCTACACCCTCTTCCTCTCCATCTTCGTGATCGCTCAGGGTATGACAGTCAACGGTCTCGTCTACGTCGTCATCACCACGCTCGAACGCCGCTTCGGGTTCACCAGCGTCCGTAGTGGCTTCATCTCAAGCAGCTACGACTTCACCGTCATGGTCATCATCATTTTCGTCACGTACTTCGGCGAGAAGGCGCACAAGCCCATCTGGTTAGGCATAGGGGCTGGCATATTTGGGATCGGTTCGATCATTTTTACGCTCCCGCATTTCCTGACGGGAGACTACGTTTATCAGGTAATAAGGCCAGTGGCGGAATCTTTCTTATTATAATATGGGATCAGAGTCTTTTTTTTTTCCAAAGCGGGGTTTCTTCATATCCACATTTTGTGCATGATACCAGATCAATAGATGTTCAGCTCTTTTATGTACGGATAATCACGCTTTCACAAACCCCATCACAAACCAAGAAGACGTGTATCAGTCAGCGCACGTGGCATCATTTGCTGACTTAAGACTGCGTTAGCGATCTTCGTTCTTTTTGACGGACGCGTCATTTAAGAGTGACGTAGTACATAAAGTGCATTCAAAATGAACAGTGCAAACGTTATTTTGTTATCAAATTCCTCCATAGGTTTAGTTAGCATCAATTTAGTAACTTAGTCAAAATGATACCTCGTGTACAATACCCATTACGATGATCATATGCACTGTAATAGCGCAATCTATATACAGTAGGCTACAATTATCTATTTTCCCTATTATTATGACCGTTGCCGTCACTGTAAATGGCTCTATGATGGGATAAAATAAACATGATCAAATTATCATCAAAGTTTGAAAAGTAAAAACAATTAGATTTATGTCCTGCATTCGTGCCTTTACTGACAAAATTTATAGATATATGAGATGTATTGGAGAAAAAAAAACTTACCGCGTTTCTTGTTTGACTGCTCCTGCCCTTTCTCTGTGTATATAGAACTCCGATTTTGAGTTGTGTGATAGCAACCGAACTGGGGACGATCTATGTACGACGACGGAAGTACAGGACGAAAATCTGGTCAACTACTACGCCGTCTTCATTCTGGCTCAGGTGTTCCACGGTGTCGGAGCCTCGCCGCTGTACACGCTCGGCGTCACGTATATTGACGAGAATGTGTCATCGGCCGCATCGGGACTTTATATAGGTAAAGATCTAGGACAAAGAGGAATTATGTCCATAAGTGGCCTCTACTGATCACCAGTGTAGATGTAGATGTAAACCAAAAATGACCGATGTGACCGATGTCAGGCGTTGGTTGACGAAAGAACCGCCTATGGGACGGGCCCTCGGCGGTTATGAAGGGGATTTAATAGACCAGTTCACTAGTGTATTCAAATCTTACGCGTATTTCTCGATCAAAGTTTCTCTTGATGACTCGCGTTTAAATGATTTTACGGAACATTGTTGTTATCCTTGTTTTCCACTTGCATTTTCCTCTTCCTTTTCTTTCTTCTTATTTTCCTTCCTCTTCTTCTTCTTCTTCATTATCTTCTTCTTCCTCTTGTTCTTCTTCTTCTTCTCCTCTTCCTTCTTCTTCTTTTTATCCTCCTTCCTTCTCCTTCCTCCTCTCTTTCCCCTTCTTCTCCTTCTTATTCTTCTTCTTCTTCTTCTTCTCCTGCTTCTTCTCCTCCTACTCCTCCTTTTTCATCTTCTTCTTCATCTTCTAATTCTTCTTCTTTTTGTTTTTCTGTCACTCATTATATTGTTCAATTTCCTCGACAGGTATCTTCAAAGCTATGGCAATTCTTGGACCTGCAATAGGATACATAATGGGAGGAATATTCCTGGGTCTCTACACTGATATCCAACACGCAGATGAGTGAGTACATCTGGAAGAAAATAATGTTTACGTCATTAAGAAGTTGTACTATATTTGCATGTTAATAAATCCAAGAGAACAGTGGAAGATTGAGAAAATTAGGATAATGTTGTAAGCCTGCAGTTATGAATTTTAATAGGATTCGTGTGTTTTTATTTCTTTTTCTACGTGACGTTTGAATATTCAAGTTTCAAATAACATCTTGGGTATATGAAGACTAACACCATGATTATATCCAGTGATCATTCGAAACCACTGATTCCAGGACCAAGACTAGAAAAGAAACCGTTGCATTAGGTATCTAGTCAGTTTCATTACTCTGTACGCGTTTATCTCTTTTTTTTCCTATCTCAACTAATACAAGAAATCTCTTCTCATAACATTTGAAGGACGCTTTTGTTGATTTGTTCGTATTACCAATTACTCATGATCTGTATTGATATATTTCCTTCTTTTGTTTTCTTCATAATTTCGTCCTACTTTACTAGTCTTGACATCACCCCTGAAGACCCTACATGGGTTGGTGCTTGGTGGCTAGGTTTTATTGTAGTGGCTGCCATCTCGTTCTCTCTCGTCATACCATTTGTGGGATTCGGCAAGACGCTACCAGGTAAGCCATTAGAGTTAAACAAATGTACATGCGGGATGACTATATTACTCTTAATCAAAATACGATGACCGTTAATTAATTAATTAACTAATAATAACAATACACAGGCCAGCTGGTTGTGCGTAATATAGCCAACACGAAAAAGCCAACCCAAAGCCAATTTTGGCATTGGCTGGAATAGAACGTATAAAGCGCTATCTCGCTATCTCGTTTTTCAAATATTTGGATATTATAACCGTCTCTGAACTGATTTTGATCAAACAAAGATAATTTTATCATTTATATTGTAAATTCTTTCAAATTTGACACTCAGTTTTTCATTATCTCACAAAAATTATTGTATGTAGCGCCCTCTGCAACAAAACTCCACTATCCCTTTAAACTGGTTTTACATCGGAAATGTTGGGTAGAACTATTGACCCCCCCCCCCTCTCTCTCTCTCTCGCATGGTGAACTGAAGTCAACGTAGACAAATTATTCGCAACTGAATATATTTTTTTCGTAATGTAATCAAATTTAATGCATAAATCTTTGTTAAGTGCCATGTAACAAATTATTTCATTCACCTGTTACAAATAATTTTATTTCAATAGTTCGAATTTGAATGGCATTCATTGATTATTGATATGTAGGACCAGCCGTAATGTTTGTCTTAATCCTGGACCTACCTAGCAGCAATTGGTGTATGCAATTCGCATTCTATCAAAATACTGCTATTTTTTAACAGGTGAATGAAATAATATGTAACGAGGTACATACATGTAACAAAGATTTTTTCTTTGAACTTGATTTCATTGCGAAAAAGGCCTACGAAGGGGGCATGTCTGCAGGTGTGCTGGGGGAGGGGGCTCACTTTCATAATCATGGCAATAGTTATTTCAAGTCCAGACTTAAATTTTCTCACCGGGAGGGGGTGGGGGGGGGCCTACTTTCGAGCAACAAGATGCTAGTATAACAGAGGCGTTTCTTGAAAATAATCCTTTCAATCATGCAGCTAATTTCGACAGGTTTTGGAATAATTTATGTTTACTTGAAATAATCACGTTGCTCATTTCAGGAACTATAGGGTCATTCTTATTTATCCTTCATTAGTTAATGCTTTTCTTATTCATGTTTTACTGAACTTGATACCAGTACATAGTCATCATTCATTTATTTAAATAATGTATCCCTTTTGATTGTTTATTTTTACCAGGCGGAAAGAAGATGTTCGCGCAACGTGAGGTTGAAACCCAGAAAGGGACGGAATTCGAAGCGAAGACGGGATGGCAAGCGGTTCTCCAATTTCCAAAAGCTTTGTGGATGCTAGTAAAAAACCTACCATTTATGTTCAACAATTTATCAACGGCCTGTGAAACATTTATACTGGTGGCCGTAGGTGTTTTCGGTCCTAAATACATGGAGTCGCAGTTTAATATGACAGCTGGCGAGGCAGCCATCATTGCAGGTGAGAAAAGACGAAAGATGACGACGAAGACGACGACGATGACGAAAAAAAAAACTGCTGCTGTTACTTCTAGAAAACGACAACAACTACTACTACTACTACTACTACTACTACTACTACTACTACTACTACTCAGGGGCGTACGCAGGGGGGGGGGGGGGTTGGGGGTTCAAACCCCCCCCCCCCTTTGGTATTTTTATGTGTGTAAACCCCCCTAAAAAAAAACTAAAACCCCCCCCCCCTTTGTTTGTTTTTTTGTTATTTTTTAAATTAAAATTTAAAAAAAAAAAAAAAAAAAATTATGCCCACGGCTAACGTAAAGTGACCTTACCCCCCCCCCCCACTGAGCGACTTTTCGGTTGGCTGAGTCGTTGCGATTTTTTTTTGTACTACCAAAAAAAAAAAAATGTCCGCTTACCCTCCCCCCCCCCCCCCCGATTTTCAAATTTTCGGGAGCAAAATATTTTGGGCCAGATTTTAAACCCCCCCCCCCTTGAAAAAATCCTGCGTACGCCCCTGCTACTACTACTACTACTACTACTACTACTACTACTACTACTACTACTACTACGACTACTACTACGACTAATAATAATAATACGACCACCACCACTACTTCTTCTACTATTACCACCAGCACCACTGCTACTGCAACTACACTGTACTACTGCTGCTACTACTACTACTACTTCTGCTCCTACTACTACTACTAATAATGATAATAAGACGACCACCACCACAACCACCACTACTTCCACTACCACTACCACTACCACTACTACTACTACTACTACTACTACTACTACTACTACTACTATTACTACTTCAACTACTACTACATTTACTCCTATTTCAGCTACTCTAATTGTTCAATGTTTTTGTTTTTCTTATCTCTGGAGTGGACTTAAAAAATAAAATAAAAATTATTTTAAAAAAGATTAAAATACTACTACTACAACTACTTCTACTACTACTACTACTACTACTACTACTACTACTACTACTACTACGACGACGACGACGACGACTAAAACGACGACGACGACGACTACTACTACTACTACTACTACTACTACTACATCTTCTACTCCTATTTCAGCTACTCTAATTGTTCAATGTTTTTGTTTTTCTTATCTCCATAGGCATCATCGTCACACCGTCAAGTTTTATAGGTGCCTTATTCGGTGGCTGGGTTGTCAAACATTATAATCTCAAGTACCGTGGCATGATGCGTTTTACATTAGTTGTTCTTATCATCAGCTTCGGTCTCCAATTCCTCTTCCTCATCAGCTGTGCAAACGTCGACTTCGCCGGCGTGACCGTAAACTACGGACGCAAGTAAGTAAAAGTCCCGTTGCCCAACTGGTTGCCGGATAACAATCAGCAAAAGGAAATATTCACTAGACAGCAGAAGCATGCATTAACATAACATTTCCATGGGTTTGATTTCTATTTAACAGCTTAACAACAACCAGATTAACTCTGTGTCATAAATGAAAATGTATGCACTACTGCATAAAAAGCTTGACTAATTCTAAATAACTTTTGAGCAGTACATTTCCTGCAAGTTCTTAAACTGATGAATTCTTTTCTAGTCTGGAAAAAATCCTTTTATGACACTATTCCTACATTTTTATTCAAATTTCAATTACATTTTAATAATCGGTTTCGATTTTTTTTTGTATTCGTTTGATCCTCTAGCCCTGCGGACATCACGCCCGAGGAAGGCTCAAACATCACAGCTATCTGTAACGATGATTGCAAGTGTACCAATAACTTCCAACCGCTGTGTGGTGAAGATGCTGTCATGTATTACTCACCGTGCCACGCAGGGTGTACGGTCAAGAGCACCAATGAAGACTCACAATCAGTAAGAACTTTCGTCCATTTACGTCCAATGCAAGGTTCTAGGACACCTACCCCGTGGACAACCACCCCCGGATAACCACCCCTAGGATAACAACCCTCTAGGACAACTACCCCCTAGGACAACTACCCCCGGACAACTACCCCCAGACAACTACCCCGGACAACTATCCTAGGGTGTAGTTGTCTAGGGGTATTTTTTCGGGGATAGTTGTCCTAGGGGTGGTTGTCGTACGGGTAGTTGTCCGGGGGTAGTTGTCCTAGGGGTAGTTTTCTAGGGGTAGTTATCTGGGGTAGTTGTCCTGGGGAGTGTTTCACAAAGATCCTAAGTAGAACTTAACACTAAGTTGGACTTAAAAAGTATGGACAGCCATTGGAGCCTTGAAATGAAATATATTCAAAAGCAAAAATTGGAGTATTTTAGACTTTTCATCAATTCCACATCAAGAACATGAAATCTCCCATGATAATAGAAAATATGAATGATTTGAATCAACATTTTATGCCTTCTAAAAACAAATTACAAAACATTTTCAAGGATGCTAATGGCTTCCCATAAATTTTAAGTCCAACTTAGAGATAAGTTCAACTTAGGATCTTTGTGAAACACCCCCCTGGATGGTGGTTGTCCTAGGGGTAGTCGTCCTACAGGGTAGTTTTCCTAGGAGGTAGTTGTCCTTGAGGGTGGTTATCCTTGGGGTGGTTATCCGGGGGTAGTTGTCCACGGGGTAGGTGTCCTAGAACCATTAGACCCATCTTTGTTCGATATTAACAAAATGAGAAAGAAAATCTGAAGGAAATAAGGCCCGTGAACAACGATGATCAAGTTGAAAAGTCAATTAATTACTTGTTAAGAAGTTTCTTACCCACCTAAATTATACGGGGATAACCATGACCAGGGGGTGTTTCACAAAGACTTAGATCGACTTAAGTCGGACTTGAACTATGGCAGGCCATTCATGCCACTGGCTGCTCTCAACATTAGTCTCTCAAGGGACGTCACAAATCTACAGAATTTACATTTTGATAGCTCATTGTTGAAGAAAAACAATTTATTGTAAACTTAAGTTATATTTAAGACTTGGAATTATACTACGGTAGGCGATTAATGCCCTAAAAAAGTCTTAAACCAGATGTAAGATTAGAGGAAAAAGGCTTAGAAATCATGGCGTAGAAAACTAGTTCAAGTTATGCAACTTTGCCTAAGTTTTATGGGCCCTTTTCATAAAACTTGTTATCACTAGGAAGTATTTTGTCGCATGTCTATAACAAATTTGCTCACCTAAAATATAATGCAACGATTTTTAGTAGCTTTAATATAACAGTTACTATAATAAGTGATTAATACCAAGTGTAATGAAACATGGCCCTGATATTTTTAATATCCATGATATTTTTAATATCCATGATATTTTAGGTATATTCCGAGTGTGATTGTATACCACCTACGAACATGACTGCAGGGATCCTCGGCACTGGTGATGGTGGTCGCTGTGAACAGGGATGCTCCAAACAACTCACTTTCATCATCCTCACCTTCCTTCTCATTACTGTGGCGGCAATGATAGCCGTTCCGCAGCTCACAGCAACTCTACGGTAAGTATGGAAGGGATGGCGTAGCCGGGTTTCTCGTCACATGGTGAGTGGGTGGGTGGGTGGGGGAGAGGGTATCCCAAGAAAGGGTTCTGAAGAATAGCCGGAGACTCACATTTGCTGATAGAATGTTGAACATGCTTACAAAACTGAATATCTTAATTTCCGTCATAGAGTGGGGATGTAAACATTCCGGGAGTGGGGGGGGGGGGGGGGGGGGCGAGGTTGTAGCCCCTCAGGTCTATACTAATGGTAAAGGCAGGCCATACGATCAGTATTTATGTCAACAATATTTACACATCGGCTGCGTCTAGGGGTGCGTTTAATCGACACTTTTTCACCCTAGAATCACGGTTTCTAAAGACGTTTAGTTTAAAACGCAATGCGTTCAAGCGATTTTTTCGTCGGTCGTAAAAATAAACGTCTTTGAAAACACAAACATGAAACGCTGAAAAAGATGCGTTTTGAATCATGATTCTGCAGAATCACGGTCGCTAAAATTCGATTGAACGGACGGAGTTTTCAATCATGATTGTATGACGGAGCCTGTTCCGGTTTGGGCAAAAACCGCGCGCCTGCTTTTCATGCAATTTGCGTTTACTATACCATGCTCTTTATCGTGGCCTGTTCCGTTATGTTATACCTTGTTTTCCTTCTATCTTTTTCTCTTTCTGTCTTTCCTTATGTTATTCTTTGTTTCTTCCTTCTATTCTTATGTTATTCTTTGTTTTTTTCTTCTATCACCTTCTCTTATGTTATTCTTTATTTTTATATTTCTATCACTTTTCTTTTGTTATTCTTTGTTTCTTCCTTCTATTTTTATGTTAATCTTTGTTCTTTTCCTTCTCTCAGCCTTTCTTATGTAATTCTTTGTTTTTATAATTCTATCACTTTCTCGTTTGTTATTCTTTGTTTCTTCTTTCTATTCTTATGTTAATCTTTGGTTTTCCCTTCACTCACTTCTCTTATGTTATTCTTTGTTTTTATCATTCTATCACTTTCTATTTCTGTCTTTCCTTATGTTATTCTTTGTTTCTTCCTTGTATCACATTCTCTTTTTGTCTTTCATTATGTTATTCTTTGTTTCTTCCTTTTATTCTTATGTTATTCTTTGTTTTTTCCTTCTATCACCTTCTCTTATGTTATTCTTTGTTGTTATAATTCTGTCACTTTCTCTTATGTTATTCCTTGTTTCAATCATTCTATCACTTTCTCTTTCTGTCTTTCATTATGTTATTCTTTGTTTCTTCCTTCTATTCTTATGTTATTCTTTGTTTTTTTTTCCTTCTATCACCTTCTCTTATTTTATTCTTTATTTTTTATAATTCTATCACTTTCTCTTTTGTTATTCTTTGTTTCTTCCTTCTATTCTTATGTTAATCTTTGTTCTTTTCCTTCTCTCAGCCTTTCTTATGTAATTCTTTGTTTTAATAACTCTATCACTTTCTCTTTCTGTCTTTCCTTATGTTATCTTAGTTTCTTCCTTCTATCACTTTCTCTTTTTGTCTTTCATAATGTTATTCTTTGTTTTTATAATTATTCTATCACTTTCTCTTTTGTTATTGTTTGTTTCTTCCTTCTATTCTTATGTTATTCTTTTTTCTTTTTTTTTACTTCTACCACCTTTTCTTATGTAATTCTTTGTTTTAAGCATTCTATCACTTTCTCTTTCTGCCTTTCCTTATGTCATTCTTGTTTCTTCCTTATATCACATTCTCTTATGTTATTCTTTGTTTTAATAACTCTATCACTTTCTCTTTCTGTCTTTCCTTATGTTATTTTTTGTTTCTTCCTTCCATCACCTTCTCATTCTTTGTTTTATTATTGCGATCTATGCTCAAAACAGCAGTCGACAGTCGGCCGTAAACAATTCCAAAAAGCGCGCGCCGAAGTTGACCTTTACTTCCTGGGTCAAACTGCAAGTGTGATCCGCAGTGGCTGGGCTCGAAATGAGCTAGAATCAGCGTTGATAAAAAATCGCTTGAACGCTAACCGCAGTGACCTTGTTGTTTGTAATGGCGTTTTGATTTGTGATTCATGTTTGTGATTCTAGCTTCGAAAATTCGATTAGGATCACCGATGTGATATGGAATAGATCGAGTGACAAACGTCATTTTTATGAAAGAATGTGTCATAACATGCGGTCATTTCTGTCTGTGATATACATGTATGGTGCAGCGGATAGGGGCAGATGAGGACGAGGTGTACCGATTATGGTCTTGTGTAATGACTGCTGGAAGGGCTTTTGTAAAATATTTAACAAGGGGCTTTCCCTCGAAGTCGTAGACGTGGGCTGTAGTTTTTGTGATATCGTACTTAGCAGTTGTGTTAGTATCCGCAGAAAGGGGTAGAAACATCGCATTGTATTGATAAAGTATTTTTTTCATGTATATTTAAAGAAGAGTGAAGAAAAGCATGCATATATCTGAAGGGAAAGCATTCGCAACATCCACACAGCTAAACAAAATAAACGCACATCTCATAGGTTTCCATGCCTTAACCTTTGTTTTATTTCACTTTTCTTTCCAGTTGTGTCTCGCAATCACAGAGAACGTTTGCCTTAGGAGTGCAATCGGTCATATACAGATGTTTAGGTGAGTGAAACCAAACCTTTCCATCTTAGTTAAAGTTTGGATAGTCAGGGGTCAATTCAAGGAAGTATTTAAGCAAGTAGGCAAAGGAGCAAATTTGTCTGTTAAAAAGACTCTTAAATTCTGGCGATTTGCTGAACAGGATGGAAAAGTTTACCGTGAGATATTTGAATGGAGGAAGGAGGTGTCGAACAACAACCCTTCTCCAACTAGCGAGGCCCTTGGCGGTCCACTGCATTGAACGATGGAGATTTCATTTCTCTCTTCTCATGAACTCTTCGCTATCCTGCCCTTTAGAGGAGAAATAATAGTAATAGTATTATTAATAGGCATTTCTATAGCGCCGTCTATCGAGAAATTCTATTAAGCCTAGCTACTATTACATTCTAGCGCTCTAGCATTTACCTCACCTGGGTCGAGTGGGGCAAATGAAGATTAGTGCCTTGCCAAAGGACATTAGTGCCGTGTCGAGGATCGAACCACGATCTTTGAATTTCAAGTCAAGTGCTTAAACCACTCGACAAAAAGAAAGAAATACCCAATGACTAATTATTTCTCTCTCATCCTTATCAGGATCTGTGCCTGCACCAATCATCTTTGGATCCCTCATCGACCGAACGTGCCTGATCTGGGAGGATGAATGCGACGGGAGCAGGAACTGTTGGATGTATGACAACGTAGAGTTATCTCGATACACCCTGATCATGTTGCAATCTGCTAAAGGTCTTTCCATCATCTTCATCATCCTGGCCCTCGTCACTTACCGTCCAGCTACCGAGAACCCCACCGAGTCTGCAGCGCCGAGCACCATCAGCAAGGATGTCATGCCGCCCGAGATCCCTCGCGTCGAAGACATCGAGGATGAGAAGGTATAAGGGGAACGATGCTGGTGTAACTCGAACGGCTGAGGGCGTCTTGCTTAGGGAGCGTTCGTTCTGCCGAGAGGTCGTTTCGCCGTATGAGCTCCTCACGCGTTTCTTTAAAGATCCTGTCATGCCTTGTCCATACAGTCGGATGCTGAGATTGTGGCGAGTTCACGGCACAATATCCTTGGAGAACTTGGAAATATCTCGGGATAGTTCGGCTTGTTATTACTCGATGGCAGCGTGTCACCGATAGCTCGTGAAACATCGTGAAATTCTCAACATCCATCTCGGTATCCTCTCGGCAATAACTCGGCACAAACTCGGCACCGACTCGGCAATGTGTGATAGGGAAGCTTTAATCCGCGCGTAATGTATGTAGGAGCTCAAATACCAAAGAAAAAAAGAATCGATGGCATCAGCGAAACGACGGATTTTAACTCTAATGGTTTGTCTCTGGGGTCTTTGTTTGCTTGATTGATTCCTTGAGTGGTATCAAATGAGTAGGCCTAGTAAAAGTGATCTCAGTGTTTTACTAGTGCAGTGATACAGGCCGAAAATTGTTCTGATCCAGAGACGAAACGCCGATGCTATGCGGATCCAATATACTTTTACCAGTATTCATTAATAAGCCTATTTTTCCATTGTTTCAATGATTAGTCTCGTAAACTTTCGTACCAAAGGTACTAGGGAAAGTATCACAATTATATATATTTTCTCGGTTAGTTTTTCTACGCTCAGAGCAAAAATTTAAATAGAATAGTATAAAAAGGACTAGCTAGTATATTGAGCGTTTGACGTTATAGTATTGTTTGCGTTTCGTCTACATGTGCTGGCTTCCAAATGATCCGTTTGTATATAAGAGCATTATCCCTCCGTTATGATAAGAAAGTTATTATGTACATAATTCTTTTTAGTGAACAATTCCCAGCTTTGTTAAATTGTTACTTCTGCTATATCTATTATCTGAAAGGCAGTGGAACATTATTGTTTAAAAACGTTTGCCGCAAACGCTAAAGCAGGGTTTGAATGCCATGTATATCATTACTAGGGTAGAGAAATTGTTGTGAAAAATACGTCACATCATGTTCCTCTGCCTTTAATTTATATTGTCGCCTTTGTTCATCAATATGAACATTTTATATTTCTTCATCACATAAAATTAAACCGTATTCAAAGCTTATTATATTGTGAATTTTTTAAACTAAAGATATGTATATAGGATGTCCGATAATATCAATTATCGTTTTTACTTGTATATTTATCTATTTTGTTGAAATTCAAAATAGAATGAAAGTAGGATATCATGTATTCAATCCGCATACAGTGGATGATGTGTGCTTTCAGACATAATTAGAATGTCTTTATTTACACATTAAAGTTGTACTAGACTTAAACATTCCAGTATTATCGTCCACCGTCTCTCAGTGTGCCCCAAACCGAGGGAGTTTAAATCAGAATGGACAAATATATAGGCACTGATATTGTATTGCAGATATACAGTGGTCATGAAATGGACATATTTCACTTATTTTGTTTTGGATTCAGGGATTCGGCCTTTAAAGGTCTATTATCTAATTGCAGTATCTTCCAATATGCTTCATTTATTCATCCCTGTGTCAACACCTTACCTTATTCAACATTCAAGTGAGTGGTAGCAGAATTCAATGAATGAATTTGATTTGGTGATTCGAAAATATGAAGGGAAAACCATCTTATAGGCACTAGATATCGTAGATTACTTGAACTGCAATTAGAAATTTTGTCCATCTAATCTTTCAGGCATATACATTCTCATATCATTAGTATACACATACACACACGCAAACACACGTATCATCACGTATTCCCTTTCAGGTAAAACTCATTCAACCATCATTCACCATTTTCAGAATGGACTAATTGGATAGAAACAAATTTAAACATAAAAAAAAGAAAAAAAATCGTACAGAAAACTATCGGCACCAGTCTTAAAATCGTCAGTCATAATTACATTTCGTTTTCCCCCGAAGTTTTGAAGAGTATTGTCCCCAACAAAATGACACAATTCTAGCGAATCTTATTTTTTAAAATGGTAAAGAAATTGTGCCATATCAGCACGCTTTCTATCATTGTGTTGCAGCAGCAGCCCGATTTGAACTACGCCCTCTCCGCTCCAGATACGCTGGATGTGGCACTCAGCTGGATCATAGGCCGTCCAGAGGCTTGCGAGTACGGCAGGCGTCCGGTCTACATGACTTGACCCGTTGACTGCCACCGGCTTTCGTGCTTGTGCCTTGTCGGCCATTTTGGCGGTCGAAACTCAGGGTTATACTGGTTAATGGAGGCGTATGGAGGTGCTATATAATCCAATGCCAGTAGAAGAGTGCTGCATAACTATAAAGCCTGTTTAATAATCTCAATACAGGTATCAGACATCTGTTATTTTAAAGTATCCTCATTTTACAGTAAGGGAGACAGCCGTATTTGGAGGACAATATAATGTCCTCCGTTAACGAGAGAAAAAAAATCCGCATCAGTGAGCACGCATGATCTCTCATCTGCGCTGTTCATTCTGTCGCTGCAGAGACACTCTAAAAGAGCCTTTGCTAATTTGACTTTGAAATATTTTGAAAGATGTAGAACACATTCCTATGCTATGTTAACCCCGAAAGTATGTGACCATACACTGCACTATCTGTAAAAAACTAAGAGTTTTATGGCAGTGCAGATTTCAAAAAAATATAAGATTTTATGAAGATATATGTATCAAGTCTCGCAAGTCAAAACCATATGATTTCTACGCATCTACAGATCAAGCACATCGGGTTCACACGTGTGCTCTCTGATGCAGAACTTGTCTTGTTAACAGAGGACAACAATCGTCCTTCAAAATAGACCGTTTCACTGACTGTTTATCAAAGAAGATACTGCATTCATCCCAGATATTCCATGCTGAAAGCTTGATAACTTTTGAAGATTGTGCCATGATAAAATGCATTTGCAGGGAAGGAAAAATTATCGCTTCGGAGACAATGCTGCGTCAACTCTATACTCCAAATCATGCTCTCTTGAAATCATTGCGTTTAATGATCTCAACTAAACAATTATTTCATTTTCACAAAACTATATTCTGTAATCATGCATTTGTAATATTTTATTCAAAAAGAATGGGTGCTGAATATGGATTGTATATAACTGAATAATACTGTCACTCGTGTAATTATTCATTCATTCAATATTTACTCGCACATATATTTTGGATGATAATCTCCCTTGGAAATTAATACCTCATACGATGAGGTCATTTAAAAACAATTGTTATTCAGGGAGAAAAACATAATGTTCTGTTTATACATGTAAATCACTCACTTTACAACTCTTCTTTGATCTGAATCTATGTAGTAATTGTAAAAAATAAAGCATACTTTAACTTCAAATATTCACATATGACTATATTCTGGTTCCAAATTCATTTCAAACAGCTAGTCACGAACCAGTGACAGTAGTCAGATGTGTGTTTCATCCAATTTCATAATCACAATTGATAATCACTTTTCACAAACGCATGTACACTGTGATGGGTGTGTGATATCTATTAAATAACTGCCTTCATATCATATGACCTTGCATGCATTATTGAGTGTATGAAAATGAAAGGAAATGAAAATATATTCATCTTCTCATCCTTTGATTATGTATTCATTTCCACAAAAAGCACATAATGCTCTTTATATCTACCCTTACATTGCAATATAGTAAATACAAATTGATTATAAACGAATTGTTACGATTATTACTCAGCTATCATACTGTACGTGTGTGTTGAACAGTTGTATAGATAGTTATGATAATGAGCGAAAGCTATTTTTCATGAAAAGGTTTCGTTCAAGAATTCAATATTTTTCCTATACTTGGAAGTCTTTCAAAATTGAAAATCATAGCAATTGTATAATGCTGTAAATCTTTGTGCTCTCTTTTAATAAGGTGCTGCCACTGATATTTGCTCCCGCAGTTTATTGCAACAGTGTGTATTATGAAAGAGATACATGTAATCGTCTCATTTACCAAAGAGTATATTGTATTGTTTGAGATAACGTGTATTTTATGCTACTTTTTACCAAAGCTTATGTAAGATAAATTGTATTTCTACTTTCTCCTTCATTTTATCATCATTGTACAATTAATTGCCTTTGAAACCAGTTTCGCTGCCTCAGGGTAGTAATGTACATGTAATGGGAAGTCGATCGTAATTTTTTGTAATGCTTTAAATCTCCTTAGTGTTTGCATTGTTATGGTGACTGTAACAGTTTGTGCGGGAAAATAAGAAAGAAAAAAACAACCTTTCAATAATATATTGACGAAAGCAATTCATCTACGAGTACACAATAATCATCATTCATCATTCGTCATGAAAATATTGTGTTATCGACTGTGGCCCTTGCTTCAATTAGTCTAAAAAAAAGTAATGGTAATGTAATTACCATAATGACCAATTATGACAAGATTCCAAATTGGTAGAAAATTATTCTAGAAGTTATGTAAGAATGGGATTAAATCTACATCGTGATGACCTAGTCAACAGCTTCAGCTTATCATGTTAACATCGGCCGTCTGTATGTAATCTTATTGTGTATTTTCACTTTGTGACCTTATTTCTGACAAAAAATAGCTCGGAAAAACGCCTTTTCATAGTTTTCTCTTCTTATGAAACATTTTCATACGCGTTTCATGTTCAATCCGTGTACTGAGTTTCCATTTTCTTAATTCAGGTAAGAGAAATATTGTAAACGTGTGTGCAATGAAATTATCAAACGATGTGTGATCAGTGGTGTAATTTTCATTTGAAATGTCTTTCTCATTACGATGTATGATGCTTTATGTTTCTAATGATTATTATACAAATAATGAATGGTTATGAGTTCAATAGTGCGAATATGTTCATGAGTTGAAAGATTAACATTCTATTCAACGAGGCGTCAGCCGAGTTGAATAGAATTAACGTTAATCTTTCAACGAATGAAAATATTTGCACTATTAAACGAATGAAAAACATTCATTATTTGTTTTATACAACATCGAAGGAGACCTAATAGAACGTTAATCAACAAATTATGCTTTACTCCTTATAAAGATAAATTACAGTTCGAGTCAAGCCTTCTCAATTACATGCAGATTGCCTTCGCGTCAGATACACGCAGGGATACGCGCGCGCACATGCAGCAGAGAGATACGCAGTCTGCATATAACCAAAAATGCACGGCGCATATAACCAAAAATGCACGACCGTGCAATATACCATCTATTGAATATCATGTGACCAACAATCGTCCAATCAAATGACAAGGATCCACGTAGGTGTTGTATAAAATGACAATGATTATCTGAAATTTTGAAAAGTGCACTTCTACACAACCATGCTAAACCGTGCATTGAGATGAAATCAGGTGAATTGAACTAGAATTGCAATATTGATCATTGTACATTGGGTATTTTGATATTCATAGGCCTACGCTACATGGACATGTGTTTCCTCAAATGTAATGTCCACCAAGAACTTTGATATGAACGGCTGAGGAATTATTCTCAAATCCTCATAGAAATGGGAAAGTATTACGTTTTGATTTCATAGCTCTGTCAAACAGTACCGTAATCTGCAACGCTAAAGAGTGTAGGTGCAATGTTGGTATAGCAATTTTGACGACTGATTTATTTTCCTGCAAATCTTTTTCCTTCATGAGTGCAGAAACAGAATGACTACTTTTACTTTCTCATTGTTAAATCTTGTAAGGCAATACAGTATATCCTTCTTTAAAATCCCTTTCTTGGGTAGAATTTATATCACCTTAATTGTATCAATGTTGTTCCAATGTACTACATCGTATATTGCAGCATTGTGAAAGAAACGAAGCAATGACAAAATCAGGGAATACTAAATTCTTCTCGCAATATCTATGTATCTTGTTCCTCAATTTTACTGTAAGACTCGAGTGATGTGCCATTATAAATTTATTAATAACTTTTTGTAATATTTTGTTCTCATCTAAGAGTATTTTACCACTGTTTCTGATGAAATTATTGAGATGCGATGTTGTTGTTTTTTTTAAATCACGAGTCTGCTAGTGTTCTGTTTACTTTCACACCTCGGTCACTCAACCAGACCGACTCCAACCCGACTCCAACCCGAATCCAACCCGAATCCAAGCCGACCGATTCTCGGCCATTGGACATTTTTCGTTCGGCATGTTGTCGGTCTGTTGTCGGTCTCGTGTCGGTCTCGTGTCGGTCTCGTGTTGGTCTCGTCGTTGTGACCGGGATATCATTCCATGAAGACATAATGATTTAGAATGAAAGTCTTTCTACGAACACAGTGACTTTGGAATATATATATTTCTGATGTGATTATGAGATACCTTGAGGATGAAGTGTAATGAAATCAATTCTATGCATTCCAATCATAATGTGTATATAAAGATGATCACTCAAAATGATAATTTATTGCAATACAAAAATTGACAATCTCATTGTAATGACTGCATTGCATTCTTTCTTTTGTCTATATGTTGCATGCTGAGACGTTTTTTTAAATGAGAAAAACATGTAGGCCTATGACGATGTCTTTTCTATTACATTCAGGAAAGTACACGAATGATAGCTTTAAACTCCTTTATAACACTTACTTTATATCATTTTTTGATAACTGCTGGAAATTGTGTGTGTGAGAGAGAGAGAGAGAGAGAGAGAGAGAAAGAGAGAGAAAGAGAAAGAAAGAGGGAGAATGAGAGAGAGAGAAAGAGTGAGAGCGAGAGAGTGGGAGAGAGAGATAGAGACAGAGACAGAGAGAGAGAGAGAGATAAAGACAGAGACAGAGAAAGAGAAAGAGAGAGAGACAGAGAGAGAGACAGAGAAAGAGAAAGAGTGTGTGAGAGAGACAGAGACAGAAACAGAGAAAGAGAAAGAGTGAGAGAGAGAGAGACAGAGAAAGAGAAAGAGAGGGAGAGAGCGACAGAGACAGAGAAAGAGAAAGAGTGAGAGAGAGAGACAGAGAGAGAGACAGAGACAGAGAAAGAGAGAGAGAGAGAGACAGAGAAAGAGAAAGAGAGAGAGACAGAGACAGAGACAGAGAAAGAGAGAGAGAGAGACAGAGACAGAGAGGGAGAGAGAGAGAGACAGAGAAAGAGAAAGAGAGAGACAGAGACAGAGACAGAGAAAGAGAGAGAGAGAGGCCGACAAGTGGGGATACCGTATGGCATATGACATGGATGAGAGAAATATATTAAAATCTGTTCGACCACTTCAATATTCGTCCACCTCAAACTATGCATGTATGGAACATGGAATTAGCATAACTGTTTATATAAGAATACATAAAAATATTCAAAAACATTACCCATAAACGTTCATGAATTTTACTGAGACAAATTGTCAATTTGTTCAAACTAACTGTAAATATCTGAGGAAAAATATACTTTTGAATTGAAATGAACTAAATTGAGTTTCCTCTCTTGAACAGATACAAGTACATTATAGTCTATCTTACAAATGCCTTAATACAAACGAGTATTTATCCCACGGCGCCCAATCTCCCTTTCTCTTCTATATAAGATGTCCTTCTATATTTAACAATCCTGAAAACGAAACACCATTTATTTTTCACTCTCTCTTAAAGACCCCCATATAGGGAGGCCTTTCTTCGATTGTTCTATACGGGCGCTGTTTTGCCACTCCTATTTGCTCGCTCGTAAGGTTTCTTTATTTTTAGGAGGGTGTTTGAGGTTGTTTCTAAGTTTACTAAACGGATTTTGCTTTTGACTTCTCTGTTATCCTTACTTCGCAAATGACAATGCTTTCTCGGACTGCTACAGGAGCTTCGTTGCTTAGATACCTTTTTGGGGGGTCCCTTTTCCATCATTTATTGTAAGGCCCGTTAGTTGGGGGAGGGAGAACAAACAAAAATTGCGCTGAAAAAGAAATCACGAATTAAAATCAGTCAAAATACATTAATGCTACAATCATTGTATAGATTCGACTTATTTCTCATGAAACATACATTGGTTGCTTGATCTCTGACGTTCTCTTCCGCTTTCCATATCTTATTTCATTTACTTCTCCATCTCTTTCATGAGTTCCTTTTCTCGCGTTCTTCGATTCTGCCTTTCCCCAACTATTTTCACCTTTCCTTCTTCCTCTATAACCTTTATTTCTTGCTCTCTCTCTCTCTCTCTCTCTCTCTCTCCCTCTCTCTCTCTCTCTTATCTCTCTCTTTCTCTCTTTCATTTTCTGTTTTGTTTCCATCGTTTATTTTTCCCCTTTTTATGATCATTTTGAAAATCTCTCTCAATTATTTTCTCTCGTTTTGTTTAGCTTCCCAGTCCTCTTCCAACTCTTTACAAATCTTTTCGGAAGAACCATTACTTAATTTTGTCAAAATTTATGGCATATTTTGTTGTTCGCTTTTCGATATTTTTAAAAACACGTGAATTAGTCCGTATTGCTCAAGCACAATATTTATTTCAGAATTATAGCACTAACGCTTGGCACTAACTCTTGAAAAGCTCTAATTTGGGCAGTGTCCTTAAATACTAGTACCTTTGCGACTAAACTGTAGATACCATTAATAACATTTCAGCCAGTGATTGCAAAACCTTACTTCTTTGTCAAACACCCTCATTGGTCATTCATTTGTATGTGCATAACGGGCTTTATGTCCACTATAAGCCCTTTTGTATATTTGACTTTGGTTTTCGTGCAGACGATCATTGAGTACCGCTCGCCCTTCTTATGTTCGCGGGGTTGTTTTCTTATTTGTTGTAATGAAAGAAAGTTCAGACAGTAGCTACAACATCATGTCAGTTGCCATCGTCTTTACTGTTCAACATTTTACCCGTACTTTTATTTGATTTGGAGATTATTCTGGCTCTGAATGGGAAGAATTGCTTTACTGTTACTACGTGAGGGCGTTATTGTGATGCCAGTTATATATATATCGAGTATCTGCAAATCTGTAACTTTTTCTATTGATATTTTCATTTGAAAACATTTATGAAATTGTAAAATGGATATCTCATACACATACAATGAAATACAATATTTTGTAAACATAAAACACTAATTTACTAATATTCCATTGAATTTGTCACAATAAGCTAATTTTGACGACTTCATAATTAAGTCAAATGTTTTTTGTATACTGTGATGCACATAAACGTCTAATAACCGCTTAAAACTAAGGTAAAATTAAAGCATTATGTTGCAGATATGCATGCAACGACAATATATTCCTAAAAAATAAAAATAAACATAACATAAACAAAAAGCGTATAAAATGTCTTTTCATCTTTTTAAAATGTTTATTTGAGCAAAGTACTGTATTCATATACAAGCAGTAACGAAATGCATTCAAAACATGTTGCTGTTTTGTATCTTAAAAGGTATTACTATAATTATTACAACATTAAAAATAAAATAGAGCAAGTCATGCATTTGTCCTCAATTGCACGAAAAACATCTTAGCAAAAAAAACAAAAAAACATTATATTTAGCCGTTTCGTCTTCACTCTTACTGAAGTAAAAAAAACGAGGCGATAATTTTCATTGTCCTGTTAAAGATTCATCATTAATAATCTCCAAGTTTGGAAGCGCTTAGTGATTCTAATAAGCGCTATATAAAAACTGAGTATTATTATTATTATCATTATAACTTCATTAGAATTTAGAGACAAAAATCTATACACATCCGTACATGTTTAATAAGGCACTTAGATGATAATGGTCATATCAAACGTTTAAACTTTGGCAAAATACAAGGAACAACAAACAAATATCAAGTCTCTTTGGCAATTGATACAATAAGGTTCAACTTCATCGGACAAACTGAACATACTGTCCACCATTAACTAGTGTACGACATATATGGCTGTTGCGCACTAACATTATTGCCCGATTGCAAATATAAGACATGAAATTGTCATCGCTGTCCGTTTTCATTAATATCAATATACATTAAAAAACGAGAAAAACACTGAAACATTCAAGATAGAATTATAACTATTCGAAATATACATAATCATGATAATTACAATGCACTGTGAGGTGTAATCATCAACTCCGTACATATTATGTCCCTACTCTTGCGACAGTACAGCGTTCGAAACTTCGAGCCTTAATCAATTTCAGGTATAGCCTAGGCCTACATATCCCCAAGATTGAATAACAAAGAGACATTTTCGAGCCTATTTCAAATACCAAATCGGTTTACTTCTATGATTAACGTGGCATTTTAAAATGTCACACTTTTCAGATGCACATGCAGATACAAACCAAATACCAATTGTTCTCAAACGGGACCCTTTTACTCGGATCACGCCTTGTGTGAATAATCCGGATTTCTATCTTGGTATCAGTGAAGGATCGGGAGGGGTGAAAAGATTTAGAGAACGTGCCCCCCTCCCCCCTCCCCCGGCCCCCTCACTCAGTGTTATTTAGGGTACGCATATGCATGTTCCCTCCTTTTGAAAACACCCTCTAAGTCCGGTGTGTAAAGTCAATACGGGCCGGATTTTTGTGTACTACGCGCCGGACTTTAGTGAGTGAAAAGTACCCCGTTACCGAACATTTTGGTAACACGCATGGTATCCCTCCGTTCACGGAGTGGGGGGCCGGGCCCACTCCCCCCCCCCCCCCCCCCACACGACGTCATATTGTTCATACATTAATACACATCTGAATACAAACCGAATTTGTACTTGTCTATTCCATCCCTCCACAGTAAAATAAGCCTTGACCCGCCGCTGTGAAGAAGCTGCGCGTTTCTATTCTCTATATCACTATGATGCAATGCCCGCTGAACACGAGGCGTCAATTCAATTGCGTTTTCACCTCCGCTAATCAAGCGTGTAAAGCCAATAGCGCACGTAAACGCCAATATTTAACACAATGTTTCCACTGTTCATTTTGCATTATATACGATGTCATCCGACTCTTTACAACGTGCGTAAACGTACGGCCGCTCCACTCGTTGACGCACTCTTACGTCAGGCAAATAACGCCTCGTGCGCATGCAGGCTGCAGCTGGCATAGAACAGTCATTTCAAGCATGCAGCAGTCATCAGAGTTCAGTCGTCGGAACTCGGGTTCTCGCCCGCGGGCCGTACACGTCCCTTGCGTCCATCTTCTCCTCCTCGGCAGGCGTGTAGCACCACCGAGAGAGCACCAAGAGGAGGAACGATGCGGACTTGAAGCACACGACCAGGATGAGGAAGTACCTGGCGAACGCTTGGTTGTCGTAGATGAGACACGCCCCGGACCCGCTACAGCTCGACTCGTCCCACTTGATGCAGGCGCGATCGATGACCAAGCCGAAAACGATGGGTGCTGGAACGGTACCTGGTTTTGGAGTATGGGTTCAAAGGGTTAAAAGCAGAACCACCGAATTTAAGAAAAGAGGGGAAAACACTCTGTCCCTCAAATTGTGAGATAAACTATTAACTGGCATAGTTTCAGCTGAAAAGTTAGAGAGCGTAAAACACTACGTGCAGAAAAAAGAAGGAAATATTAGAATACGTCGCTGTCATATTTTTGTCATTTCATTCTCTTGCTGATTTTTTAAAAATAACTTTTAAAACTTAAAATGAATGAATAGGTTGATAGGATTTATATCTTTCTTTCATATTTTTACCTAATATGCTCATTGTAATGATTGCAGGAGACCGAGACAGCTTTCCAAAGGACTGGTTTAAAGTAAAACTATTGTAAATTCGAACTTAAGAAAATTTCATCCTGTATTAAACCTCCTACACATTTTAAAATTAAATGCCCGTCATTGAATTCAAATTATCACCAAAATAACTCACCTAGACCGCCATAGAAGATACATTGTACTCCCAGTGCAAACGCTCTCTGCGAGTACGACACAGACCTAGTGTAACATAAAAAAAAACGATGTAGAAAAATAATGAATATTGTGATGACTTTTTAAAAGTCTAGAGAAATGTGACTTGTTTAAGGTCAGATCAACATGAAAATAGCCCTAAAAATGTGGATTTGTAATACTGTAAACAACAAAAATCGTATGTTTGTGCCCCCCCCCTGAATATCCGACAGTAGACTAGTTTACTAACACATTCAAACTTAAAAACCGACATAGCAAAAAGTAATCTATGCAGACTGGATTCCAAGTATTGTAGTTCATCCATTAAATGTCATGTAAATGGATATCTCGTCACTAGGTCCCCAGGAAAGAAACATCTATACATTTGAATATGTTATTGAACGGTCTAAACATTATTGTGTTTTTCCATAATAAAAGCTACTCAGGTGCGGTTCTAGAAGAATAGTTGGGGTTGGGGCTTGCATGGGTTTTGTTGCATTCATTTACTGCATATACCTTGCTTAGTTTGTTTATAATCAAGATTTTTCGGGGAAGGATGGGGGGGGGGGGGGTTGAGCCCCTAAGCCCCCTCTAGAATATCGAATGAATCTACTGCAGTATGCTACATTACGTTATTACCTCATAGTCGCAATCCAAGCCGGGATTGTCGTCATTGTTCCAAAGAATGCAAACAACCATATCAATACCAGGTACAGCCATTGCACATTACACCACGTCTGGCAACGCCCCGGTTTAGCACCCCCGTACAGGAACGGTCGATCCCCGCTGTCCGTTGTGACGTCATCATACGTAGGTGTGGACGTACCGTTTAGCATAATACATCTGCAGTCGGTGAATACCTGTAAAAGGAGAAGTACCAAATTGAGCATGGAATTTCTTGCGGAGGTGAGGTTGTTACTCAGTCATTAGTGACGTTAATTATTTTTAAAGGAATCAAGGCATAAATTTGTAAATGTCACACTATTTCATAAATGCTTTTCTTGCTTTGCGCTGTTAACCAGATTAATTAAAAACAAATCTAAACTGTCTTTTGAATGTCAAATTCTCTCAATGAAAACGAAAAAGGATTCGAGGGAGAGTTTCCTAGGGTGTGCAAATACGTGGCAGTTTTATCGTTGTTCTTAGATTGATATTACTCTTAATGCTCACTATACACATGCGTCAATCAATTGCGCTATTACCTGCGCTTATCAAGCCTTTGAAGAAAATAACTGCATGCGCCAATTATATAAGCGTTTGCAATGTCTCAATTTTTCATTCACATTTTGAAGATGACACCCTAATGCCCACTTCACACGATGCGTCATTTGCTGACGGAGTACTGCGTCAGCGACCTGCGCAGTCATTGACACGAGGAGAGAGAATGACCTCTACAAAAAAAAAACAGTGCTCTGTAATACTAGCGTATTACTTAATTCGGTTCACAAGCTTGAATAGCGCAGGTAGTAACCTGGAAATAAACCCTTGTGTGCATCGGGTATTTGGGGACACGTCAAAGGCCGCGTCAGTCAGGTGAATGACGCATCGTGTCAGCGGGCATGTATGATGTAATTCCTCACCGTTGTTCCCGCGTCATCGACGTACTCGTCCTCCCTACAGCCTGCATAGCAAGGCGAGAAGTACATGACATTGTCCTCTCCGCATACGGGCTCGAAGTACTCCGTACAGGTACAATGGGAATTGCATGCAGAGATGAGCGAGACTTCATCCGCAGATATACGTGTTGAACTAAAGGGGCAACAAGAATTGAATAAGCAGATTTAAATTGTGAATTTTAGTTCAAAAGAAAACAAATTATCCATCCTATTCTTTAAACAGATACTTAAATGGATTAATCGACGAAAGATAAAGAGGAATAAAGGCACCTGTTAGCTTTATGCACGATGAGTTTTAATCAGGATCGAAATCAATTATATTTTAAATTCGAATTAAGGATCAGTGGACTGAAGAAGAAAAAAGGTAAGAAACTTGTTTAAGCTATACACACACACACACACACACACACACACACACACACACACACACACATATATATATATATATATATATATAGTATGTACGAAAACCCTGGATCAACCAATTATATACATGATCTTAAAAGAAATTAACTTGATACATGCTTGCTGGTATGATAGCTCAGCTCAAACTACTGCTTTACCTGGCGGGTAACAGACCAGGGCCCCGTTTCACAAAGATCCTAAGTAGAACTTAACACTAAGTTGGACTTAAAAGTTATGGACAGCCATTGGAGCCTTAAAACGAAATATATTCAAAAGCAGAAATTCAAGTATTTTAGACTTTTTATAAATTCCACATCCAGAACATGAACTCTCCTTGATGATAGAAAATATGAATGATTTGAATCAACATTTTATGCCTTTCAAAATAACTTTTACAAAATATTTTCAAAGATGCTAATGGCTTTCCATAATTTTTAAGTCCAACTTAGAGATAAGTTCAACTTAGAATCTTTGTGAAACACCCCCCAGACCCGGGTAGGGTACAAAACGCTATATAATCTACCAATAAATCAAATTTACGCTTGCACAAAATACATGATCGAATAATAATGCTTTTATTAAGTTTGGCTTGAACTCCTTCTCGCATCCACTAATTACACTTTTCATGTGAAAACCCACGAGGTAGATTTTTTTGTAATACCTTTGTTTTTGTTTTAGGACCTCGATTGCAATTTTATTTATGGATCGTTGTGGGGTGAAAATGATTGAGTATTCACGCGGGTCCTTTCATGCCCGTTTCCCCTGCATTGCCTTTTCCAGGATACGTTATATTTCTGTCTATGGTCTATGGTGTTCATCACTCAAGTACTATACAGTCAAACCTGCTTTAGTGACCACTTGTCTACAAAGACCACACGTTTGGTTTCCCTTGAAAATGGTTTCTCATTGAAACATGTACAAAATTAAGGAACCTGTCTACAAAGACCACTTTTTGTGCTTCCGTTGTGCGATCGCTATAGACAGGTTTGACTGTATGTACGTACTAAAGGAACCTGTCTACAAAGACCACTTTTTGTGCTTCCCTTGGACGGTCGTACTCGCTATAGACAGGTTTGACTGTATGTGCATGCTAGGTAATTTCAGGGGAGTCTGTAGCACACGACATCAATGCAATACTTACGTTTGGTATTCGACAGTAATCCCTGCTAGTGGTGGATTAGGGCAGTGCATGAGAAAACCTAGTCCCACTAATAATGAGGCGAATACAGAGCAAATACTAAGCTTCAGTAGACCTTCAAACTTTAAATCAAACTTCTTGATTATACCGCCACTGATGATGGACCCCAAAAAGTGTTGCGTCATCACAATAAATCCTGTAGATAGATAAGAACACAGATAGTTTGAAACAATTATTTTGTTTTGATGTTGATTTTTTTTTTTTTTTTTTAATTGTAGTTAAGGAAATGAATTTATCTCCGATTCTAACTAATAGATGATAACTCCTAAGTTTACCTTAAACAAAGTTTCATGGACTTCAGAAAGAGCTAGATTTTTTTTTATGAGGCTATCCTGTATTAAGAAGATATCATTATCATCATTTATGATTACAATTTTTTTTTAAATCTTGATAAGGTGATTACAATGTTCATAAATCATCTTATTCACGCGAAGTCCGAGAAACAATATATTTGGGAGGCTTTGGGGGCTTCGGAGCTCTTGCGTTATTTGTTTTCATGAGCCTCGCGCAAATTCATTTATAATCTAGAAAGGGGGAGGGGGTAGCTTCATCTCCCAGCCCCCATCTAGAATCGATAATGGTCTTAAAGCCACACTGTCCTACTTGTAGCTACTTGCTCCCTCTATATAGAAAACAATGCCTAATCGGTGACCATTGGTCACCCCCATGATCTTCGTTTTCGTATGTTAATTGAGAGCTGAGTTGATGAGATAACCACCTGTCCAGTATCCTTTCTGGTCGGTCTAATCCCTCCAATAAAGTAGTACAGATAAGCTTTAATACAATTATTGATGTATTTATCTCACCTAGAGATTTGCCGACGTCTCTTGCGTTCATATTGAACTGCGACTCGAAGAACTTGGGTGTGAAGACGAAGATGCCCGTTCCGATGAAATAGTCGGTGGCGGCCTCGAGGGAGAGGAAGAGGAAAGGGACGTTGCTGAGGATCTTGACGAGGGCTCGTGGAGCGTCTCGTATCGAGTTACCAAGCCCTGGTCGACTCACGAACTCGCTACCCTTGTTCCCTTGTCGACGCCGCTCGCGTTGGTTCTTTTTCATTCCTGATATAGGGTTCGCGGGTTGAGCGAGCAAGGTAGAGAGGGGGGGGGGGGGGTGAGGGGAGCAGAAATAGGGAGAGAGAGAGAGAGAGAGAGAGAGAGAGGAAGAGAGAATGAATAAGCAAGATAACGAGAGAAAACGTGCGTGTGACAGACAGTTAGTCATTAAATGAGAGAGACAGAAAGAGGGGAATGAGAGGGAGGAGATAAAAATACATGTATAAGATTACGATTAGGCCTATATGACATAACCTAAAACAAAAAGGTTTGTTCATTATATCAAAAAATTAGAATAGACTTTTCGTGTCCATCTTACTAAAAACGTTTGAGAAATATCTTTACTCCTGTTTGGCCCCAAACAGGTAAATTTAACCCTTTTTTTTAATATAAAAAAGGAAAAAATAGTGCTTTCCCCCCCCCCCCCCCAGCTTATTCTCCGGCTGACTGACTCGTCGCTAAACGTTTTCTCATGAAATTGGGCCCCCTATTGGCCCCTCCCTTGTCGCCGGCTGGATCCGCACCTGGGGACATGTACCCTCTGGGCAGTGGGCCAGAAATCAGTGGCGTAGCTTCAGTGGGTAGCTACGCCACTGATTTCTCACATACAATGCTTGCCCCCAACAGTTCTTCAATTTCTAACTTGAAATATCTTAACTATTAATATACAAATTGACAGATCTTTGCTGTGCGTGTAGGAGGTAGTATTTACCTGGTAGGGCTCTTGGGAAGGCCATGATAGTAAACCCTGAGAGAATGACGAGGCTGGCACTGATGAGAAACCCCAGCCACCATGCACCTACCCAGAGAGGATTATCAGGAGTGATGGTAACGCTGAAGAAGAAAAAATGAGATGTTCAGAAAAAAATTATGGGATTGGCAAACTACATGTATGCATATGATAATAATGGCTTCTTTGACATAGTAGTACTCATATCCGTCGCGTCATGAGGCTCATAGCGCTTAAAGATTATAGCCGAGATAGCCTAAAGTAACCAGAGTGAAAGCATATCAAGCATGATAAGAAACTCCAGCCACCATCCATCCACCTATACTAACGACCCATTGACTGGGCTTTAATATAGTAATATACATAAAACAAAACTAATGTCCAGTTATTTAAAAAAAAACGCATTCAGTGGCGTAGCATGAGCCCATTTATTGAGGGGTATGGGGGCACCAGTGAATGAAATTCGGGAGTGAGAAGAGGGTGTAAAAAGGGTGTTATTATCTTCTTGTATGCATCGCCTTTCTCGTCACCCTTTCTTTCTATATGTCTTCTCTGTATTTCTCTCTCTCTCTCTCTCTCTCTCTCTCTCTCTTTGTCTTTCTATTTTACATTAATGACTGTTTCTCGTTATAGGACACGTGACCCCGTAGCTACGCCCTTGTTTAATGATTAGGAAGCACTTTTCATGTCATTTAATATATATTTTTCTGACCAGCTGTCTTATTATCTTAAATTTGTTTTTTTGTTCCGTTTCTCTGACTTTTTTTCCTGGCGGTTCTTAAAAGAATGTTTGTTTGTTTGTTCTTTTGTTAGTTTTTTTGTTAGTTTGTTCGCTTGTTTGTATGTTTGTGTTTTTGTGTCTTTTTGTATTTGTTTGTTTGGCTCTTACCTTGACAAGTCAGAGTAGAAGTTGGTATGAAGGGAGAGCGTCATGGTCCCAATGAAATAACCTGCTGCTGGCCCAAAGCTCATTACCGCGTTGAATATACCTAGAAAAAAGGGGTCAGAGGAATTTATAAGCCAATATCAAAGGGCAATCCATTTTTCATTTGTATGAAAGCAGAAAAGTAAGATGAACCGAATGGCGAATGTTTGAAATATGAGATCAGTAAGTCTATTCAAATTCGCAGTTTAATAAGTCAGTGCATTGCGAGGCGTTTGCGGATAACTCTCCCGTTAAAATTATCAAGTATAAAAAAAAATCTCCTTAAATTCTGTTTTTTCTCCCAAGTGCCTTCTCCCTTGGGGTATGACTCGTTCTTTTAGTACTGCGTGTTGAAACAAATGGTAAAGTTTTACGCCATAACATCACAGAGACATTACCGGTTCAGCAATTTTGAGGAGCCCCTATACCTATAGCGAATACAACTTTCAAAAATTGTTTCCGATTTCAATCTAACTAAGTTTGGGTCTAAACAATATAATAAACTAGAAAAGGAAATTCAAAGAATCTCGCGTTGGAACATGTCAAAGAATATCAATCAATTGCAGAAAGATTTTGTTTTTCTTTCCTTCTACCACTCCATAGGTAATTCATATCGACCTACAACTTTACATTTATTTGTATTTAGTGCTAAGGTGAAGAAATTGATAGTTGTAATCTATTTAGAAGAAAGAAAAAACATCAAGCCATCATCATGCTCAGTGTTTCAGCTATCTCACTGCCCATAAAACGTTCGAGTGATGTAGTGTCGCGTGATAACTTTTCTTAATGCAAACACAAAATTTCTGAGAAAAAAATCAACATTCAAAATCATTAAAGAATTCATGGTACCTTACCCATGTATAAACCGAATGTTTTGGTGGAGAGGTTGTCATCCAAGTACGTCACCCCGAGGGTGAAGACTGGCGCGGCGGCGAGGCTGTTACATAGCTGAGCTAGGACGAAGAGCCATAAGAATCGCGAAGGGTCGCCGCCATCTCCTCCGCTTTCTGAGATGATAATAACATATACAAAATCTAGATGATACACACATTTGTACATATTAATATTACTTTTATAAGTGATTGACATATGGATATTAAAAGGTATGGTAATAATTTTATAATCATTGGAAAAGAATGGTGAATGATTGGTCAATGTTTTTAAACGTCATTATCATCCCCAGACAACATATCCAGACCTGGACAACACTAAGGACAACTTCCCCTCTAACAAATACAACCAGAGCAATTACCCCTCGAACAACTACCAAAAGGACAGTTACCCTTCGAACAACTACCACCAGGACAATTACCCCTCGAACAACTACCAACAGGACAGTTACCCTTCGAACAACTACCAACAGGACAAATACGTCTCTAACAACTACCACCATGACACCCCTTGAAAAACTACCGCTATAGGACAATTACCCCTCGAACAGTTACCACCAGAACAATTACCCCTCGAACCAACAGCTACCAACAGGACAATTACCATCCAAACAACTAACAACAGGACAGCTACCCCTTGAACAACTACCAACAGGACAACTACCCCTCGAACAACTACCACCAGGAGAGCTACCCCTCGAACAGCTTCCACCATGATAATTATCATCCAAACAACTAACAACAGGCCAGCTACCCCTCGAACAACTACCAACAGGAGAGCTACCCCTCGAACAACTACCACCAGGAGAGCTACCCCTCGAACAGCTTAATTCCACCATGATAATTATCATCCAAACAACTAACAACAGGCCAGCTACCCCTCGAACAACTACCAACAGGAGAGCTACCCCTCGAACAGCTACCACCAGGAGAGCTACCCCTCGAACAGCTTCCACCATGATAATTATCATCCAAACAACTAACAACAGGCCAGCTACCCCTCGAACAACTACCAACAGGAGAACTACCCCTCGAACAGCTACCACCAGGAGAGCTACCCCTCGAACAACTATCAAAAGGACAACTACATGTACCCATCGAACAACTACCAACAGGACAATTACCCCTCTAACAACTACCAACAGGTCAAATACCCCTCTAACAACTACCAACAGGACAGTTACCCTTCGAACAACTACCAACAGGACAAATACGTCTCTAACAACTACCAACAGGAGAGTTACCCTTCGAACAACTACCACCAGGGCAATTACCCTTCGAACAACTACCAACAGGACAGTTACCCTTCGAACAACTACCACCAGGGCAATTACCCCTCTAACAACTACCAACAGGACAGTTACCCTTCGAACAACTACCACCAGGGCAATTACCCTTCGAACAACTACCAACAGGACAGTTACCCTTCAAACAACTACCACCAGGACAGTTACCCTTCGAAAACAAATACCACCAGGACAGTTACCCTTCGAACAACTACCACCAGGACAATTACCCTTCGAACAACTACCACCAGGACGATAACCCTTCGAACTACTAGCACCAGAATGATTACCCCTCGAACAACTACCAACCGGACAGCTACCCCTCGAGCAACTACCAACCGGATAATTACCCTTCGAACAACTAGCACCAGAACGATTACCCCTCGAACAACTACCAACAGGACAGCTACCCCTCGAGCAACTACCAACCGGAAAATTACCCTTCAAACAACTACCAACAGGACAACTACCCTTCGCACAACTACCAATAGGACAGCTACCCCACGAACAACTACCAACAGGACAATTGCCTCTCGATCAACTACCAACAGGACAATTACCTCTAGAATAACTACCCCTCGAACAACTACCAACAGGACAGCTACCCCTCGAACAACTACCAACAGGACAATTAACTCTAGAATAACTACCAACAGGACAACTACCCCTCGAACAACTACCAATAGGACAGTTACCTATCGAACAACTAACAACAGGACAACTACCCTCGAACAACTATTACCGCATTTTTGCTTTTGGCTTATGTCATGCTACCCTGGCCATCCAGCCAAACAGAAGAGTTCATGCACCGAAGTATACTACTTTGTTCAAGTTTGTTTGTTATTTTCTTTCACACTTCAATCTTTTCAATTTAAATCGATCACGTGGGAAGCTCGTTACGGTGAATGACGTAAATCAGGTGACCTTGATTGTGACATGAATAGAACAGAAAGAGGTCAAGTTCATCCGAGTTTAGTTTCGAGACTGAAAGGATACAAATAGATTATTATCAATGAACGATATTCAAATAAAAAGGCAGAGAAAATGCGCATAATCTCGTTTGTATGGACTCGTTGTGGAACCTGCATGTACATGAACATTATTTTGTTATCTATTCTATTAGACTGATCAGACACAACATTTTTAGGGGAAGCAGGCCTGCAACAGTATTAGTAACAAAAGTGAGCTTTAGTGCTTGTGATGCGATTGTATGTCTGGTTTAAAGCTAATCATCATGCGCATTTGAATGTTTTGAACAGAAATTTGACACCATTTAAATACTGTGAATGATCATCATCATCATCGTTATTATGCATTAGACGAGTTGTTTGGATCGGAGAAAAATATATGTACAAACTATAATAACAGTTTGCTGGAGATAACATTGCACTGAAAAACAAAACCCATGTTTGCTCGTAGGAGATCGCGTGTGAATACCGACTTGGTCGGGACGACTAACTCGATTTCTTTATATAGATTCCATTGCTCATTTTCATGTTAATCGCGTCTTCGAGAATCCAAGAAAAAATAATAATTCGTCATTAATACATATTTATGCCAAATGTGAATAACATCCGAACTCAGTTCCATGTCAGAACCTACAGGAAGGACCAATAATCGACCAACCGAGAAGACCCGCGTGGAATAATGCTCTTGATACATTATTTTGGCACATATTTGCAGCTGAACATGTGCCTATATTATATTAATGTATTTTTAATTTACTGAAGATATGCCAACGGGTCGGTCCCCCCCCCCCCCAACTTAAAAAAAAAAATCGCCACTGCCAAGTAGGATAGAGGTGAACAGACCTTAATTTTTTTTGTTCCATTACTAAATTCAAAATTGGGAGTAACGAACGATATTGAATGGGAAATGACGCAAAGGATAGGCGTCTATTGTGATGCGTCTTTCAAGCGTCTAACAACATTTATCACGCATGCCGTATCTATTTTACCGTTAAATTCTGAAAGAAAGGGCGTCGACTGCCAAACAAATCGGTATTCTTATTTTAGAGCACCAAGGTGTCGGATAAAACCACAAAAATGCTGGATCTGTTCCTAAGCATTAGAGGCAAGCAGAAAATCGTATAAATCGGGAATATATACCTTTATATAACATTGTGAACAAATAGAGTAAAGTTTTGGTGGTCATTATATATTGATGTCATAACTAGATATACGTCGATGAACTACGAGATAACAAAAAGCGCAAAGTCATTTTCCCATTTGCAACTAGCTATAGTGAGGATCGAATTTTTTTCTCAAAACTATATTGCATAGGCCCTACATCACGAATGCTACACGGGAATCATTCTAATTAATTTCTAATCTGTCAATATTAGACGTACTTATTTCTTTGCATAGGTCAATCTTCCACAATAAAGGGTAAAGTACATCGAGAATTGGTCATTTCAAGCACTATTAGCTTCTCCTCAAAACACTTTCAAATGCTAAATTCATCGATGTATCTTTTAAAAATGAAATGTTCATGAAAGAACGGATCAACATAAAGTGCGGAAACCGGTAAACAAAGAGCAAATTTGGGGAAGAAGGAAATAGCAGAAGAAATTAGAAAATATGCAGGACAAAAAAAAAAGGGGGGGGGGCAAAAAAGAATGTAATAAAGCAGTTACATAGAGGAATGTGACAAAACAAAAAAAGTGACAAAATTAATTAATTACCAGTTTCATTCCCTGCACCGCACGTGTCCATTGCCACGCCCATGCTGAGGTTCGATAGGGGGCACACCGCTTGGTCGGAGCCCCCACTGGACCGGTCCTCGGGGTTGTAAAAGTCACTCAAGAAGTGAGGTAGGGTGAAGAGGATGGACCCCAAGGCAAGGAACATGGAACCCCAGCCCACCCATAGGGGCTTGTGACGCTGCTCACCAATATATCTAAATATAAACAGAAAACAATGAACAACATCAACAACAATGACATGTCATTGGGTTCAACTTAGTTTCTGCCAAATCTAACATTAGTAGGAAAGCTTTGTATCCGCTCCAGTGGACTTTTCATCCATTCCTGTCAACTGTTTCAAGCTCAGTGAAACAAAAACAATATTTCAATAATTTCGTTGATAAATTATTTATTACAGTAATAGTTGGATTTATGAAGCACCTTTTCCTAAGCGCTGAATAATATTATATCTTTAGCCGGACTTCCGTTACGGTAATAAAACGCTCGAACATTCAAAGAATTTCTCTTTACCTGTTACCACTTATCCTACTTCCTTCACCGGGGTCGAGAGAAGGAGAAATAGATTAATGTCTAGCTGAAGGAAGTTAGTGAAACGACAGGATATCAACCCCATACTATAGGCCCGTCTTCACTATCTCGAGATTGCCAAATATCCAGCTATTTGAACTATCCCGATCGCAAACTATCCAGCTATCATTAGACCGAAGTAGCAAATTAGCTGGATAGTTGGTCGGGATAATATCCCAAGATATCTCGGTCTAGTTTGCAAAATAGCCCACTATTTCCCAACTAGCGGGATAGTTTGCGACCGTCTTCATTAGACCGAAGTACGGAGTCAAATATCCCGATCCCATCAGGCACAACGATTTCCGGTTTTCCGCGCACATGCGATCTATACCGCTCAGCGCCGCGCTAGTACAACTAGTAAACACGGAAAACCGCAAACTAGACCGAGATATCTTGGGATATTATCCCGACCAACTATCCAGCTAATTTGCTACTTCGGTCTGATGAAGACGCAAATTAGCTGGATAGTTTGCGATCGGGATAATTCAAATAGCTGGATATTTGGCAATCTCGAGATAGTGCAGACACGCCTTTTGTGGTCTCTGGTCCGGTTACATAATCTCTCTGATAGCCTACGACTTTTAATCCCCACTGCACTAATTATAGCTACTTGCGCCCTCTATATAACAAACAATGCCTAATCGGTGACCATTGGTCCCCCGTGATCCTCTTTCTCTTATGTTAATTGAGAGCTGATTTGTTGAGATAGCCACCTGTCAGTGACCATGCAGGGAGGTCTAATCCCTCCTGGCCAGACTAGTGCAGCGGGGCTTTAATTAAATGCCTTATCCTTATATATATATATATATATATATATATATGATACAGAATTTTAAATCTGGCATAGAAATTATGAAAGGGAAATTAAAAATCATATTTCCTCTCTCTCCATTTTCAAGGTCTTCATGGAGTAACGAAACAAATTGTTGGTATTTTTAACCGACCTATACGTCATAAAGACCATAAAAACCATACTGGCGAACTGATACTAGCAATGAGATTGAGGGCGTGTCACCTCCCTACCCGTACCTACGCCAGGCTGATCATAATAAGGAACACCCGATTTCTTCTCATTTTCTTACAATGTTGTAAATTTGTGCCGAGGATTTACATAGATATATCGTTAGTATTTTGAAGCGACCTACGTAATAAAGACTGTAAAAAACATGCTGGCGAACTGGTAGGCACTGAGGATGATACCACTCTGGAAGCTGGTCAGCTGGAAGCGTTTCTCGATGGTAGTCACTGCGATGGAGACCATGCCATATGACGTCATCACCTGGACTATACCGATCAGGGAGTAGATCACCAGGTACGCTTTCACGTTCATGCACGCCTGTGTGTGTGTGTGAGAGAGAGAGAGAGAGTGAGACAGGGAGGGGGAAGAGAGAGGGGAGAGAGGGAGAGAGAGAGAGAGAGAGAGAGAGAGAGAGACGGAGAGGAAGAGAATGGGAAAGATATAGAAAGTTAGAATAGGAAATGGGAGGTGGGAAGGGGGAGATAGATAGGAACAACAGAGAGAGAGAGAGAGGGGGGAGGGGGAGAGAGAGGGGGTGGGAGAGGAAGAGGGAGAGGAAGAGAGTTGGAGAGGTACAGAAAGTCAGGATAGATGTGGGAGGTGGGGAGGGAGAGAGAGAGAGAGAGAGAGAGAGAGAGAGAGAGAGAGAGAGAAAGAGAGAGAGAGAGAGAGAGAGAGAGAGAAGAGAGTGAGAGTGAGTTAATATCATAAATCATTCTACGATTTTAGAGTACGCACTACATTTAGTTTAGCATTTTAAAAAAAGTATGACCTTTATCGTGCTGGTGTAGTATTGTATTACAATTTTCAAAAAATTCACTTAAATCTCATACTTGAAAATACTAAAGTCGAAATTAAATCCCTACTTATAAACACTCAATATCACTAATGCGGGCATTAATGTCATTGAAATGTAGGTCACCATTTCATCCCCTTCATTAAAAATAGGTATTATGTTATTTAAACTACCCTCTAAATGGATCCTGAAGAAAATTAAAAAGAGGACAAAAAAGACATGGGCGTTGCAAGATTGGACATGGGGGCTAAAACAGTACCCAACCTAAAATCCTGTGAATGAATAAGGCTATTATTATGTATAACTATACTGGCGTAATACCACCGGGTAGTGGCTGATTTTTATTGCGCTGGTACGATTTTCTTTCGTTTTTTAGTGAACATTTACTTTCATTTTGTGGAAGAAATATACCATAAAAGGAAGTTTATATGCCCTGATATGAGAAGACGGTTACCCGAATAATAGTTGTCTGCACCCCTCGCCCACCCACCCCCCCCCCATCCCATCTCGTACGTCTTTGATTAAACTTACCCTCATGCATCTAGGCTTGAATTTCCACCACCCACACTCTGGAGGATTCATCTCGTCATCGTCGTCATCGTCATCAAACGCGTTGTCATCGTCCATGTCGTACGCATCCCTCGACATCGATGCCATCGGAAAACTACCATCGTACGCGGGGGTGGTATTTAGAAGATTATCTTGTTGGGCTGGTTCGTACGGTGGCGGGTTCTCTACGATTCTCGTCGGCAAATCGCCGGGCGAGTACCCGTTCGACGGCCGGTTCCTAGTCGTCACATCGCCCTCAATGCCGGAGCCATCCTCCAGATCATCATACCCGACTCCAGGCTCGTCGTCGCCGTCATCGTCGATGTCGAGGTGTTGTAAGGTATGGTACATTGGCTCATCATTCGACATTTTGATTGACCTTCTCGTTGCGCATAAATCCTAAAACCGATTGATTTCTTACGTCGTATACCCGTCTATGGCACTGACAGGGTTAAACCTTGAGAGGTATAGCAAACCCTGATCGAGGTCGGGACGTCATGAACTTTGAGAAAACAATGCATGCAGCTGTGCGTTCAAATATTCATTGAGAATCTTCAAGGTCGTATCCATACGCTGTATTGTTATTGTCCTCTTTACAGACTATATTTTCGACGCGTTTAACGTAGACAATCAGAACTATATTCAGAAAAAATATGATTTCTCCTATACGGCAATTTCTAAGCAGTTCGTCAATGTACAGTTGGCTGAAGAGCAATGCTATACTTATGTGTTTTTCAAGTTCGAAATTGTCATATGCAAATCATGCCAAGAAGTGTCCTCTCGTTAATATTCCTTAAACAAAATGGCAAGCAGGCGTTGGAATAATTACATTACTTTTCTAAGTTGCTCTTTCGGACGTCAGCGTTGTTTCGTCTTTTTCTAAGAACTGTTTAGCGTTGCAGCCGCTTGTTACTCGTATGTTGTTCAACAGCAATGATATAGCCCAGTATTGTTCTTTGATCACTTAGTAAACTGTTTTGTCTATACATCAAAGTAAAGTACAAAGGTCGATGTGCTACTGATAGGGAATAATTAAAGTCGATACATAAACAAAGGGGTAATATCTATTTTTAAAAAAGCAATTTCAAAATGTTGATCCAGTTATAATACGTAGTCAATTTGAATTCTATCATACATGTAGTATATCCACGTGGATGATCTGAAGTGGTTTCCGACTCTGAAGATCGAGGGTCCCTCAAAATGCTAGGTGTTTCTATTAAAGCGTCAGTGATACTTACAGCAACTTCTGTTCCGCGGGCAATGAATAATGTAGAAATATATACCTCCTTCACTTCCAGCAAACAGTTCTCACAATTTTCGATTGATCACTTCATTCATATCCAAACTTTCTTCCTTCACAGCAGGCACAATACATGGACACCATGAGAGCCGTGGGCCTAGACCATTACTAATCCTCGAAAGCCGATCTTGCCACTATCTGCATAATGGTTCGCTTTTCAGTAACTCCCGCCTGTTCCGACGATCGTTTGCACAGACCGCGAAGCGAAAACAGAAATACAATTGTTGATGTTTACTTTCTTCCATTCGGTGTGCCAGAATATCATTTCTTCTTCACGCTCCCGGCACTGCAAATTAAAGTCAATAGAGCCCCAATTGTGATCTAGTTAGGTATATATACCTGCCTATTGAAGCCTGGGGGAAACGAGAAGAGAGTCTGTGGGGAAAAGAGAGAATTTAGAAATCCATTCACCTGTGAAGACAAAAGTAAGTGAGATTGTGCTTTCAAAATAAATTGAGCGACACATCGCGTAGGTGTACAACTCGTATTCGAGCCACGGACCTGGGATTTGGTGCTGATGGTTATTTTCAGGGGGGGGGGGGAGCACTTCACCGCCCATCAGTGAACAGATACCCCAGAGTGATTTTGGGGGTGGGGAGGATGTTGTTTGTCATAGAACTGCCAGACTTGTGTCTCCTCACACACACACACAAAAAAATTCTTACCTCAGCTCACTCGATGAACAAAAATTATTTAAAAACAAAAACCTTGCTCCTATAGGGCCCTTCATTCGAGTCACTATCACACTTTTATCCAAATTTAATGAACATTTGTATAATTGGCTCTTACCAACCTCATAACCAAATTATTTTGCGCTATATACTTCCAAAGGAATGACCGTTGATTTGTTATTTTGTTATTCTGTCATCCAAGTTTGCAAGATGTCAAATTTGATAAATGTGTTGACAGCAATACCTTTTAATGTCGAAAGAACAATGATACATATTCGTAGGGGCAGTACTGGCACCATAGGGGACGGGGTACCGGTCTTAACTCCATGCTTTGATGAATTTGAACATACAAGGTCATAGCTTGGTGGATGGTGTGGGACCGTATCCTATCATCCTCTTTCCCTCTCCCATAAAACACCCCCTATGTTTCGTTTTCATTCACTTCTATCCGCAGTTTGAATGGGGTTGCATGTGCCCCCATGGCTTCCCATGCCTACGCCACTAGCTGCCCCCCACGTCAGGAAACCTCGATTTTTTAAAAAAAAATAGTGATTTCTCTGTAAATATGAACCTCCGGACAGATGGTCTGCTATTCCATATGGGTCATCCAGGTACAATACCACCAAAGATAGGCGTGACGGGGTTATGTTGTTTAGAGGGGGTGGCCCTTCTTAAAATGATCCCTTTGTTGCAAATGAAACATACCAAAGAAATAGAGATTTTAAATTTATATGATACTTTTTTTTCAAAGGTCAAAACATCATGATTTGAATACAATGCTCGTCGCAAATGTGATATAAGAATAATAGCGTATATTATGAAGGGGGTGTTTATTCAGTCTTTATTCATGGACTTTAGCCCATGATTTATTCAAGAGAAACGGGTTCCTGCCGTTCCCATCCGACATACATCTAAACATTATGACCTTCCACCGTAACTACCACTTTCAATAGTTTACGGAAATATGTTTGTTATTGAAATGAAACATAAGAATTCCGAGAAAATTCTCGCTGGGGGTGCAACGCATCTTATATACCCAAATATCAACTTTCCATCACAACACCAAACGAGATGGAAATATCACATATTCGGGTACATCGATGCTTGACGATTAACCGAATATTTGGTATTTTCAAAATTCTCGGGGGGTGATTGAAGCCCCGAACCGACAGCGAGCCTCGATCGTATGCGCCTAAAAAGCAAATTATCCATTTTTAATGGAAGATAAATGGAAATAGCATTATAATGGACACCGTGTACAATTACTGAATTGTTTGAATATCATTACCCAAAACAAACAAAAATAATATTAATAATATTGATTCTAGAGCAGGGGGGGGGGGGGCACAAGTCCCAAGATTCTGAGACAAGCATCGTTTATCCATCCATGAATGAACCTGCATTCAATCAGCAGATGTATTATATTTATTGTATTATTACCAACGCTCCTTCTCTCCCCTTTCACTCTTTTTTATTTTTATTTTTATTGTTGTATCTAAGTTGAAGGCTGCGGGCACGTCAAGCTACTTTGCTTATTTCTGTAGCCCTCCTATATCTAATGTAGGCCTATGTTAATTATACATTCAATATATTTGTTTAATTTCGTTTATTATCTGTATAAAATTATATACACTTGAAATAATGTATCAAACCATATTATATGTTCATGAAAATGTATGATGAAAAAAGAAAGAAGATGCAGAAACCAATAAATCAAATCAAATCAAATCAAAATCATTAGGGTTTGTTATGCCCTCATGTCTACGAAATTTTGAATAGCAATTTTTTTTGTTTTGTAAATTTGTCCTCACCCCCCTTTTCTTTTTCTTTTCTTTTTTTTTTTTGGGGGGGGGGGGTGGGGTCACCCCCTGGGTCCGCCTCTGATTACCGAAACATCCCGATGGAGAAGTTCATGATATTCCTTGAGAATGACCTCACAATGACAAATAATCCCTACACGGTCACCCTGAAGTTCTTTTAATTGTTAATCGTAGAACTTGGTGAACTAAAAGGTACACCGCTTGATCCGTTGTGCAAATGTTGACTGTAAGTAGGAGAGAATAGATAATCATTATGATCGTGCTTAAAATCGACCTTACACCGCGTCGGCATGCATGGCACACACACCGTGTTAGCACGATTCATTATGTTTAATCCATCTACAGCCGAATTTGGCTATTCTGCCGTGAAATCATGAAAAACAGCACCAAAAAATAGAGCAATTTCATGGCTTGTATTATTGAGACAGCACGAACATGGAACCCGGGGGGTATTGGGGGTGTTGCAGCACCCCTAGTTATTTTCGGAGGGCACTGATGAGAAACCCTCAGCATTGACAGTGAAAAGTATTGAGGCCTTTTGGGTATTTATTTATTTGTTTGTTTGTTTTTCTTTCTCTTCTGTTTATAAATATATAATAATAATAATATTTATATATTGTTTTTGTTTGCCAGAGAATTTTGGAGTGAAAGAACACTCCCAAAATGTGATAAGCTTTTTCTTTTCTTTTCTATCTTATACTCTTCTTTCCATTTCCTTTCGTTAATAATATTTTTCTTCTTTCTTATAACCTCCGTCGGGCCAGAGAATCATGCAACCACCATTGACAGGGGGCTTACATTTCCACCCTCAGCACCCCCAATGGGGGAAAAAATTGTTCCTAGGGCCCTTGGTCGACATCCCAAAACCAACTCAAATATGAAATTATTTGGTTTCCTGCGGTTTCCTCAATTTCTACTCATTTGGTTCTCCAAATTGTATATTGATCGGTTCAAAGTGTACAATGTTAATAAAAAACCTGTGAATAATTCGGAAAAAAAAAACTTTAAATATTTTAATGTCTGAACACTCTTCAACGTCAACTTCCATGTGAAGTGATAAAAACAAATTAGATTAGTTAGTTTAACTACCCCTGGTTTTGTTTAAAATAAAAGACAAAAAATATACTCATGATGGTAACTATCGTTTTATATCATAGAAAGCGCGTATAAATGATCAAATCAATAATTCATTAATAAGAATCGTTAGCAGGAGGCAGTTTTACTCTATTTATTCAGCCTTATGACATATTGAGAGCTTCCTACAATATCTACATTCTATAACGTACCTAACAAATTGATCTTGGGGAGCAAATGAAGATGGCCCCTGTGTTTTCTTTGCCATATATTGCTTTTTTTCGGAAAGAAGACCTGCATGAACAAGAATATTCCCTAAACGCTAATCTAACGTTTACAAGTCATGTATAACAACTAACACCACAAACTGAATAGTATTAACAGGACTCGAGACATTTATCGCATAGACCTATTCTATGCCTATATATTTTCAGTGCCACTTAAAAGACAATTCGCTGAAACTTTGAAGCTATACGTGTCTTACCTGCACTCGAAGACTCTCGGATCCGACATCAATCTTTAAAAAGCCTGGACAAAACCAATAGATCATATAAAAGCTATATTTGATCCTATACGATCACATGATCATGTCCAAAATAAACAAATTATGATCAAGATACAGGCATGTCGGCACACGATAGAAGACTTTATGATATGTCTAGAACGTGAGTCTTATCACCACAAGCAGAACGCGTGTTATTGCTGCTTCGTAGAAAGATGGTACAGCTTATATAGTTATAGAGGGTTTTGTTTGAACTAGAAGGAAGAGAGGTCGAGACACAGTTAACGATTACGAGAATGGGCAGGTTGGGATAAGAAGATAGAGTAAGAGAGAGAGAGAGGGGGGGGCCGAGATTGGTAGACAGAGAGAGAGAGTGGAGAGACAGGAGAGAGAGAGAGAGAGAGAGAGAGAGAGAGAGAGAGAGAGAGAGAGAGAGAGAGAGATAGAACTGGAGGGAGGGGAAGAGAGAGAGAGAGAGAGGGGGGTAATTGATTGATAGGCAGAGAGAGAGAAAGAGATAGAGAGATAGAGAGAGAGAGAGAGAGAGGGGGGGGGGGAGGGGGGGGGGGGGGTTATGAATCAAGGAAAGACCCCAATACTGAACATTAACAATTAAAAGTGTTAATAAAAAGAAGATATCCCGCCTTTGCACGGCCCAACAACGTGTATTTTGGAGTCATCCAGCACCAGCACATACCAATTAGATCGAGCCTCGTTTCTAAATATCCCGGACTGGCAAATATCCTGAATTATATTGTTGTTCTTTTGAAGGAAATTCCCTTCTCGCCTTGATCACAGATCCATATCCCGAAAAACACACCTTAAAACCTCGAAACGGGAAATGTTAGCCTCACGTAATCCACGTAACTATTAAAAAGGGACAGACATCCGACGAAAAACATTAAGATTTGTATGAGAGAAGAAACAGAAACAGGGATGGGCAGTAAAGACCTCGGTCTTCCTTTAGAGAGAAAAAACACACAATATGTCGGGAAAAACCCCGTCAAACTAAAGACCAAGGGGGAAAAGGATATATACCTACGACAATAAAAAGACATTTAACAGCATTTCTCTTCAGACGCGTCTTTTCCTATCCTGGTATATTGCGCAATCAAATATACAAAGCCATTATAAACGGGCGATCATTACACTTGAAAAAAAGGCTTTCCAATGGCATTCAATACTTTGATAATTAGGCGGCAATGAGAGAGATGTGTTAGTGTAAAAATTTTCTTAAATTTTAGACAGAATTTGGCATATGCCGTCAAACTCGTATAAGTATCAGTTTTGCTTTCTTGATCACATCACATTCAAATTTCAAATACACATGTAACTACTCAGACTCTAGGTTTAACGGTTCACGTTAATGACATACTTATATTGTAGATAGTTCATTGGACTTTGTAACCCCTATTCAATTCATTCAAGAACGTTTCGTCTTAAAGTTTGCCAACATGTAAAGCGTCCATGTTTACATTGGTAACATGGTGTTTGCTATCTGTCATGTTTACTTAACAATCATTCACTTCATGGACCATCACTCAAATAGGGAGATCTATGACAGTAATATGAATGACGGCCCTGGGCCCATTAAGAGTATACTTATTCAGAGGGGTAACAAGGTTTCAGTCATGGGGGGGGGGGGGCATTGGGGTTATTGGGTGGGGGCAGTCGGTGATATTCATTTTCACAGAATCACTTTGCTTTTGCGGGGCTGGGCTGGGTGATCAATAATGTCCAGGATCTCGACGCCCCAGACGAATATGGATTCTCCGTTAGTTATATTAAATATATCAACATAAAAAACAACAACTAAACTAACAAACAAACAACATCATTACATGTGCATGACTCATTGAGATGATACAACATGATCTGCTGAATTTGGCATTGAACAGGGGGTACAACAATTTAACCCTACGTTAACTGGGGGGGGGGGGGGTCAATTTGACCCCCCCCCTTATGTAGAAATTTCGCGACTACTCCGTAACCGCGGCAGATATAAAATTTTCCGTTCATGACATTTTTCTTTTGAGTCTTACGCATCTTTTAAAACAATTCTTTTGAAAATCGGACGTATAGTTACAAAGTCATGTGACCTTTTGTCTTCGCATGTCAGCCCGAAAATCGCTCATTTTTGTGATTTGTGTACAAAACATATGGAAATGTCATTTTTCCTAAAAAGAGATAAAACATTAGTCTTGTTTAAAGTTTAGGTGTTTGTTTTGGGGTCAAAATAGTTGAATTGTAGCTATAAATGAAATAAAAAAACAAAAACAACAAAAACAACAAAAACAATAAAATACATAAGTAAAAAAACAATGAAATACATAAGTAATTATCAAAACAAGATATAACACAAGGAATAACCTGGCTCTTCCAATTTTTTGTGTTGTATTATTATTCCAAATGGTCTGACAAATATATGTAGTGAAAAAAAATGCTTAAATATGAATAATGTATGATTTATGGGCAAAAATGTGAATTTTATGACCTTATTTGCATAAATTACCATAAATATGCAAATGAGTGAATTTTTCAAAAAATTGAAATTACCATAGTATTCTATACACTTCACTTGACATGTATGCAAATTTTCACAGCGATCGGCAGTGAAACGGCCGAGATCTTGGGGGGGGGGGTCAAATTGACCCCCCCCCCCAGTAAAAACCTGGTCTGAAATAGCCAAGTTAAAATAGGGTTAACAGACTTTGAATTTTGTATCGAAACAAAACTCTCTTTCAAATTCGCTGATGAACTTATGGGGGAGTGGTGGGGGTAAATGATACACATAATAGGCAATATGACTTTTGACTTCGCAAATGGATCACACTTCCCCCTTCAAGTTTATTAACCTACCTTTTATCGGAAGCTTATTAACATACAAACAGAAAAGGATCATTAAAAGACGGTATCTTATCAAAGGTATAGCTTTATTTAAGTTTTGTTCAAACATGAGATGTATTCATATAAATGCATTAAAGGCACTGATTCACTTCAAAAGGCACAACCATATCTTATGAGAGATTGGTGTATGAATATACATAGGTGAACATGCATAGCGGGAGGGAAAGACATCAAATGTGGTGAGCACAATGCATGAATACACATTTTTAACAATTCTGATTCATATTCATCAAAAACAGAAAAAACAAACAAGAATTTCAAGAAAAAGGCTCAACAATCTTTCATCCACCAAGGCTCTGAAGAAATCTACATTAGGCAATCAATACCTTACAAATTTAAAGGTAAATCATGTTCAGATTGTGTAATATGTCATGATCATAGGATCGCACATTTGAAAATGTGATGGACAATGCTATTGACATCGCCTAGAGATACATTTCTTGAAATTCTTTAACGATCTGGCTTCATGAGTAACCTTAAACACATCAAAATCAAATTAATCAGAATAACCAAAATTTCTTCAATGACAAGTTCTGGCAATAATGAATAACCCTACAAGAATATGTTATACCAAAATATCACATGTATTACAATAGAGATAAAGTATTCTTTTATACTAATTACTTCAGATTCAGTATCGTTTCAAAAGTTTCAAACGTTTCAAATAAAAATACTTCATAAATTTGTACTAAATTTACTTAAAGCTTGCAGTACCGACATTTTCCATATTGCATAAAACCTTAACTTTTGTCATAACTCAACATTTTAACATTTCAACATTCAACATGTGATTAATTTGTTTGACTTTCACACCAAATTTAGAGCACCTGACATATTTCAGTAAACACTTTCTTTCACCTTTTTTTATATTCAACATCGACTCAAAATAACTCATCAATTGTTCAATAATATGATTATCTTTGGACTGCAATCAAGATGAAAATATCACAGCAAATAAAAAAAAAAAGAATACAAAACCATTATATCAAAACAATATCTCAACTTAAATAAATGACATAGAAACATTTCAATGTTGCTTGAAAATTTAAAAATCATGTCTCTTTTATGCTTTTTTGCTTTGAGTTGTTTTGATTTTTAATTTAATTTGTTATCTTATTTTCGTTTTTGTTTATGTTCACTAAAGAGTGAACCACATGACCTGTAAGGTCTAAATGAAACACATAAAGAATACAAATATAAAGATGAGAAAGAAAAAAAAGGATATTAATACAATCAAGAGAAATGTCAACAAGAGGAATTTCAAAAAAAATAATTATGATTAATAATTCCATAGGAAGAGTAAATATTCAATAATACTGTATCTAAATGTTTTTATAGATACTGATAATAACTCACTATTATAGAGCGCTTTACATAAGCACATGAATAAGATAATGCAGCAAACAGTATAGAGAGTACTGACAGGTCAATACTATTACAGTTGACTGAAATTGTGATAACATTTCTCATCAGCCTTCTTATGGATACTTCAAGTGCTTCACTTTCAAAATACTTAAATTACTGAAACTTTTATAAAATTTAAAGTGACTGATTCAGCCTAAGACAGTCCAGTTTAAACTTATATACCACTGTGTACCATTATAATACTAGATGGGTCAAATGTGATCAACGACACACGCATGAACTATTGATTCAAAGGCATTACCCTTTCAGACCGCGTATTCAAGTACAAATATAGACATCTAAAACACCAAAGACCAGCACTGGTTGTGCTATTAATGTACATCAAATTTGTACATCTTGAATACAAACAAAGTTTCTGTGTATCAAATGCCACTATTTTACGAGCCCTTGTTGATTGTCAAGACATGCTTTTGATAGTCAAATGGTGGTAAAACCACTTAAAGATAAAGTTGAGTTCTGGTCATGGCATGTGATTGCAATTGTGAAAGAAACGGTGTGCAATCGATCAGAAAAGGTTGATCATCTAGTATATAAGTATTAGTGTGTACACAAGCATGTGGCATAAAAATCTGGCCTAAGTTTTCAGCTGTTACTTGTAATATTTAGAATATAAAGACGTTTGAAGAGCCATGCTTTTCAGCGAACATTTTTTCTCTGATGTTCTTCCACAATTACATAATCATAACAACTATAATGCTCACAAATTATTGTTCACCTCTCCCCAGAACTCAACCTTCTCTTGAAGGTCCTGTTAAACATATGATGAGCTGTCTACATCAATATTCTTGCATTGCTAAATAGACTAATTACCAGTGAGTGTCATGGAAGCAATACTACATAGTTTTATTGGACAAAAAAAGAAAGATTAAATATCTATCACTGTCATGATACATGATAAGTAAGGGGAAAAGTCTCTAGTTTCAGTCTATCATGATCAAGTATGTTCTATGCTTCTTTAAACAAAATATTGTGCAAATTAGTCAACATACTCAAGCTTTACTTACGTACTACTTTTCATCTTTGAAACTAATACTAAAGTACATACATGGATACACATAAATATCATGAATAAATAGCACCTATTTCAGGAGTTAATGACCTAAAGTCAGTATGAAAGTGACTGTTTGATAGTTTAAAATAATAATTTGCATATACATGCATAGCGCATATCATCATACTGAAGTTACAAATCAAGATCAATTTCTGGAAAACTACTTGCTTTCTGTTTCTACTCTGTCATAGGATACCTCCTTTTTCTCTTCTCCTCCTTCTTCCCTTTTCAGGACAGACACTAGCATTTAGAGGCAAATATTGTGTATTATATCATTTGTATTTTCACTGTCAAAAAAGCCATTGGAAGCAAAATTTCTATGTAATGTTTGCATGCATGGATCAATAAAATAATCTTGAATCTTTGCTTCTGTTCTATATAACTGTGATGCATATTTTACTGACAGAACTGCTAGAGATTCTTCCTTAACCCAAATCATTAACCAATCACACCGATACAACTCTATCCATTGATCTCCCATCTCTTTTTGCCCTTCCTCCACACGGCTGACTACAAAATTACAGAACTGATGGGCACAACTGAAGATTTTTCAGTTCCACTCCTAACTTCCCTCATTGTATTGCGCAATACTCATTATTATGTTAGTATATCTGTGTAATTATTCTGTTCATTTGGATGCCTGAATCAACAAGCTAACACAAGCTTTCTACAGGTGCTTCTTTTTTCTGCTACTCATTTTCAGTTTGTTCAAATTAACTTAACATAATGATCATGATTTATATATTCTGAACTGTCTGTACTATATAACATGTATATATTTGTTCGTTTTTAATGGAGAAAAAGTCTTTTGAATTGAGTTGAATATTATCCTCTTTATATCTCATTTCTAATTAACTATTACTCTTCTCTCTGTTTGTCTTCTCTTTCTTTTCTCTTTTTGCAGACCAGAATATGCCTACCAGTATACATCATTTGAGTGCAACTGAGGAAACCAGGGGGATGTTTCACAAAGACATTGTTTGCTCTCACCATTTTCTGGCATTGGTCTCTCAAGGGACGTATAAATCGTGGTCACAAATCTACAGAACTTACTCATTATTGAAGGAAAAAATATTATCTAAAGATCATAATTGAGAGACCAATGGTGAGAGCAACCAGTGGCATGAATGGCCTGCCATAGTTAAGTCCAACTTAACGTCGATCTTTGTGAAACACTCTCCTGAAGAACATCCTGCTCGAGTACTCAGCGGGCTCATTTTTCGACCCACCATATTCCTAACATAAGCTCCATTTACTCCTCTTTCCAAGAAATTGTTATTTCTCTCTCTGATCTTTTGCTCTTCCTTCTCCTCTTACAAAGTCAACCAGAGGCCGATTAAAACAGGTAGGTGCAAAAAAACCTCATGAAAACCAGAGGAGATTTCAGCTCCATTCTCCAACATCCATCTGTTTACCTCTCTCATTTTACCCATCCATATTCCTCCATTCTAAGTACATGTACCATTAACTAGGTATTATCCTTCTCTCTGTTCTTCTACTCTTTCTTCTTCTCCTTCCTCGCAGTCAAGGACAGGCCGATAGAACAGGTGGGCGCAACCAAAGAAGATGAGCGAGAGGACCTTGCAGCAGAGGCACAACCCCAGCATGGTGTAGGCCAAGGTGCGGTTGTCGTACAGCCAGCATATCTGCGCTCCACCACAGAGGGCCTCCCACACCAGGCAGGACTTGTCTATCAGGAGTCCGAAGATGATGGGAGATGGGGCGCTTCCTGGAGGGTCAATGAATACGATTAAAAAAATTAGGAAGTGTGACAAATACTCTTGAGATCTTTAAACAGTCAATATCATCTTTTCACAAGATTTTTTGTTTCTTGATGTAACAGATAGGTCCAGGACGATTGATACAAGTCAGGGAATGATGTTATAACTCGGTGACAACTGAATTCCCACGTTTCACAAGGCTTGATACAAGAATGCCCCACTACCCAAAGGAGTGAAATTGATGCATACCATTGGGCCCAGTCTTACAAAGAGTCGCGATTGATCCAAATTAATCGCAAGTTTGCAGTCTCCCATCTCTAATGTACATAGTTGCGATTGATATCAATCGCAAATAAGTTGCAATTGATATCAATCGCAAATAAGTTGCAATTGATATCAACTCTTTGTAAAACGGGGCGAGGTATATAAGAAAAAGAAAAGGAATATATGTATTTGATTGCAAAGAATCACCAGAATGCATCTGATTAATTTGCCATACATTTTGATGTACATAATATGAACAAACCACATAGAAAACTTATCATTTACAAATTAATAAGTCCTAATGTCCCCCTTTTGTTTGGCTTTTTCTCTTTTTTCCCATTCAATTCCACATAAAAATTAAATCAATGGGTAATATTTTTAAATTACTGCAAACTGAGATTCATAACACATACCAGAAAGAAAATCTCTCTTAAATAAAGATCTACATGTAAGAAACAAATGATTAAAAGACCACTAAAAAGGGCGCAAGCAACCTACCAAAGCCATAGACAACAGTCTGCACCCCTAGAGCAAAGGCACGCTGTGAATGAGATACACATCTAAAAGCAAAATATGAGAGAGAAAATGAAAAACAATATCAACAAGGGAAAAGATCTCAATGGGGAGAAAAATTCATCTTGAAAGTTTTCATGCAACCCTCTGTGTTAAAGGAAACCAAAACCTTCATACCAAGTTACTTTTATTGTAAAGTTTAAAAGATTTGAATAAAATCAGTGAAAATTTGAACAAAATCGCGCAAGGAATAAGGAAGTAAAAGCTTTTTGAAATGACTAGTCACTAGAGGGCGGTATTCAATTTGATGACATCATCTGTGAACAACTCTCCATGCCTTTTGTACATAAAATTTTACCATTTTTTTTGTTTTCTTCTTATTTATTTGTGTTCTTGATCCGACTTCATAACATGTGAAGTAGAATATCATTTTGCATTCTATATCTTGCTTTCGGGTGAGTACATTATCTCAATCACAAGAAAGAAGGAAAAACATGAAATTTGATGTACAAAAGGCATGGAGAGTTGTTCACAGATGATGTCATCAAATTGAATACCGCCCTCTAGTGACTAGTCATTTCAAAAAGCTCTTACTTCCTTATTCCTTGCCCAATTTTGTTCAAATTTTCACTGATATTTTTCAAATATTTTAAACTTTACAATAAAAGTAACTTAGTGTGAAGGTTTTGGTTTCCTTTAAGTCAGTGCTCCTCCAAACAAGCATTTGAAATTGATCCCTTTATCTGTTACAGGATTGTGGAAATTGTCCTATATAAACTCTTAAAAGTTGAATTCAGAGTCTGATAGTTAGGCTTTAAAATATGTTCAACGTGCGCCTGTAATCCAGCTAACAATGGAAGTTACAAACTGATTCAGCTGAGGACACAGGTTCGAAACTGAGTCACGTCTTTTGGATGGTGATGTTTAAGGTCGGTCCACAGACTAAAATACTAATATCTGATGATACACATCTGTAAAAACCCAAACACACACACACAGGGAACAAACTTCACAATCATAAAACTGTGTCTTTTTTAGGACAAAACAAATACCAATTTTTCATCCATTTTCATCATTTTTGCTGCCAACAGCACAAAGGCCTATGCAGAATAAAATTGTGCATTTAGTTCGAAATCATTAAAATATTCATTTATATCCGGGATTCGACAAAGAAATTGTGAACTCTAAAAGGAAACCATCACCATCTTTTCTACATCCTAAACAAATGGAAAATCAATGGATGAATAACACTGTATCAATTTTACCTTATACTGCCAGCCCAGGCCGGAACAACGCCAAAAGTGTTGATGAAGAAGAGCACCCATAACAGGACAAAGTAGGGCCACTTGTAGGGACAGGTTGTCCTCTGGCAACGCCCCGGGACGGCATACCCCTCCTCCAGCGGGTCTTGAGATTGTACAGGAGTTAATAAAGTAGTGTTTGCTACAGCTCCCGTGATATTGTAGCTGTGTACTTGAGATGATGCAGTAGAGGGCATGTTTGGGTTGGTGCACTGGCAGTTTCTGAAGATCTGTGGAATGGAATCCAGATGAAATGAATTTATTTTAGGTGTCTCGAATGTCTTGAGTGTAAATGCGCACACTAGCTCTCTGATAGATGTAGGATATTTGGAATTGTTTTTATCATCCTCTAAATTGGTCGTTTGGTACATTTTGTGTGGAGAAATCTATGAAACCTTGCTAATAATCGCAAACATTCAAAAGTAACACATATACACTGTTTATGAATGTACCCGTACATATCATCAAACATGCTTTAGCAACCACCTGTATAAGAAGACCACCACTCTGTTAAAACCACTTCATACTTTTCTCCTGGGGGGTGTTTCATAAAGCTGTGCGTAAAGTTATGCATGACTTTACAAATGACTTGAAAATGAAGAACTAAATGGGATTCTCAAATCCTTTTAATTGCATAAACTAAAGTTGAAATATGCAGACGTAGATTTACCTCATCATTATTAACAAAACATTTTAATGCAAAGTGCATTTTTGGCTACAATTAATTGAGATTATGGGAAATACAGTCACACTTTGATAAATGTCAGGAAAAACTTTGGGCTCTTCATATTCAAATAATTTGTAACGTCATTTGTAACTTTATGTGCAGCTTTGTGAAACACCCCCCTGATCATTGTGTCTCATTGAATTGCATGTTAAATGAAGTTAATGAACATGAACATGAAAGAACATTTGAGGACTCTTCTTGTGTCCCGTGAGTGGTCCTACGTACAAAAGATCTGTCAACCAAGGCTTAACTTATTATAGTCTTTTCCCCACTTGAGACCATTTCATCATCACCTAAAATAGATGTTAAATTTGATTTATATCAGCCTTATCATCATTATAAGGCTAATATTTTTTTCAATTCGCCTTGTTGCATGAGCCCTTTTGTCATTATCATACTTTGAATAGGACATCACTTACCACTTCATCAACAAAGGTGTCTTTGCGGTTGCACCCAGCGTGGCATGGGGAATAGTACATGACGTCATCACTGCCACACACAGGCTCAAAGGACTTGGAAGTGCAATCGCAGTGGGTATTGCAGGGCAGTGAGAATGCACTCTCTGCTCCTTTTATTGGCATTGACCTGGGTTTAACATGTACAAAATGAGAGGAAGGGGTGAAGAATATAAAAATACTTACAAACCTTGTTGAAGTAAAAACAGATTTTTTTTTACACATTACACCATTTGTAAATCGTTCATGATAGCCTTTTGGGGAGAACATGCATTGCAAAAAAATAATGTTATGATTAAATAATTGTATGGAAAATTCATAATCTCCAAAGGCATACTGTATTTGAACAGGTATTATGCTTTACAGCAAACTATATAAACTAAGGAATTTGTGATAAATCACGAATGAGCGAAAGAAAGAAAGAAAAAAAATCCTACTGTTAAAAGTGTAGTTTTAATAGATACAACGTGACTTCTATGATGTAAATAGGGTAAACCTCTTGAAATTTGGGCAGACTGGACTTCAAAACACAGGACAGAGTGCAAACAATAAAAAATATGTTGTATAATTGGCTGTTTGCATGGGCAAGTAACTGCATCATTTCATTAATATCACAAAAAGTGTCAACAAGTTTGCATGCTTGCACACTTGCTTTGCTACCGCTCCCTGCCCCTGGTAGCCTTTGAGTATGAAGGAATACCATTCTTCCCCCCCCCCCAGGAAAAAAAAATTTCTGCAATTTTCACATACCTTTCTTGGGAACTGGTAACACCAGCAAAAGGCACAACAGGACAGTGCATGGTAAACGCAAGCGATGCGAGCATAGATATGAACACACAGACCATACACAACTTCATCAGGCCTCTAAACTTCAGATCCAGTCTGTTGATTACAATTCCACTGCCTAAAGCACCCATCAGCTGAGCAGTGATCGATATAACTCCTGGTAAAGACACAAAGGAGAGCGATGCAAAGAAGGGATGCACAAACAAATATGTTATGACTTGCATCTTGTCTTTTCATTTATATTTCACTTTTAAAGGGACCACTTGCAATGTACATGTAAATGAAAGATAACAACTGTAATGTACATATTACAATTACAAGTATTCATAAGGTTGCAGGCAAGTGTACCCATTCCGTTTTCGACCCTAGGTATTGAATCTGGGCGGTGTTTTACAAAGACCCTAAGTTGAAGTTATCTCTAAGTTGGACTTGACAATTATGGAAAGCCGTTAGCATCTATGAACATATTTTGTAAAATTTATTTTAAAGGCATAAAATGTTGATTCAAATGAAATCATTTATATTTGCTATTATCAAGGAGATTATCATTAAATCTTTTCTCTTTTTTTTTTTCTGAAGTAGGAATATCAGAGGGCAATGCCTTGACAGTGTGTATTTTGAGTGCCTGACCATCGAAAACTGGAGGAAACACTGTATTCACCTATTATACTCGCTACTTCACTGGAAGTCATGTTCAACTGGGCCTCGAAGAACTTTGGAGCGAAGACCGCCAAGCCGACCATGATGAACCACTCCGTTGCCGTGGCCAAACAGAGGGTCATGAATGGAGGGTTGGTCACGATCTTCCAGAGTGCTCTTGGGAAATCAAATACTTTCTCCAAGAAGCCCTCCTGCGAAACAAATTCACTACCCTTCTGGGCTTCTGATGAACGTTTCTCTGCTATTTTGTCACTACCTAGAAAAAAAGGAGATACATGTATAAATTATGGCAAATGCATCCATTTTGTATTTTTACAGAAAAGGTATGTTTTCATTGTCCAAAATATAGAATATATCAGCAGAATATATAATTTCTAAATGAAAATTTACATGTCTATGTCCAAATTGCTCAAAGTGCATTGCAACTAACATGGTTTCCTACACTAACAAATTCCCAACTTCAAACATGGACCAAGCACTGTACCTAACCCCAAACCAGTTGACCTTACTTCCCATGATGAAATCAGCCCAGAGCAACTATAGCCGGAGCTTAGGATCCAATTGGCACATTAAAGATTTCACTCTCTACCCTAATGAAAGGGTTAGTGGTGTCTTAAAGCAGTCATCCGAAGAATCAAAAGTGTTTTGAATTGATGTAAAATTCATATCATTGCAAAGGGGAAGCCTTACTGATCAAATTTAAGAACTTCCCTCTTCAAAACATGTTTGGGGCCCGCAGTAAACCATCTCTCAAAAATGCTAATTTTGAGATCCAGAATTTCTGCCTTCAACGGTCCTCCGTAAGGCATCAAGGTTTGTGATGTCACATGCGAGACACAGCGAGCCACAAAGCAGCATTTTACGCCTTTCCATGATATCTATATGATTTTTCAGCAACTTATTTGTGTTTCTCAAGAGAAAATCTTTCCATCCGTATATAATTTGTCCATAATCATCAGTTGTCATGATTTTTCTTTGGGTGACTACTTTAAGATTTGCTTGCTGACATTGTCAAAGACATATTCTGGACGGTCTGGCCTACCTGGTTGTCTCTTTGGGAAGCCCATGATGATGAATGCTAAGACAAGTACAACGGCTGCAGCTGCAAGGAACCCCAACCACCATGCGCCTACCCAAAGAGGATTATCAGGGGTCAGGGACACACTGCAATAAGAGAAGAAAACAGGCACATTCATGTATTCATAGAAAAAATACTTATACAGTAGGCTTGTGGAGAGAGAGGGAGGATTGAGGAGTCCTGGAAAAGGACTCTCTGTAATCTTTCTTGAGGGTGTGTAGTCCTGAAAAGGACTGTTGGTGTAGTCTTGAAAAAGACTGCTGGTTATCTTTCTTAGCTTATAGTTCTTAGGAGAACTATAGCGTCGATTGGAGAGGATGGGTGGCAGGAAAAAATACTTATGATGAAGTGCTGAATAAATGCACAGCCAAGAGTGAAATAGCGACCTTTTTCGAACAGTCAAACTGATTTTTGATTGTGGCATTAGCTTGCAGTATGGCACACTCTACAGCACTGTACAAAGTAAAGCATTACTAGTATCCCAACCACAGGACTAAGATGAGCTCCACGATCATTTTTTTAAATCCAAAATTAAAAAATATTAAGAGGAATGCCAACATTTGGCCTGCACCCCCAGGTAAAAAGGTTAGTTTTATAAAACTTTGGAAAGGTTAGTTTTAACCCCTTGTAATGTAAAGGTGTTCCCCTCTATTATGTAAATGTAATATTATGCACAAATTGTGTAGTGTGGTTGAATCAGGCATAGGTGTATTCTTAAATGTTGCTTTTATATTGCAACAGAGGTTACCAATATCAGTTACTGATTTTAATCACAAGCCCGTCATATTTGGCTTTACAAATGTTTGCATCAATATACCAGTTCGTAGATACAATCTGCAAATTGTCAAACTCACTGAGACTAATACTAGATACATGCTCACGAAAGTTATGTAGTCATTATTCATGCATGCACCTGTGATACATTCTATTGAACACAGGTGGAAGTAATCCTTTCAAGAGGGCAAACAAAGAATCACCTCCATGACTTTAGCTGTGATTATTACAAAAGGCAAAAAGTGGGACTTACACTATGAAGATGACTGACAAAGAAAGCGGACAAAATATACAGTTCCTCAGGTAGACAAAGGAACATCCCTTCCCTGCTATTATGTAAAAATGTTGAGAACAGGTGTCACATGCATATTCACCTTTTTACATAATAGCAGTGAAGGGATGTTCCTTTGTCTACCTGAGGAACTGTATATTTTGTCCGCTTTCATTGTCCGTCATGTTCATAGTGTTATTTATTTTTAAAAGATCTGTGGATATTTGGGGTCATCTGAAGTCTGAACCATGTGCTAACTACGAACTGGTCTATTGGGAGGTACAGGTATTTTTTACTCATTGCTTGTTTAATCGTCTCGCCCTAAGCATTTCGAACTGATTATGCATCAAGTCATCCAAAGTGTTAATGGCATATGTACATTTAACTGATCGAATACCAGCTTGGGAAAATTTGGTATGAAACACATTGAAAATGCACGTCAAATAAAAACCAAGTCGTCTCTAAAGGGTTAATATTCAATTGTTGTGAACAAAATCAATAATTACATCCGTGCCTGTATTTTGAGAAGGAAAAGTGGATCATTGATATAGACAATTGTCTCTAATCTTATTTTCAATGAGTGCCACACTAAGTATAAGAAAACAGCTATGCCAGAGAATCTGAATCCAAACTATTAAAGGTACTATGTCCCATTCAGTGGGAAAATAACGACTATTAGTTGTCAAATCGACTTTAGGGCTATAGAACCCAAAAGTAATAGTCTTCATTTTCAGACAATTGTACCGAATGGTCATACGTTTTATGTTGCGCAAAGATGCGATCAGTTTAATCTTGGCCATCACAAGAAGTGGGTTATTGATGTAGACAAATGCTCATGTACCCTTTACAACTCTTTTCATGTATGTTATTACCAAAGAAGAAAAAAGCCAGTCAGTCACTCAATAGTGTCTGACAGTGAAGTCTAGCAAGTAAACGGGTTTCCTTGCATAATTTGAATATGAGGACACTGCTAACGTTTAAATTCCACAGATAAGACATACATGACATATTCATCATTCCTGCAAAGTTCTACAGCATTTGAGGTTGGCTGCAAAAGGGACATAGTACCTTTAAAGATATCCTGCTGTTGATTACCTTCTGACCTTTGACCCTACAGATTTAGTTTCACTTCCAAATTCGATTTGTTTAATATGGGAAGAAACACAGAAAAAAGGAAATGATAATAATAATAATAATGAGAATTTAATTCGTCATTCAAACGAATTAGGTGGTCTGTTGTTAAACCTGAAACTGGATTACATTTATAATGGAGTACCTTGAGCACCTTACGTAGTGGATATCATCGCTGTTTTCACGAAGTGACGGTAGTGAAAAAAAATTGCATTCACTTTGCGTTACGATTTTCCTCACTACCGTCACTTCGTGAAAACAAGGACGATATGTGTGCTATTTAAATATTCAATATTATTAATATCATTATTGTTATAATTTACTGACCTGTCTCCATCCAGCTGTATATCTGTGTTGAGTGATAATGTTAATGCCCCTACAAAGAACCCTAAGGCTGGACCAATGTTCAAGAAAGAGTTGTAGATACCTGATACAAGAAGAAAAAATATAAAGTTATCAACCCTTTGAAAGACTATTGTATGTATTCCCTTGAAAGTAATTCAACAAACATGTATATACATTATATAGAATGCGTATTGTGCTTACCGTATGTAATGATTATATTTATATCTTCTGATATGGCACAGTTTTAGAAAGCAAATTGCATTTGGACAAAATCACCTTATCAAAAGCTCTTCAATATCTTATTCTGTGATTTTAATTGATTATAATGCTTTTTTAATATGTAAATTGATTGATTTTTAGAATCATTTTATAAATCCTTTTTGTGTTGTCAATGTCGTTGAATTTATATAGAATCGTCAAATAAAAGAGGATTTTTTTTTCTTAAATCAACCCTTTGAAACAATTTTGAGATACAGTCAAACCTGCTTTAGTGACCACCTGTCTACAACAACCACATTTTGTTTCCCTTGGAAATGGTTTATCATTGAAACATGCACTAAAGGAACCTGTCTACAAAGACCACTTTTTGTGTTTCCCTTGGGCGGTCGCTATAGACAGGTTTGACTGTATAACAACAATAAGATAGATGAGAGCTTGCAACTAAGTATCTGCTATGTTGGACCTTCAAACAGCTTGGCCTTGGCCAACGATCACAGATATCACAGCTGAGAGGGTTTGACTCTTTTCACAAGTATTTCAAGAGCACTGTAGTCGCTTATTCTCTAATTCCCACCCAGAAGAAGATTAGGAAAGAGTGAGGTACAGTTTGCCTCGATTTTTAGCCGAGGTATTGTTCCAGGAATCTAAGTTTGCATTGTGGGCCTATAATAACTTTAGTTTAGTATTGAACTATTGATTAAAAGGTTTGATGATAAGTAGTACATTTAATACTTGATGCTCGAGGTTACTGTAAAGACTTACCATAAAATTAAAAAAAAATAAAAAATTAGGACAAGAAATTTGTGAATTACTAAGGCTGTTGTTTTTTTTCAGAAAGAAAATATGAACATTGCTAATCAAGATAACTTTAAAAATTGGTGAATATCCTTGCATGCAAGATTTTCTAGACTTTTCACACAAACTAAAACAATAAGACTTAGGACATACATGATTCTGTATAAGAACTGCCAGACATCCTTATCTTATACATATTCACATCAACAGGAAATTTACATTCTCATGCTAAATGTAATATAAGAAATAATTCTCACCGAGGAAAAGTCCAAAATCTTTTGGTTGGAGGTTCTCATCCATGTAAGTCAGTCCCAGAGTAAAGACCGGACCCGCGCCAAAGCCGATCAAAACCATCGAAAATATGAACAATCCAATGAAATCATTTGATTGCTCTTCTACACCTCCAGCCGAATCTGGGAAACAAATCATTTGAAACAAAGGAGCCATTTATACGTTGATCCTGATTGACAATAGACTTGATTTATAAGCTGAGCAAGATTTTGGAATACCGGTACTCTACCGTCATGATGTTCGATTCGACATGATATCGATATCGATGTAAACAATGTGATCGAGAGATAATGTAATGCATCGCATGTTGCAAGGTCAAGAGGTCAAATACGGCATGTTACATGTTGGTCAAGCAGGAGCAGGAAGGATACAATAAAGACTAAGAGACTCGTAATACTTGTGTTGAATTCTATTTATTCCATATCCTGGCTAAGATATGACATCTACCACTATCAACTTGATTTGTCATTTTAATAAATCTGGATTTATGAAGCGCCTTACACCCAAATCAAAAGTCACCTGTGTTGATAAATTTTGTTGATTTTAATCACACAGGCTAGTACAAGAGACATTAAATTCTAAATAGAATTTACTGTCAAGACTATATGGGCTCCAAGATTCGTTCATTATTAGTTAATTCACAGTAATGGTCACAATTTGTACAGCTCGCAAAAAGTCTAGCTAGCTGTGCTTAGTGCTTACCTCACAGACAATTAGACTTTGATTATATATTGCAGGACAGCGTAATAGAACTGACTAAATACAGAGATTCGAACCCACAACTACAACGTTTAATTACACTGTCCTTACCGATTGAGATATTAGTGGGTTGGTGAAAGTAGAGTTTATAACCCTATACTAACCATTACGGTCACCATGTGCACATGCGCAGGTTTAGCTAGTAATAATAAAAGAATCTTGGAGCCCATATAGTGTTGACCAGAATTTACATGTAAGAATGAAAGAAAATATAACTAGAGCAAATTTGAGAAAGAAAAACTGAGTCACTTAGACTCAGACTGACATAATGGTGTAAGGAAAACGCTATTCCTCTTTTTTTTTTTTTAGGAATTTGTATTCTTTTATTTTAATATCTTTTAAGTTAATGATGTGAGGCTGAAAGTAGAGTAAGTTTGGATTCCCATATATTACCACATTTCTCCTGAAGCATGGAAGTGTTGTCGACACCTGGGCAAACAAGGCTGTCCTCTCCTGATTGGTTGAGAGGCATCACATGGTAGGGCTCGGCCAGAAAGTGGGGCAGAGCGATCAGGACGGACCCTACGGCCAGAGCTAAGGTTCCCACTCCAACCCAGACTGGTTTGTGCCCCTTCTCTCCAATATATCCCACAAAGACAGTGAAGAACATTGCCGAGAACTGGTAGGCACTGGCGATGCTACCACTCTCCGTGCTGGAGAAATGGAAGCGTTTCTCTAGCGTTGTTAGGACGGCGAAGAAGAGTCCGAAAGGGACGAGGTAGTGGAAGAGACCAGTCAGTGATAGGGCCAAGAGATAGCCCTTGATTGAGCTGCAAGGCTGAGGAATCGACAAAGAACGTATCAAAAGAAAAGTACATTTTTAATAACTGTTCCAGTGTCATCATGACACAAGTCATCATCATCATCATCATCATCATCATCATCATCATCATCGTTTAGAGTCCATTTGTACCACTTTGTGGGGTTGGACATTTCATTTCTTTAATGGCCGCCTTCCAAGCCAAGTCAAATAATTTTATGGAATACTGATGTGACATTGTGTAAGATTATTTTATTAAATTGGAGGGTAAACAGGCAAATTGTCCCACTTTTTTCATTTAAAAACTTTACTCCATGGTCTAATATAAAAACTTTTGTGAATTTGAAAATCATTACCTTGTTCTTCAGCTCTTGCAAGAAGAAATCAGACTATCAAGTAAATGTTTTCTCAAATAATGAGAATTATTATTAAAGAGTATGAGTACAAGAAGATAGACCAAGAAGATAGACCTGGAAGCTCGACTGCTGTCTCAGCATTCTTCCAGTATTTGCGGTAAAGGTAAAGGTGAAGGTGAATAAACCACTATTTACATGTAGACTATATGATATAGATCTAGTTTTAAAGCAAAACTTTAACAAATAAAGAATTGTGGAAAGTACATTATATTCTCAGAGGAAAACATACATTAATTATGTCATCTATCATAATAAAGCAAAGTGAATCTACGACTAAGTCACTTTTGAGAAGGAATAAAGATTAAAAATTTAATAATCATAATAAAATGTTCAAACTTCAAAGTTCAAATTCAAATGTAGTCCCTAGGGTCTATACCTAATACCAGAACCATAAAAGATACCTTTAAACATTTAGCAGTGATGCCACACCAACCACACGACATTTCCTTCATTAGTTGTTCGTCGATTGGTGCTTCATCAACAAAAACATCGTCATCTTCATCATCAATCTCGTTTGCTTCAGAAACAATCCCGTCCGCACGCTCGAGATCCAGCATTGCGGTCCGCACACCAGCTACAGGCGAGAGCTCTTCGTCTGTTTCCCCTGACATCCTGGCAGGCGATCTGTCACCGCTCCGATCATTTTCAGCCATGTCTACCTCTCTTGTACTTAAGAAATTCCTGGCAATTTATAAGTATTTGGGGTCTCAAACTAAAGAGATTTTTAATTTAGTTACAACAGAGTCATGACCATCACTGGACAATGAACCGAGTCTCGAGTCATGACGACATTTGTCTAAGTTAATCTCGCCACCTTCTTCTCCTTAGTTGATCCCTCCATCCACCTTCCGGCTAATCTGTTAGATGTTGTTACGTAATCATTGCACATGCATTGCGTGTACTCCTCGAGCTCGACTTGTTTTGCTACAACAATTATAGTTACATAGATCTAGTACCTTGCATCGCTATTCTAAAGCGTTTGACTACTATTCCAGCTCAGGTACGTATTTAAAAGCGTAGTATAATCATAGAGAGTGTAAATCGGCAATCACCACTCTTTGGAAGATATTTTAACCTAGTTTTGTGTTGTGTGGACCCATGTGTTGAATTTTATGTTTTGTGTTACGTGTGCTGAAGTCAGAAGAGAGCTTATGGAATATGGTTATGTTTTGCGAGGAAATATGAGCTGAGGCCTGAGGATGAATCCCAGATAACCTTATAAATGTACATTTAAGATTGTTCCACTGACTTGTAATGATTTTATTCAGGTTTATACTATATGCTTTTATTGGCTCTACAATAAAAAAATATTTGGACTAATCAAAATTCCCATTCGGCATTCACCATGAAAAGCAGGTTGAAAATGAAATGTATGACTTCTATGTGTAACGTTGATTCATATACCGTAGTTGGTAACTGGAATTATCTCAACTTTTTTTTTAAAGATTCAACAGTGGTACTCTCCTGCTCCTGCAATGGCAGACACTGATACAGAGGACAGGTCGCAAGAACAAGTTGCCAGGTCGTTTCTCCGTCGCAGATTCCTGCACTTCCTTATTGCTGTTTCAAAGCACAAGATGGACTTTGTCATGCATGAGCACACCAACGTTTCTGGAGAGTTCGGCATGATGGACATCAATGTTCAGCAGGTCCAGGTCTCCAATCTAAAGACACCCATCGGAGTGCAGAAAGAAGCCATTCTTAGAACCAGTGACATCGTGGCTTTTACGCTTCAAGTGCCGTTGGAGAAAGTTCCAGAGGGTTGACAGCAATTAAGATGATACTGTGACACAAGTTTGATATGATCGGGTTTGCTAAGAAAGCTTGAAGTTGAAAGAAACTCTAAAGGATGAAACAAGTGGCCATAGGACTCCAGTTCAGATGAGGATTTGATAATAAAGATCACCAATGAGGATTTGAACCAAGGATCTGTTGGTTCCAAGGCCATTGCTCTTTACCCACTGAGCCAGGATAATGCCTCTTACTCGCCCTCTTTATAGGAACTACCAGTAGGGTAAAAATCATCAACATCTTGTTTTTATGCCTCCGCCACCGAAGGTGGTGCCGGAGGCATCATGTTTTCGGGTTGTCCGTCCGTACGTCCGTACGTCTGTACGTCCGTACGTCTGTACGTCCGTACGTCCGTACGTCCGTTATCACAATATCTCAAGAACCATTTAAGATTTAAACTTAAGACTCGGGAATAGTATTTATCACCATAGGAAGACGATCTGATTAGATTTTGGAGTACGTAGGTCAAAGGTCACAGGTCACAGAGGTCAACTTATGAAATTCCTTGTATTGAGTTTGTTAGCGCGATATCTCAAGAACCATTTGAGATTTAAACTTCAAACTTAAGGATAGTATGTATCACCATAGGAAGACGATCTGATTAGATTTTGGAGCACGTATGTCAAAGGTCAAGGGTCACAGAGGTCAACTTATGAAATTCCATACATTGAGATTGTTATCATGATATCTCAAGAACCACTGGAGATTTAAACTTCAAACTTAGTGATAGTGTGTATCACTATAGGAAAACAATCTGATTACATTTTGGAGCACGTAGGTCAAAGGTCAAGGGTCATAGAGGTCAACTTATGAAATTCCATACATTGAGATTGTTATCATGATATCTCAAGAACCACTGGAGATGTAAAAACTTCAAACTTAATGATAGTATGTATCACCATAGGAAGACGATCTGATTAGATTTTGGAGCACATAGGTCAAAGGTCAAGGGTCACAGAGGTCAACTTATGAAATTCCATACATTGAGATTGTTATCATAATATCTCAAGAACCACTGGAGATTTAAACTTCAAACTTAATGATAGTGTGTATCACCATAGGAAGACAATCTGATTAGATTTTGGAGCACGTAGGTCAAAGGTCAAGGGTCACAGAGGTCAACTTATGAAATTCCATACATTGAGATCGTTATCGCGATATCTCAAGAACCACTGGAGAATTTTCACTTCAAACTTAATGATAGTATGTATCACCATATCATAATATCTCAAGAACCACTGGAGATTTAAACTTCAAACTTAATGATAGTGTGTATCACCATAGGAAGACAATCTGATTAGATTTTGGAGCACGTAGGTCAAAGGTCAAGGGTCACAGAGGTCAACTTATGAAATTCCATACATTGAGATTGTTATCATGATATCTCAAGAACCACTGGAGATTTAAACTCCAAACTTGTTTAAATTGCTCTATGGCGGAGGCATCATTTTCGACTGCGCGCAGTCAAAATTCCATCTAGTTTTACCAAGGCTCTCTATTTAGAAAAATCACTGCTCTACAACAAGGTGGTTCCACTGACCTATTCTGCTTTGAATTGGATGTGCTGGGACATGTCTTTCATCCTGATATGAAAGTCATCTGCATCAAAATAAAATACAAGATGTTGAATTCGAGAAAAATTGTGAATGATAACAATGGACGAGTATCAATCCTTTATAGTATGCACTGAGGATTTGATGGCAGTAATGCAGCACTCTGCAGTGAAAATGGACTAGCATTCATTCACAATTACAATTTTCTAATGTGATGTACATGATTTTCAAATTCATTTATTTCCATTGACACACCTTTTCAACTTATTTTGAATGTTTGGAACTGTCTGCAGTCTGCACAGTCAATACTTTGTGCACAAATTTAATGTTTTGAAAATAGTACATAGGGGCTTGATTAGATTTTTTTCTTCCATGAGCCATAATTATAATGAATAATGGCTACATATTATATTGCACGTATCCATCCCAGGGGATGCTCTAAGCAACTACAAAGTAGTATTATTACCCAGGCTTTAGCCCAGCTGCCCTAAGGAGCTAAAAGCCTTCAAGGAATAAATTCCTACAGGGCACCCATTTACTACGCATAGATGGAGAGTGATAGATAGATGTAGATTAATGGTAAAGAACATTAGTGCTGCAATTGGAGTTGAACCATGAACCATGTGATCCACAGTCCAGTGACATTATCTACTAGACCACGACACCCCTACTAGCCATCATAACATTTTTAAGAAGCCCCTGTGTATTAGGACAAAAAAGGACAATGTGAAGTGAGCTCCTAATGGAACTGATAAGTGTAGGGTCGATAATTGTATACAAATAATACACAACAGTTGGGACATTAGTAAGAATTACCCACACAAGGTACCTTCGGAACAGTCTAACACGCACGAGGCGATAGCTGAGGGTGGTTGGACTGTTTTGAAGGTACTGAGTGTAGGTAATTTTACTAATGCCCTAACAAAATGCTGTGTATTATTTGTTTTATAAGATTATGTTTTATTTGTTTCATAAAATGATGTTTTATAGCATGATTTTGACCGGTCATTACCATTGGATAATGACCGGTCATTATCCAAATTACGTGTTAGGCAAAATAAATGCCTGGTCACGTGTACGCTTTCAACCAATCATTTGATTATGATCCACGTCATCATCTTATAATGTTCCTTATGTCACCTTCCACCAGAAAAAGAAAATAAATACAGAGACAAAGAAAGGGAGGGGAAAAAATGGGTTAGGTAATAATGATAATAATAACCATTTGCTAGGGCAAGCTTCTTCCTCAAAATTGAAAGATTCAAAGATTACAGATTAATTCCTAGAGGGTAATTTTTAATTCTTGACGAAATCTTAGTTCATGTACACTGTACATGTATTTCTTTAATTGGGTTAAAATAGAATGTAGTTTCCTCATTTAGAAAATAAAGACTAACACAAATTCAGAATTCAGGATTTACTTTTGTTATTTTTATGTTTTTGTATAACTGGCTGGGTTATCTGAATCAGTGTTGGAATTGTTTATGACAAAAGTGCATTACAATACTTGTATAGCAATGTAGCCATATATCATCTAGATGATTTTGAACGAGTTTTGGTGACTGATTCAAGGTAAAGTGTGTGTTTGTGTGTGTGTGTCTGGTGGGGGGGGGGGGGTAATATTATGGGAGTGTGTGTGAGTGATGAGGTTCAAAACAAAACACTTTTTGGGGGGTTCCCCCGAGCTATGCCCAGCATACTGGTCAAAGGAGAGGTTACAAGTGATGTTACTTGGGTAGATGAAATATTATCCTCCCCCCCCCCTCTCTCTCTCTCTCTCTCTCTCTCATTTTCATTTTGTTTTATTTAATTTCAACACAGAGACGCTTGCTCCAGCCAATGGATGTTCTTCTGCAAGTCTGTGTGTTAAAAAAGCACAAACATACATCTATAAGAAACATATAAGACATATTAAATAACAAGTATCACAAAAATAAACATACAATTCCTCTCTTTCATCTTTCGCCCTCTCTCTCTTTCTCTCTACCCCCTCTCTCTTTCTCTCTACCCCCTCTCTCTTTCTCTCTTCCCCTTGCTGTCTGACTGTCTGTATCCTCTCTATCTTTTTCATCATCGGCACCCACATTTTAATTGCTTTCTTCCCTCTTTTTTCCTTTGTTACATCTTTTCCAATTAGGCTAGCGATAGCCTGCATAGGATATAACATATTTTGATTTTCATTTCTAATGTGAAAAGATGTCACAAAGTTTTCTTTCACAGCAGATGCAAATCTCTCTCTCTCTCTCTCTCTCTCTCCCTGCCCCTGCCCTCCTGCCCCTCTCTCTCTTTCTCTCTCCCTCTTTCTCTCTCCCTCTCCTTCTCTCTCTCTCCTATTTTTCAATAACAAATGACGTGATTTTTGAGCTTGATGGAGGGGGCAAAGACAATAGAAAGAGAAAAAATGGCTTTATGCATAGAAAATTATTGGCTTTTATTACAAGCTGAAATTTTCGTTATACAATAGATTGGAATTTAAATAAATTAATAGACAAAATATGTTTTTAAAAACCCTCCAAGTATACACATTTTTCAGCCTAAATTTAAATGTACAATTTCACATTTATTTTCATAGTTCACAAATATTTAGTAACGTGGCTGTCGCAAGGTACAAATTGTAGGCGGCTATTGTTATAAAATAATTTGATCGACTGATAAAAAAAAAAAACTAACGGTCGAGGTGGTGGTGTGGGATGGGGGGACTTCCCGTATTTAAACATTTTTTTTAAAAGAGGGCTGTGAAAGATTTTACCAGCCCCGTAGATTATGTCGCTTATGCTCATTATGTTTTGTATACACTCAGACAAATGACGACTTGTTGCAAAATTATAGCAAATATTTATTATTAATACTTTAAATATATGATATTAGGCACTTAGTACATTTTTATTTTACAAAACTGTATTTTTTTTAAATAGGTATGAGTTTTCTTTGCATGTGAAGTTCAAAAAAAAAATGAGAAGGGACTTTTGATAATGCAAACAAAAATGTTGTTTTACCTGAGATGATATAATGTTGACGGTAAACATATATCATAAATAATAATTTCAATGGACAATACAAAATAACAAGATAATTGAAAATTAATGACAAATGCTTCTACTGTGGAAATTATTGATAGATAAGACATTTTCTTGATGTTGTCTATTTCTTTATAATATTTTAGCTTTGGTATGGTATGGTATGTATTTTCCAAAACACAATATAAAAAACAATATAAACAAAATAAAAACGTACATATAGAATTTTTAAAAATAAGTGAATGACTGGATAGACCGCCTAGCTTTGTCAATGTGATACAAGTGTTCTGACTTGGGGTCCTTCCTTAAGGGCACATTGGATTTAACTTTAAACCAGCGAATACTCATGCATCCCCATTTTGTGCGTTTTTAAGAAATGATGAATTAAATGAATACCAACTGCTGCGAATGAACTCACTTAAAGAGTGGAACCTGAAACATCACTTGACTATTCCCAATGGGAGCGTCATCGGACCAAATTTGCTTACAAAATAGTCAATTTTGCAATAAGCTTTTTAAAAAGTCCTCTTCATTGTTTGTTTTCATCAGTTTGCCGACACAATAGGGGACTTGGTAAAATCAAAGGTGGCATATATAGATTCAAGCTCTCTAGTAACGCTCCTGCATGAACTACAAGAATATGCAGTGTTAAAAGATTCAAGATTCAAAATAATTTATTGTCTGATTTTAAAAATACAGAAATTCGTCCTCCACTGGCGGCGAGTGACATACATATACAAACAACATAAACAATGTATAAATATATTCGAGGATATAAAGAAAATACAACAATAATAATACAATGTGGAATGACAAAACTGACATATAATTTTGAAAACTGGCATTTCAAAATTGAATCTCAAAAATGCACAGAATGCATGAAATAAAAGTGCTCTGAACATTCACCCCTTCTCTCCCAGAAATGGGAGTATGAGTAAAAAGCAAAGAAAAGAACAAGAGAGAGAGAGAGAGTGAGAGAGAGGGGTCGCATGGAGTAGAACAGAAAGGAAAATTGAGGGAGAAAGAGAAGGTGACAGAAAACGAGGAGCTCTGGGAAGGAAGGGATGAGGTAAAGTACAGGCTATCAAGAACAGTGACTGCCCGTGGTAAAAAAAAAAGACAAACAACGAGTCATCGACATTTGACATTGCAAGCTAGAGATAGACCCTGTGATGTTGAAAATTAAAATTATGTCGAGTAAAAAACCTAGCCATTACACATTATACTTTTTCTTCTTCAATAAGCAGTGTCCCCTCCTATCATCGTTTCATGGATTGTTCCATCTTCTTCTCCTCTTATATATATCATATAAATAAATCTTTCTAATATCTTCTTTCTCCAACATCCCCCTCTTCTCATTTTTCCCAATATAAAAAGTTATAAATATATTATTTTAGATGATAATACTGATTAAATAAATAAAATAGACTTTGCCCCAACTTCCAGCTATGGAGCATGAACGTAATCAATGTCTTTTTCATTCGTTTGTGATTGTGTTCTTGGTTTGTAACTGAGCCAGGCCATTGCGTAAAAGAATCCGCATACTACTTTGAGTGCGCAGGACATAATCACTATTCTCCACGCGAAGCTCTCGTTGTGGTAAAGCCAACATGATCCTTGATTACTGCATGTTTGTTGCCACTGCAAACACGTGCTGTCGATGATGAAGCCAAATAAGATAGGGCCTGGAATGGAGCCTACACATAAGGATTAATTAAGGATAGAGAGAGAGAGAGATGAGGGAGAGGCAAATTAAAATGGATTGGAGATGAATACATTTCAAACGACGAAATGATAATCTCATGAGAAATAGTCAGGGAGAACATTTTTGAAGGACAATGAATGGCCTTTACTATCGAGACAAGTTCCACATCATGACTTGATGTGTAACTTTTGTAAATGTGTAAATTTTGTATGTAAATGTGAAAGTTCATTGGAAAATTTATTAAGACCTATGTTAAAATTATTTTGTTATTTTGTATACAATGTTATAAATAATGTACAATTCTTCTTTATGAGAGAAATGAATAAAAACCTACGGGAAAAAAAATGACCAGTTTGAGGCTGCAGCGCTACAAGATTACATTGTAGCGATCAGTGCGAGTTTGACATTTACTTCCAGAGGATATCACATTTAAAAGTAAAATGTTTTTGGTAAATGAAAGGTACACATATCAAATATTTGGTCACAGATTTTTAGATTATTGCATCGTAGAGAATTTATATTAGTTTGAATATATGATTGGTACTACAAAATCGATTCTCCGAATATATTAATTTGTACATTTTTAGAAATAAATTACTATCATAAAGGTTTATAATGCAGCAATGTAGATGTGGAAATTCTCTCGTTAACAGAGGACATCCATTGTCTGCCAAAATGGTAATCTCCCTAATTAAGTATAAAGTTCGCCAATAAAAGTAAGCAATACGGCTAACGACATTGTTTTCAAGATTCAGAAGCTCATCTAGGCAAAATGGTACTTTTTGTATTCTTTGAGAAGAAAATACAATGTACTTGGAAATAAGACACCTAAAGTTGGATTTCTATTAAAGGCATCGTTTAGCAATGTTAAATCTGAGATGCACGGCCCTACGTGTTATCAGTGTCTGTGATATGGTGTAATATTGAAGCATGGAGTGCCTCAAAAGAGTAAAAATCTTGGAGTGACCGGTTTCACCATAATCATTTCACCAATAGACTGTAGTGTTATAATCTGAGGTAATGTTACCGAGTTGCTTTATAAGGAGAAGTGCTCACCTAAACATCTTCCTATCATGGACTGAACACCGAGAGCCATTGGTCTTTGTGAGTCTGGAACACATCTGTATCGGATAGAGAGATAAGGGGGAAGTGAGAGCGAGAAAGATAGAACTAGGACAAATATATATTTTAGGTTTTTTTTTAAGGTTGTTGTTCAATGCGATTGATATATGTCGCCTTTTGTACAAATGAAAATTATAGATGTCCTCCCGGAATATTGGAAAGTTTAATTCTGCCCCACTTTAGTTAATAGTACGCAATATTACCATAAATAACCTCTATCCCACATGTTTAAAAGAAAATTGACATATACATTTTTTGTTAACTCGATTTGGCTATCAACTCTCTGGTACTGACTCTTTTGTAACATTTACATTAATTCTATTCCTTTTCGGCCTAATCTACAAAGCTGCGCAACTCACCTTAATGTGACATGCGTTGCTGGAACCATAGGCATAAACGTTACCACAAGAAGTACAATCAGAAGTGCTACGAAGACAGGAATGGTGACACAATCACTGTTACATTTCCCCGCTGTCACCGTAGATGACGCACCCCCGGTTACATATTCGACGCATGAGCAATTAGAATACGTCTGAAAGAGGATTGGTAAATGTGGATGTCGTTGGTGAGAGAGAGTGACATATGAATAGCACGGGTATTTGACATTTGCTAATATATTATTAAAACCTGAAAATATACAATATTACGTCAAATGCTATTGATAATGTTTACTTTGACAGGAGTACAATTTTAGGTCATGCTTGAAAGCAAAAAAGTTAGATATACATTTGAATACTTTCTGTCACATCATGTTTCTCATCATGCAAACATATGTTATATTTATCAAAAGAAGATGAAGAACTAGGAGCACAAGTCCGAAGTAAAATATGATTGAAAAAAACATTTCTATGACAACTCACCCCATTTTCATAATCGATGGTGCACCCTGCATGGCAAGGACTAAAGAACTCTAGATCAGGCCCTTCCAGGCATACAGGAATGTATTGGTTGGTCGAACAAAGGCATCCTGAATTACAAGAGTGGGTGAGATTTGACTCGGTGTAAATGAAGTTGTCGGACTGGAAACTAATGTGAGGAAAAACAACAAGAAGAAACGAGGGTATTTCAGCAGATGGCCTTGAACACAAACTTTACAAACTTGGTGCTGCAAACAGCCATTTAAACATTAACGCATTGAAGCATAAACACGAGATCTCATCAAATTCTCCTCATAAAAACAGTGCCTAAATATCATCTTCTTGCCTTTAATATCAATACACAATCCTCGTCAACTTGTCCTCTTAAATCAGTGCCGAAACCTCGTCAACGTGTCCTCTTAAATCATTGCCGAAACCTTGTCAACTTGTCCTCTTAAATGAGTGTCGAAACCTTGTCAACTTGTCCTCTTAAATCAGTGCCGAAACCTTGTCAACTTGTCCTCTTAAATCAGTGCCGAAACCTCGTCAACTTGTCCTCTTAAATCGGTGCCGAAACCTCGTCAACTTGTCCTCTTAAATCAGTGCCGAAACCTCGTCAACTTGTCCTCTTAAATCGGTGCCGAAACCTCGTCAACTTGTCCACTTGAACGGTGCCAAAATCCCGTCAACTTGTCCTCTTGAATCGGTACTGAAACCTCGTCAACCTGTTCTCTTGAATCGGTGCCTAAACCTCGTCAACTTGTCCTCTTAAATCATTGCCGAAACCTTGTCAACTTGTCCTCTTAAATGAGTGCCGAAACCTTGTCAACTTGTCCTCTTAAATGAGTGCCGAAACATCGTCAACTTGTCCTCTTAAATCAGTGCCGAAACCTCGTCAATCTGTCCTCTTGAATCAGTGCCGAAACCTCGTCAACTTGTCCTATTAAATCGGTGCCGAAACCTCGTCAACTTGTCCTCTTAAATCTTGTCCTCTTAAATCGGTGCCGAAATATCGTCAACTTGTCCTCTTGAATCGGTACCGAAACCTCGTCAACCTGTTCTCTTGAATCGGTGCCGAAATATCGTCAACCTGTCTTCTTGAATCGGTACCAAAACCTCGTCAACTTGTCCTCTTAAATCAGTGCCGAAACCTCGTCAACTTGTCCTCTTAAACAGTGCCCAAACCTCGTCAACCTGTTCTCCTGAACGGTGCCGAAACCTCGTCAACTTGTCCTCTTGAATAGGTGCCGAAATATCGTCAACCTGTCCTCTTGTATAGGTGCCGAAATATCGTCAACCTGTCCTCTTGAATCGGTGCCGAAATATCGTTAACCTGTCCTCTTAAATCGGTGCCAAAACCTCGCCAACTTGTGCCCCTGAACGGTGCCGAAACCTCGTCAACTTGTCCTCTTGAATCGGTACCGAAACCTTGTCAACCTGTCCTCTTGAATCGGTGCCGAAATATCGTTAACCTGTCCTCTTAAATCGGTGCCAAAACCTCGCCAACTTGTGCCCCTGAACGGTGCCGAAACCTCGTCAACTTGTCCTCTTGAATCGGTACCGAAACCTTGTCAACCTGTCCTCTTGAATCGGTGCCGAAACCTGGTCAACCTGTCCTCTTAAATTGGTGCCGAAACCTCGTCAACTTGTCCTCTTGACTCTGTGCCGAAATCTCGTCAACTTGTCCTGCTAAGTCAGAATCGAGACCACGTCAGCTCAACGCCATACATTGGAGCCAAAATCTCGTCAGCTTGTCCGTCTATATCAGAGCCGAGATTTTGTAAACTTACCCTCAAAAGACCATGCCGAGATCTTTTCAAATCCACTTCGAATATCGGAGCCGAGATCTTGTCAACTTGTCCTCTTACGTCAGTGACGAAATTCCTTGACAGGCCGTTCTCTTAAATCGGTGCAGAAATCTCGTCATGTTGTTCTCTTACGTCTCCTTACGTCTAAAACAAAATTTCGTGCACCTGTTCTATGACATCCTCTAACATCCAAGCCGGAATCTCGACAACATTTCCTCTTAAATGAAAGCCGAAAACTCGTCAACTTTTTCTCCTGCGTCTCCTTACGGCAGCACCAAAATCTCGATTAACTGTCCTTTCATATCAGCACCGACATCGGGGTATAATCGAATTAGAGGTCGGATTTCAATTCAAAGCTTTTTCAATCAATTATTGCTTCCATTATTGATACCCATAGATCAGGCCGACTCCCAAAGTTTAACGGAACATTCTTAATATTACGACTTACTCATCCTGCTCATAGCTCACCAAGATCCCGGCTAGAGCATTCTGTGGGCATCTGAGGAACATGGCGGGGAGTGTGATGGTGGTAATGACGGTTAAGATAAGACACAGCTTGATCGTCCCAATCACACGTAGACGAAATCGGCGAATGATCCAGCCGCCGAAAAGCACACCAAGCACCCCTCCCGGTACGATGCAGGTACCTATTGAAGGGGTACAGTTACGGTAATACACGTATAGCATGGGTAAATTTGTAGAACGGCATAGACTCTTTAACAGTTTTTTTACATTGTGAAATTTAAAAAGATGGATCTATATCATGATTTTTTTTTTTAAAGGTATTTTGCCATCAAACACGCTACATTGGACATAAATATTACGCAATAGGCCTCCTCACTGGCCGAATATGAGATGATGATTTCGGGAATATCAGACCTTTTAAAATTCCTCAGAGGCTACAACCCTCAAGTCCCCCCTCTCCATTTTTTCTTCGTATGCCTATGGTGAGCATAATAAACAGAACAGCACTTCGTGAGGGAGAAAAACATAGCAATAATAATAATGCAAATAATAATGATAATAATAATAAAAATAACAATGATAATAATAATAATAATAGCGATGATTATAATAATACAAATTAATAATAATAGCGATAATTATAATAATAATAATAATATTAAATTTGTATTTAACCAGGGAAGCCACGTCAGCATCAATGATGTTCTTCCTCACTCGCCCCTGGTTGTAGAGTGGGAAAATGTGGATTAATGTTTTGAACAAGGACGTTTAACTTAGTGCCGGGCTGGGATTCGAACCCTCAACCCTAAAATTGAGTGTCTTGTGAATAAACCACTATACCAAAACACGGATTGATTCATGAGGACGCTCGATCAACTTACCAACTATGGTGGTAGCCACTGTAGCTGTGGTGGCGAACTGGTTCTCGACGAACTTTGGCAGGAAGACCCCAAAGGCCGTGATCATCAACGAGTCCGAGCACCCTGCCAGCGTGATGCACATGAAGGTCGGGTTGACGAAGAGGTATTTGATGGCTCTTAGCAGGTCACCGGGTCGTGCTCCGAAGCTCGGATGCGCGGTTATCTCGGCTCCGGCATTGGCGTGCGCCTGGCATTCCTTTTCCGATCGAATTTTGGCCGTCGCTGGACACAAACATTTCAGAGAGGAAAAAAAAGAATTCTTCATAAAATCAAGCCTTAAGGGAGATTTTACGAAGACGTTTCCAATGGATAATGAAAGGGGAAGCACTAGAAGGCAGTCGCATTTATGGATTTCCTTAAAAAGTTTGATGGTTTCAGAATGTATGGATCCAAATTATCCATGTGTTTATTAAAAATTGTGAATAGGGCGTGTCACGTCCCATGCTAGACAGAAATAACCGTCTGGTATGGGTCATTCTTTAATAAAAACGGACATTTGTCAACCTGGTCAGAGGAGCCAATTGTTATCTCAGCGGAACAACCGTCGATATCAGAGACTGAAGCTTTCGGTCAATTCCCATTCCAGCTTCTACCTTTCGTCTAATATTCTAGCAACGCCCCGTTTACAGATAACGAACAGTTTGTATGATATACTTACTGGGTAATTCCCTTGGAAATGCTCCGAGTGGTATAGCGATAAGGAGCATACATGCACCAGCTAAGACATAGCCAATCCACCACGCCCCTACCCATCCAGGGTCTTCATCTGTAAGCTCCGCCCTGAGAATAATAATAGGATGTATAGCAATGTCAGAGTGAAATACAGACACCGACGGAGACCATGCCCCACCCTTTCAGCGTCTTCGTCTATAAGCCTGGTCGATCCGCTCAGTTCGCTCCACCCTATAAAATGATAATAGCGATTACAGTAATGAGTGGCATACAGACACCAACCCGCGCCATCTTTACACAGATTTTGGACAACCCGGTTCGAGTTAAACACAATATGGCGACTATACTGCTTTGTTGGGCAAGCACAAAATAAAAGAATATACGCCATGTTGTGACCCAGTGAAACGAAGTTGGCCAAACTCTGTGTATAGATGGCTCTGATGAGTGCACGCCATGTTGTGACCTAGTCAAACCAAGTTGGCCAAACTCTGTGTATAGATTGCTCTGACACCAGCTAAGACAATGCCTTATACGAGTCCAGGGTCCTCACCATTAAGATCAGCCCAAACAAATGATAAGAGTGAGTATAATATTGAGTGGAATAAAGACACCAGCCAAGACCACGCCCCTTCCAATCCATGTTTCTCATCTGTATATAAGCTCCGCCCTGTAGATGATAACAGGGAGTATAGGTATAGCCATGAGTGGAATAAAGAATACGCAAGCTGAAACCACCCCCCCCCCCGGGGACAAGTGCCCCCGTGCCTTAGCGCCTCCCATGTCCATGTAGCTACGCCACTGCCCAAAGGGATTGAAGATATAGAGGGAACAATAAAGCATTCATGACAAATTTACAAGGAATTTACGGGAAAGCAAATACGCTCTATTTTGACGGAAAAGGCTTTATGACTTCAGCATTAAACATGAAGTGACCGGCGTCATTATTAAATTAGTCTATATTCATTGTCACGTTGAGTCTTTTGCATATATCATATTCTTTGGTCAAATACACCGTTGTCCACAAAGTTGGTTTTGTTTACCTCTTTTCATCAAATAATTGTCACAATATAAAACATTCCTTGGCAGATTTTTTTTGACCAATATAAAGCTTCATATAGATCAATCAATAAAGTTCTGAGGAGATTTAAAACATTTACATCATATTTTCACTATCATATAATGAACATTTATTTTAACCCACGTTCACGAATGGGGGAGACACCGTTCTAACAAGGTGAATAAAATGCGCAAAAACAAGGGCACCGAGTGGGTTTTAAAAGTGCGCAGGCCGTAACATCTTATTTACAGTTACACTCCATTCTCCCTTTCTTCGTTTCTCTTTCGTTCTCTTTTAAAAAAAAATAACTTTCTTTATCTGCCATCCGATGGTGGGGGGGGGGCGCACATCCCTCATATCACGTAGCTAGTCCACTGCTTATAGGAGTCATCGCATTTAAACAAGGACCCAATAATTGCCTGGGGGGTATCCTTGTCAGGTCGTGACAGGTTGGTTTTTTTTAATATAAAGGACAAAGCAATAGAGGCCTTCCAAGTTTCTGAACCCATCAAAACTAAGGTTAAATAAATAGGGCTGTGATATTGATGACTTTATAAGAGCCGAGAGCGGATTCAAAACTTGTCACTAAAGATTGATCAGTTTATTATATACATCCAAGCTTATCTTTTATTATTCCCTCATTACTTCATCAATCCTCCGTATAAGCCCAGAATCATTCTGCTCATCTCCACTGAGATATTTGGTACACTGTCTTGTATTATATAGCACAAGGCCACCACCGAATCATTACACAGTGCACCGTTTTTTTTCTCTTCATTTTCTGCTCGATTCAGAAAACTTAATATGAATCACATGATTGACATCAACACCCCCCCCCCCCCCAAATAGCACTGAATGTTTTTAAAGGATAAACTTTCCCCTTCCTATCACCCTTTCCGGAGAGAAATCTATTCGAGGATAACCAAATAGCCTCTCCACAACTGCCCCAACTACCCCGAACAAATAATACCAAATACCCCAGGACCATTGTTTCTCAGACAGTTTCCCCCAGTCAACTTCCTCAATGGGTATGGTATTTACAAGTCTGTAGACCCTCTAGGACAGTTTTCATAAACAAGGTTATTGTCAAAGAAAGAAAATAAGTCCTATGGTAGTTGTTTGTCCTCTCTTTCATTTCAAAATCCCTTTCAATATCGCGGCCCATCCAGTCCAATGTCATATTTGCGATTGATATAATAACAATAGATATAGTGTGGTCACTGTTCATTAATCAAATGCATCATATATAAATGATAGATTAAAAGAACACAAATTCCAGTGAAAAATGTATGACGTCAATCAAGACAAAGGATAACCATGGATGAAAATATGTCTAATCAGTGCTGGGGAGATGATGGGCAGGGGTCACAAGTTGGGGCAAAAAAGAAATCGAACGAAAAAAGAAATGGTCATCAAATTTTGAGGTGCTTTCAATGAGGGGGTTTCAATTTTCTGCTGGTAGACAAAATTACATATATTATCTTTACACTCGAGGTTCGTGGCCTCCCCCCCCCCCCACCTCCCTGATTCATGTGTGAATTTGAACTTACCCTTCTGGTAGGCTGATATCGGTGAAGACAGTGAGACAGAGACCGGCGACCAAGTACCCTACAGCTGGACCTAGTGTACTCACCGCGTAGAAAATACCTAAAGGTATGAGATATACGGTCGGACAGATTAGTATTGATCATAGGTCAGATGAAAGTGGCACTAATGGAATCAGGAGGAACACAAACGACCCATGCCCCCTCCCCCGAAAACCAAATTAGAAATCAATTGGTAAACCTACATATATGGTCCAATCCCTGAATATCTCTGATCCAAAATGTCACCTGAAAATTTTGGTCACCCATTTTCTTAAATTTATGATTACTTTTTTTTTTTTTTTGCTTACTAAATATTTTTCAGAAGTGTGCCCCCTTTGCCCCCCCCCCCCCCAGAAGGGGTGCAGGATTTAAATTGCTGAAAATTTGCCGACGCAGAAACGAAGAAGGAAAATGGGAGCCCACAGAAGATTTTTGGCGAAGTTTTAAACAGAGAGTCGACATGTGATCTGACGAATCGATAACCTTTTTACATCCATCAAAATTGGCGGATTAAGAATACAACTTAGCCCCTTGAAAACAGCTTGGTTAGAATCAAGAGCTTTGAAAAGGCAGGCTCCAAGTACATCACTGTTTTACCATGGAGGCATATTTGACAAAAGATTACGCCTTCTTTCTTTGTATTACTGGTACTATGCTCTTACAAACTTATTCATGCCACTATGTAAGCCTTTACATTATGCCAATTGATGATTTTGTAAATAATAAAAAATGAAACGAATTCTAAGCTCCATCAATATTAGTTTGACTTGGAATTTAAATTTGTATTATTTCATATTTTACCGATATATATTCCGTTGTTTTTAAGCGTCACGCTTTCGTCAAGAATTGCAACACCCAGCGTGTAGACTGGAATAGAACCCATTGCTAGAAGGACTTCTGCAGCTCCAAACACGTAGATGTAATACGATAAATCATCACCAGTCTGACCATCCAGGCACTGCTCGTCAATGACGTCGTCTCCGCCCACTTCGCAGATCCCCAGGTCTCCGTGCTCATCGTGAAAGTTCTCATAGTCGTCCGTCGTGAAATGGGGCAGCGCAAAGATGAGAGAGGCAAGTCCCATGATCAGGGAGCCAATAGCAAGCCACTTGAGCTTGTGGCCACGCCCACCAATGAAAGCGACGTAAAGCATGAAGACGATGTGGGTCGCTTCGTATATGCTGACGAGAACGCCGTAGTCTTGGCTGCGGAGTTTGAAACGACGTTCGATCGACGTCGCATTGCTGCCGGTGAAGCCGCTGTTCACCATACCCTAGTAAACATTTTTTTTAATCAAAAGAAGAAAAAAAGATTAAAAAAAAAAAGGAACGGAAGAGACTTGCATGGCCTGGCCCACAACAAAAAGATATTTCAAGTCATTAATTGAAACGCCCGCCCCCCCCCCCCCCTCCCCTACTCCGGGAACGGAGGGACCGCATTCATGTTCCCAAAATGTCCGGGAAAGGGGTACTTTTCACGTCAGGCTAAAACGTTTGCTGAGAACAAGAAAAAGGTTATCTAATATCTGTCAGCAGACAGCTGACCCGTTGGTGTCTTTTCCATGTCCTAAAATATTCTTGCAAAAGCAACCATCATAACTACCATGAACATTTGAGCTGACTAACAGCACCATAATGCCAAAAGTTAGGTTGATATTACGCAAAAAAAAAATGTTAAAAATAAATTATAACAATGAGCAGAACCAGCCCCAATGGATGTGCACAAAATTTATTAAGGTCGGAAACCTACTTTCGTAAGTTATGATAAGCCTACATTTAAGGTGTGGCTCCCTAAAAAGTGTATCAAATATCTTTTAAGTGGACAACTATACTTCAAGCGGAAATCAGGACCACTTTAAGGCTTTTATAACATTTGCTTCGGAAACCTTCTTTATGATAAGAAAAATATTAATAGTAGTCAAATTTGTGTACCTTAATAGTACGCTTCAAAGCGCTTTTGAATTGTAATTATTAATATCCCGTTCATTAAATTATATTACCAATCCGCACATGATGGTGCACACACTCCGCTCACTGGGGAGTATTCCGGTCAGGCGCCATTTTACAAGCTTACACTGCCAATCCAATTATATTAAAGTACTGAGCACTATTTTTAATTTTTTTTTATTTATTCATTTTTTTTTTTTTTTTATTTATTTATTTATTTATTTTTTATTTATTTATTTTTTTTTTTTTTGGGGGGGGGGGGGGGCTCTCGGAAATTTGAAAAATCGCACCCTCCCCCCCCCCCTCTTGAGCGCCAGGGTGGGGGGCATCTCCAAAAAAAGGTAAATTAACACGTTTTTTCTCAGTGGGGCATTAAACACCTGGATGGAGAGTGGCAAATGAGATTATTAATGTCTTAAAATGCATCAAATTTTGTATAAAAATGGCTGCGATACCATATATTATTCCCTACGTATGTAAGTCAGAACTAGTTTTAAGGCTTGTTTTAAAGTCTAGATCGGAAACCTACTTTCGCAAGGTTATTATGATACATTTAAGATGTTGTTGCCACAAAAATGTACCAAATCTCTTCTAATGTGATTGCGATACCCTTTGTTCCCCTATGAAATGAGGACAATTTCAAAGGATATTGTTGTATGTGCAATTGGGCATGCACAGAGCAATAAGCTACTTTAATATATCTCAAGGTGTAATTGATTTGATTATTTCCAATGTTTGCGCCAATGATTGGTGCGATTTGGCAAGAGAAGGTCGGTCCTTTCAAAAATCTCATAACTGTTAGGTAAATTCGACTATATAATAGAAAGAAAATGTCTTGATGGTATGGTATGGTATTTATTGAATCATGCATCGCAGCTACATATACTGAATTGCAAATGGATATTACGTTGCAGTCCTGATGCGAGAAAGTATAAAGTACTCAAAATTACTCCCAGTGAGGATAATAAGGATTAAAATCGGTTGGGATTAAATACCATTTGCAGGCGTTTCTTTCACCTTGAAAAGCGCTCAGCTTTTTCTATATCCCACCCCATTTCCTAATCTCTTTCTCACCCTCATAATGTGATTTATATTATAGTGACTAGATTGTTAGATTTTAAAATAGTTTGTTAAGATTAAACATTGTATAGGACCTCAGAATAGTAGTTATAAAAACAACATGAACAAAGAAGTAAACATTTAAAAGCAAGATCCATGACAGAATGAGGACACAGAGGAGGTCTATAAATCCTAGGTCACAATACCAAACCGATTGATTTTTTTGCCATGGGGGTAATGTTATTTTTGGGGTCGGTCTGTTTTCGGTCTGTTGTCGGTATGTTGTCGGTCTGTTGCCGGTCTGTTGCCGGTCTGTTGTCGGTCTGTTGTCGGTCTGTTTTCGGTCTGTTGCCGGTTTGTTGCCGGTCTGTTGTCGGTCTGTTTTCGGTCTGTTGTCGGTCTGTTGTCGGTCTGTTGTCGGTCTGTTGCCGGTTTGTTGCCGGTCTGTTTTCGGTCTGTTGTCGGTCTGTTGCCGGTTTGTTGCCGGTCTGTTGTCGGTTTGTTGTCGGTTTGTTGCCGGTCTGTTGTTGGTCTGTTGTTGGTCTGTTGTCGGTCTGTTGTCGGTCTGTTGCCGGTCTGTTGTCGGTCTGTTGCCGGTCTGTTGTCGGTCTGTTGTCGGTTTGTTGCCGGTCTGTTGTCGGTCTGTTTTCGGTCTGTTGTCGGTCTGTTGTTGGTCTGTTGCCGGTCTGTTGTCGGTCTGTTGTCGGTCTGTTGCTGGTCTTTTGCCGGTCTGTTGCCGGTCTGTTGTCGGTCTGTTGTCGGTCTGTTGTCGGTCTGGTGTAGATCCGGTGTCGATCTTGTTGGTATGACTTTAATAGGTATACATGTATGTGTGTCATTGGCATGATGCACGAGACAAAAAAAGGTTTACAATACATGGAACATAGAATTTGTAATCAAATTTACGACAGATCACAAAAATTGAAATCACTCAACGGTTATAAGCAAGCTGATTCTTCGCACACATGAATTCAAACCAATCGTCAATTTAAGAAAACCAAAAAACAACTTGAATTATAAATCGTTTTTTGTTAACGTAACATTGGGATTGGCATAGTACTTCCTATCTGCTCATTTATTATTGTTACTATGTTTTGTTCTTCTTCTTAACATTAGTAACTGAAAAATGAAGTTAATAACCAGTAGGGGAGCTGTTTGTGAGACATTCTAAAAACTTGAATATTACTTTTTTTGAATAGCAATGTTTCATATAATGCGTAGTAAAGATATGGTAAAGTATTAGAAGATAGACATTTCATGCTTACTTGGAAAAAGCATAGTGCGCTTAGGGTGACCAGCATCCAGGGCGCCGTGTTGAATCGTTGAAGACACTGCGGCTGCCACCGGCCCCAACCCCATATTAAGGTCCCCATATCTGGACCTAGATTCAGCTTCTCACAAGTGCCGCCTCCTCCTTCTCCCGTTCCATCTCTGCATGCTACGGCATCTCCTCCTCCTTCTCCTCCTCCTCCTTCTTCATCTCCTTCCAGCTCTCTTCTATCATTCCCTCCATTCATCATCATCATCTTATCACCCGCACGACCATCTTCACTCGCACTGCATTCCATCGTTGCCATGGTTTCGGGATGAACCACCTCCATCTCATAACTTGGGAACCGAGCATCACCATCATCACTGGTTGCCACCTCACTGTAACTGCATCTGTCGTTAAGGCCATCCGGCTTGGGGACGGAAGACGACGCGGTGATGGTCATCTTGATAGAGCTGAAGTGAAAGTAAGATAGTAGAAGAATAAGTTCTGATGGGAATCTTATGTTCTCTGTAGATTTCTAACCTGCACACCTGCTGAAGTGAAAATGAAATACTTATAAGAATAAGCCAGGATGAGAAAACGTTCTGGAAATTTCCATGGTGAGTTAATATTCTCAGATGTTTCTGGTAATTCCGTGTGGCAGTTTTATTGAATGCTGTACTCTTTTCGTCGAAGGATTTCGCTTATGGGTCACTGAAGTGAATTAAGGAAAAAGTAATAACAAAGGAAAGAGATGATAATGAAATTAAATTGCAACATTCTGATGAGTCGAGAACAGTACCGGCGAGAGGCTTCCTTGTGTTTGGTTAACAATACTTGAGGAATAAATGAGCAGACTTGCTGCCTTCCGGGACTCTTCCGGGACAAGGCCTGTGGATGTATTGTAGATAGATGCAAGATTCAGATCCGTGTCTATACGGTTTAGAATGCAACGAATCGTTTAAACCGCTGGCTCATGGCAAAGATATCAACGATTAAACCACGGGCTTGGGTTGAAGCATGGTTGAAGCTCATGCAGGCTGATCCTTCCCACTAATTAGTGGCGAGTTATCAATATCACTAACGCACATGTTGCAGAGGTTATTGCCTTCGAACATGAAGCTGCTGTGTCAGCTTTCAGGTCGTCAGGACCTAACCATTATTCTAGATCCAAAAAACATAAATGACCTTTTCCAATCCAACCCAATTCACGGAGTCTTTGCTTTAGCGCCTTTTCATTGCAGCTACAAATCGCTTCGAAATTTGCTCTACAGCGTAGAATAAGGACCACTCACATGCCTTAAACAAATATTAAAAACACTTTAAGTTGAGACAATGTAATCATAAAGCAATTCATACTCTCACGGCGACAGCAAAAGTGTGTCTTCAAATGCTTTGTTGACCGGTCCACAGATGTAACAGGGTGGTGGGTAGCTTACTTTTTCCAAAGCCTTGCAGCTACAGTGACTGGAAAACAATGTTTTCAGCACGTTCCTTGGAGAGCGACTGAGTCTACTATACAGACGATGAAGAGCGAGTTTTTTTAAAGATCCATTATTTTGTGAGAGAGTAAGAGAGTGATTTCAGACAGAGAAATTGTAAAGGGGAAGGGGTGCAACTCTGTCCACATGCATACATTTATAAATCTGGCAACCTGGGCCCCATTTCACAAAACTTGTCATCAGTGACAAATTACAGACTTTAATATAAGCTAGGGAAACCCGCTTGCTTCTGATTGGTTTAGTATCGGCACATTTGTCACTGATTGTTGTCATTTGTCATTGAAAAAAGGCTTTGTGAAACGGGTCCCAGCTTTTACCGAATTCGGCGACAAATTAAATTCGAGGACTAGTCAAACATAGTTTTGTCATCTTAACTCTTGTTATTCTAGGGTTTTGAATTTGTGTTTGATTGTTTTGTTTCGTTTAGGTTTCCTTCCTTTTCGAGAGGCGCGTTGTAGTCAGTCATGCCAATCCTTCCACATACAGGTATAATACCTCTTGCGACAGATCTGCACACGAATGTGACTACTTTAAGGGGTGGAATGCCAATATTTGTCTATCTAAGTTGTTGACTTCACTTGAGACATACATAAACAAATAATCCCTAAACAACCAAAAGTTATGCTACAACGTGAACATTTCACCGGCATTATTTTGACGAAATGTAGTATCGTTTTCCAAAGCTGCGCATATTTTAACTGTAATCTGGTCACGGCCAATTTTCACACGGACCCGCAAATGTTATTTATTATTTATTTGTTGGTTAATTTGTTATCTTGGTCGAACCCTTTTTCCTCTTCCCAACCCCATCCTATTTAAATAGACTTTTGACGTTGTTGCATTCACATTTGCACTCTTTTTCCATGATCTTTTTCGTCCTTTCAATAGTCCTCCATTCTTTATCTTCTTCGTTCTCTTCTTTCTCTTTGCCTTTGTCCAAAAGCTTTTTTTCCATCAATCATCCAAAAACATTGTCATGGCGCACGGCAATTAGGAGATCTCCTTGCATGATTCAAAAGTTGGATTCCACTTTTCGGATCCAGAGACACCATAACTGAATATTCTATCGAATATGCCCTACACCTCGCGTCCATTATTGTGACCATACAGACAAACTTTTGATGACTTTTCCCATTAAAATCACAATACTATTTTTGTTTACGTTCGGGTGGCCTCAGTGACTATATTTGGTCGTGAATAGAACATGAATAGCCTTGTTCTTACCATATTTGGTCAGTGATGACAAAGGTCTAGTTTATAACTCAGGGAATTAGAGAGACACAAGTCAGTGCATTCGTTGGGTTAGTGATGAGTATCTCTAAAGCAGTGATGAGACTAATTCAATTTCAACAGAAGAGAAAGGCACGTGCTCAATTATGTTTTTGAGCGGTTTCACATGTGAAAATGTCCTGGAGAAGCCGTTTATATATATACAAATAAAGTTGAGTTAAACAAAGCGCTTGTCTACATACTTACAGCTGAAACGATTTATCAAAAAAAACAAAAAACATAAGCAGAACAAAAAGAGAAACAAATAAAAACAAAACAGAGAAATAAATTAAAGAATATAGAGAACGTGCTATTGAGTCAACCGAAATATTTTTTTTCGGGGGTTGGGAGACCAATATCACATTGATTTTCAATTATTAATATTAACTGTGGTTAACAAGCCGGTCCATTATAAAGATAATAGGCCGGGGGGGGGGGCAAACATATTTATCGAAAGTGTATAGGATTCACTGTCAAATTAAACTCCATGATGAAACTAGAGAGAAGACATAAAAACAAACGACTAAACAAACAAAACAAAAACAAATAAATAGCTACCTTCAACCTGCTCAGTTATTGTGGAGCTAATTGTCCCCAAAATGTCCGCCTTGCAGAAGTGTGCACATGTTGAGGCACGGGGAAATGATTTGTTTTTATATACTAGTCCAAAGGACCTGTTTCATAAAACTTGTTATCAACAACAGGCGCTATTCAGATAATACAGATAATAATAATACTACTCATACCCAGTTTTTATATGGCGCTTATTACAATCACTAAGCGCTTCCATTACGGCGCTCTAGGTTTCCAAAGAAATGAATTCCTGCCAGGTACCCATTTATTTACATCACCTGGGTTGAGTGTGGCAAATGTAGATCAATGTCTGCCTGGTGACATGAGACCCTTACTGAGAATTACTGGCACCAGTCTTATATGGTTGAACGCATCAGAATATAGATGGATTTATCAAATTGTCTTTTTCCTAAAACGCTGATACGGTTTCATGAGGAAACCATCTATCATTCAATATTTCATCCTCGAATGTGGATAGAATTACCTGTCGATGTCTTTTTGAAAACGACGTCCTTAATAACCTATGCATGATGAATTGTATCATGATATGAAATCTAATGTGGATGTGTAAAGCCTGTATTATAAGACCCGCCTACGATCTGATTTTCGAAGAAATCACGGATACATTAGCTACGGAAATTTAAACTAACATAATCCCCTAAATTGACGTTCCACATAATGGTAAGAATACTATAAAACGAGCTGTTAGTGCATTGTAAGCTTCTTTTCGGAGTAAAGACAAAATCGGCTCTTAACCGTAGACAAACGCTCGACTGGTCTGAGGTCACTTCGAGTCTGAGCAGATTTTTTTTTCTTCTTCCATTTTTAACACGTAACCGCTAGTTTTCTAATACACAAGTCTGAATTACCTTCAACGAGTCTCGCCTCAACCAAAATTCCATTATTAGGTCAAATGAAGTTTATTCCTAGTTTCGGCCCGCCTCGATTTTTGTGATATATTGTTCTAAAGAGAAGGTAAATAGCAATTTGTGGACATCGAAACAGATAACAACAATCATTAAATCAAATAATATATTTTCAATTTGTTTCGAGCCCCTGAAGTGCATGATGAAAGTAAATGGCCCGAATTCACAAAGGAGGTATGTCGACAAACCTAGGTTTTCGTGCGTCGTATGACGCGTTTCGACGGGTTTTTACAAACCAGGTTTGTAAAAAAAAACGCGTCAAAACGCGTCATATGACGTACATAAACCTAGGTTTGTCGACAAACCTCCTTCGTGAGTTCGGGCCAATGCGTTGTGGTCCAGTGGATGAGTCTCCGGATTGTGAACCACGAGGTGCGGGGTTCGAATCCCTGTCGCAGCATTTATATCTTTTGGCAAGACATTAATCTACATTTGCAACACACGACCCAGTGAGGTAAATGGGTACCCGGTAACAAGAATTTGAGTGTCTTTTCATGGTAGCTCGGCTAAAGCCGGGGTAATAATATGATTGCAGGAGCCCTCAGGGAAAATAGTATTAATATTAGTGAGGCCACCCTGGGTAAACAAGATATATTCGTATGAATTGTATTAATGCAATTAAATAAGAATAGTGTTAAATTTCATCCAATGGCCTTTTCATGTACAAAAAATATAAAATATCAAACAACATCGATCTTTCCCCTCCTCATTTTGTGAAAAATCCGGACGAGAAAAAAAAAAAAATCATTATTATTTGGCCTTAAAGTGTCAGAAATCGATAATTTAGTCTTTGCATAACCCCGCTCTCATAGTGCAAATAATATGTCTATCTAATCTAAAGAATTTGACCTTACCATAGATAGGTAAGGTCAAATTATTTTCAAAACTCCAAATAAAGGGATACAGAGCACAGTTGTCCGTATATTTGACTAATTAGATCACATTTAACAAATGTAAGACCTCAGAATTATCGGCCCGAATTCACAAAGCAAGGTTTGAGCTCAAACCTACTTTTGTTTCGCCAAACCTCCTTTTGTTCTTTACAAACCAGGTTTGTAAAAAACGCGTAAAACGCGTCATATGACGTACGAAAACCAAGGTTTGTCGACAAACCTCCTTTGTGAAAGTCAGACAGACAGATAGAAAAAAAGAAAGAAAGAAAGAAACAGCCAAACAAACAAAAAGAAAAAGAGAAAGAAAGAA